GTGTCTACCCTGTCATTGTCTACACCATATACTGTGACTACACCATATACTGTGACTACACCATATACTGTGTCTACCCTGTCATTGTCTACACCATATACTGTGACTACACCATATACTGTGTCTACCCTGTCATTGTCTACACCATATACTGTGACTACACCATATACTGTGTCTACACCATATACTGTGTCTACACCATATACTGTGTCTACACCATATACTGTGACTACACCATATACTGTGACTACACCATATACTGTGTCTACACCATATACTGTGACTACACCATATACTGTGTCTACACCATATACTGTGACTACACCATATACTGTGACTACACCATATACTGTGTCTACACCATATACTGTGACTACACCATATACTGTGTCTACACCATATACTGTGACTACACCATATACTGTGACTACACCATATACTGTGTCTACACCATATACTGTGACTACACTGTCATTGTCTACACCATATACTGTGACTACACCATATACTGTGTCTACACCATATACTGTGACTACACCATATACTGTGACTACACTGTCATTGTCTACACCATATACTGTGACTACACCATATACTGTGACTACACCATATACTGTGACTACACCATATACTGTGACTACACCATATACTGTGACTACACTGTCATTGACTACACCATATACTGTGACTACACCATATACTGTGACTACACCATATACTGTGTCTACACCATATACTGTGACTACACCATATACTGTGACTACACCATATACTGTGACTACACCATATACTGTGACTACACCATATACTGTGACTACACCATATACTGTGACTACACCATATACTGTGACTACACCATATACTGTGACTACACCATATACTGTGACTACACCATATACTGTGACTACACCATATACTGTGTCTACACCATATACTGTGTCTACACCATATACTGTGACTACACCATATACTGTGTCTACACCATATACTGTGTCTACACCATATACTGTGTCTACACCATATACTGTGACTACACCATATACTGTGACTACACCATATACTGTGTCTACACCATATACTGTGTCTACACCATATACTGTGACTACACCATATACTGTGTCTACACCATATACTGTGACTACACTGTCATTGTCTACACCATATACTGTGACTACACCATATACTGTGACTACACCATATACTGTGACTACACCATATACTGTGACTACACCATATACTGTGACCACCATATACTGTGACTACACCATATACTGTGACTACACCATATACTGTGACTACACCATATACTGTGACTACACCATATACTGTGACTACACCATATACTGTGACTACACCATATACTGTGACTACACTGTCGTTGACTAAACCATATACTGTGTCTACACCATATACTGTGACTACACCATATACTGTGACTACACCATATACTGTGACTACACCATATACTGTGACTACACTGTCATTGTCTACACCATATACTGTGACTACACCATATACTGTGTCTACACCATATACTGTGACTACACCATATACTGTGACTACACCATATACTGTGACTACACTGTCATTGTCTACACCATATACTGTGACTACACCATATACTGTGTCTACACCATATACTGTGACTACACCATATACTGTGACTACACCATATACTGTGACTACACTGTCATTGTCTACACCATATACTGTGACTACACCATATACTGTGACTACACCATATACTGTGACTACACCATATACTGTGACTACACTGTCATTGTCTACACGATATACTGTGACTACACCATATACTGTGACTACACCATATACTGTGACTACACCATATACTGTGACTACACCATATACTGTGACTACACCATATACTGTGACTACACTGTCATTGTCTACACCATATACTGTGACTACACCATATACTGTGTCTACACCATATACTGTGTCTACACCATATACTGTGACTACACCATATACTGTGACTACACCATATACTGTGACTACACCATATACTGTGTCTACACCATATACTGTGTCTACACCATATACTGTGTCTACACCATATACTCTGTCTACACCATATACTGTGTCTACACTGTCATTGACTACACCATATACTGTGACTACACCATATACTGTGACTACACTGTCATTGTCTACACCATATACTGTGACTACACCATATACTGTGTCTACACCATATACTGTGTCTACACCATATACTGTGTCTACACCATATACTGTGACTACACCATATACTGTGACTACACCATATACTGTGACTACACCATATACTGTGACTACACTGTCATTGTCTACACCATATACTGTGTCTACACCATATACTGTGACTACACTGTCATTGTCTACACCATATACTGTGTCTACACCATATACTGTGACTACACCATATACTGTGTCTACACCATATACTGTGACTACACTGTCATTGTCTACACCATATACTGTGACTACACCATACACTGTGACTACACCATATACTGTGACTACACCATATACTGTGACTACACTGTCGTTGTCTACACCATAAACTGTGACTACACCATATACTGTGTCTACACCATATACTGTGACTACACTGTCATTGTCTACACCATATACTGTGACTACACCATACACTGTGACTACACCATATACTGTGACTACACCATATACTGTGACTACACCATATACTGTGACTACACCATATACTGTGACTACACCATATACTGTGACTACACCATATACTGTGTCTACACCATATACTGTGTCTACACCATATACTGTGACTACACCATATACTGTGTCTACACCATATACTGTGTCTACACCATATACTGTGTCTACACCATATACTGTGACTACACCATATACTGTGACTACACCATATACTGTGTCTACACCATATACTGTGTCTACACCATATACTGTGACTACACCATATACTGTGTCTACACCATATACTGTGACTACACTGTCATTGTCTACACCATATACTGTGACTACACCATATACTGTGACTACACCATATACTGTGACTACACCATATACTGTGACTACACCATATACTGTGACCACCATATACTGTGACTACACCATATACTGTGACTACACCATATACTGTGACTACACCATATACTGTGACTACACCATATACTGTGACTACACCATATACTGTGACTACACTGTCGTTGACTAAACCATATACTGTGTCTACACCATATACTGTGACTACACCATATACTGTGACTACACCATATACTGTGACTACACCATATACTGTGACTACACTGTCATTGTCTACACCATATACTGTGACTACACCATATACTGTGTCTACACCATATACTGTGACTACACCATATACTGTGACTACACCATATACTGTGACTACACTGTCATTGTCTACACCATATACTGTGACTACACCATATACTGTGTCTACACCATATACTGTGACTACACCATATACTGTGACTACACCATATACTGTGACTACACTGTCATTGTCTACACCATATACTGTGACTACACCATATACTGTGACTACACCATATACTGTGACTACACCATATACTGTGACTACACTGTCATTGTCTACACCATATACTGTGACTACACCATATACTGTGACTACACCATATACTGTGACTACACCATATACTGTGACTACACCATATACTGTGACTACACTGTCATTGTCTACACCATATACTGTGACTACACCATATACTGTGTCTACACCATATACTGTGTCTACACCATATACTGTGACTACACCATATACTGTGACTACACCATATACTGTGTCTACACCATATACTGTGTCTACACCATATACTGTGTCTACACCATATACTGTGTCTACACCATATACTGTGTCTACACCATATACTGTGTCTACACTGTCATTGACTACACCATATACTGTGACTACACCATATACTGTGACTACACTGTCATTGTCTACACCATATACTGTGACTACACCATATACTGTGTCTACACCATATACTGTGTCTACACCATATACTGTGTCTACACCATATACTGTGACTACACCATATACTGTGACTACACCATATACTGTGACTACACCATATACTGTGACTACACTGTCATTGTCTACACCATATACTGTGTCTACACCATATACTGTGACTACACTGTCATTGTCTACACCATATACTGTGTCTACACCATATACTGTGACTACACCATATACTGTGTCTACACCATATACTGTGACTACACTGTCATTGTCTACACCATATACTGTGACTACACCATACACTGTGACTACACCATATACTGTGACTACACCATATACTGTGACTACACTGTCGTTGTCTACACCATATACTGTGACTACACCATATACTGTGTCTACACCATATACTGTGACTACACTGTCATTGTCTACACCATATACTGTGACTACACCATACACTGTGACTACACCATATACTGTGACTACACCATATACTGTGACTACACTGTCGTTGTCTACACCATATACTGTGTCTACACCATATACTGTGACTACACCATATACTGTGTCTACACCATATACTGTGTCTACACCATAGACTGTGTCTACACCATATACTGTGTCTACACCATATACTGTGTCTACACCATATACTGTGACTACACCATATACTGTGTCTACACCATATACTGTGACTACACTGTCATTGTCTACACCATATACTGTGACTACACTGTCATTGTCTACACCATATACTGTGACTACACCATATACTGTGTCTACACCATATACTGTGTCTACACCATATACTGTGTCTACACCATATACTGTGTCTACACCATATACTGTGACTACACCATATACTGTGACTACACCATATACTGTGACTACACCATATACTGTGTCTACACCATATACTGTGACTACACTGTCATTGTCTACACCATATACTGTGACTACACCATACACTGTGACTACACTGTCGTTGTCCTACCTCCAGCAGGGGGCCCCGCAGCAGAATATGGTGGCGGTGGTGCTGACATCGCTGGGTGGTAGCTGAAAACAAGAATAGTGATGTGATGAATGGGCAATCTCCTTCACAGTCAGCAGTAGAAACACATAGAGAATGCAGGCCTGGAGTATTATATACTGGCCATGTTCAACTTTGCTTGAGCCAAATGAGTAAATGTCACATGTTTAAGTGAGTGAGTGAGTGAGTTGGGTTTAACGCCGCTTTTAACAGTATTACAGTTATATCACGGCGTGTCAGCTTAATGTGGGAGGAAAGCCCGAAGTGATGCAGGTCTAAGACGTTTACCACTTCGGTGAAACCCACGAGCATGTGTATGGTGCTGACAAACCTAGAAACATAATCGGGGCGAACCGGGATTCGAACCCACAATCATAGGTTTCTGGCGTGCCCAAGGGATGCAACTCTGCACAGTGAATCGCGGCGCCTGATCCTCAGATCTTTGTTTAGCGGTAGCAAGAACTAGATCTGATTTTAATGACATTGGTTAACCACCAGCTAGCCTACCCCACTGAAGCAGAGATCAAAGGATAGACCCCTACACTATAAAAACAATGTTTGCTGAAACTGAGTCCATAATGAATTGTTTGATTGATAGGCATTACTTAGAAGTTGACAGATAACAAAATAGACACAATTTATGGACAACAACTTCTTTGATTACTGTTAAGGTCTTTACAATAATTAAAGAAGTTGTTATCCATACATCGTGTCTACTTTGTATCCATACCGTCCATGAACACTGTAGGAAGTGTTAACGATAGTACTTTAAATGAAACACTAAGTTGACATCGACGCACCTTAGAGAGGTTCCTGATGGGTTTTAATGCTTAACGTAAAACACCCTTCAAACACAATCGTAAAAGTAAAATTCATCTTTTTTTATCGCAAATGCTTAACGTAAAATACCAAAAAATAACTGCTTAACGTAAATAAATAATTTACTGCTTATCGTAGAATGATTAAAATGGTCAAAAACAGTCTGTCTTCAAGACCCAAATGCTTCGCCACAGAAAGCAGGCTGCGCAACTGACGCAGGGGACCAGTCTAGAATGTTCAGCAATTTGAGATTTTACCCAGTATTAGAAATATGAATTGTCAGGATGAAACGAAAGCAGAATTAAAAGTCCCATGTCCCGCCATGGTGGATTTAGGAATTTTTGCAACAATATTATGGAAAAAGAAGAAAAATTACTGCTTAATGAAAAAGTACCCTAAATTTTACTGCTTACTGCTTATGGGAACCCCCCATCAGGTGATCAGGACCCTCCTTAGAGAATGCAGTTACATAGGGTTAATTGGCACCAGCTGTGGCTTTTGCATCACTGATATGGTGTTCCTGTTTGTCCCAAGGAATGGTGAGTTGTTTGATTGTTTGTTGTTTAATGCACTCATCAGTATTCCAGCTATATGACGGCATTCTGTAAATAATCAAGTCTGGACGAGACAATCCATTGATTGACATCATGAGCATCACCAACCAATTGGGATCGATGACATGCATCAACCAAGTCAGCGAGTCTGACTACCCGATCTTGTTAGTCGCCTTTTACGACAAGCATAGTCGCCTTTTACAGCAAGCATGGGTTGCTGAAGACCTATTCTACCCCGGATCTTCACAGGTGTTTGTCTTGGTTACTTCAAGTCATGTGGGATAAAGATACAAATTCCCCACCATATGACATGTGTAAATTTACCTTTTACATTGTTGACAATGTAGTCTTATGAAATAGTTTCAATCAGGACATTAACATGATAGATAATTCAACTAAGAGTAGACATAGTCTAGTCTGAAGTAGATCATGTGACTGAAAATATCAAACATGTCGTTTCTCTCCGAGTATGACCATATGATGCTGATAACACGAGTTATTTCACCCAATAAGAATGAGATATAGATCTAGTCTAATAATTCATTGATATAACGATACAAAGAAAAACTTTACCCTAGAAACTATTAATGACAATATCTCGTCTGGTCAAAATATGATAGACGGAAAAACGTAAACAGGAGACTTCGTTCAAGACATTAGTATGGACAGCGTGCATGCCATGCAGTGTGTAGACTCTTCCATGCTAGGGACAGAGGCAATCCCAAAGTTCCATATTCGTATCACAGCTACATATCTAGGACCCATATTTACCTCTTTCTGTCACAGACTGTTTTGGCTATCTTTTAACTAAGACGGTGTCCGTGATCGTCAACAAGGAAACGAAACTCTCGTGATTGAAAGTTCACCGTCACATGACAATACGATCTTCGTGAGGACTCGTAGAATTCCGGGCTACTCCGGTTATCTCGGAATGACACGAGTGCTCACGAATGCTCACCAGTTACTAAACTGAAACCGGTTTCCACAATCAAACGGAACACGTGACTCAAAACACGGAAGTGATCGTCTGTAAAGCGAAATTATAAAGGAAACCATGCATGTCTTTTTTTGCGTTGTGCAACTATGTGATGGAAGAAGTAAACGTGACAGTAAGATTGAATAAGATTATTATTCAGTATTTGCCAGTTGCTAGGATAACCTGAATTCTGAAACGTGAAAAGCATAACTTGTAAAACGGCCTGGCAAGTCACTCCAACGAGTGCAAGGGGTGTTGACCATGTCGTCCTCCTCACCTACGCTTACATCAGTCTGTCTCAGTGTCGAGAGCTGGAATGACATATATCAGATTACACGTCTCCCTGGTAGTGATATTGTCTCTTCTTTCTTCCCCACTCCTGCTATTTTCTAAGTTAACATTCATTGACCAGGTGGGCCCGAGAGATTTAGCAAGTGTTTTGTAAAAAGTTTAGAATCATGTCCGATGTCTGTATTTTTTGTGTTTAAAAAGTAATATCATGATGTACGTGATTGATATGTGTTGTGATTGTTATTCAACATGGGTCATTGTGCTCTTGAAAAAACCCAAATATATTGTACTATTTTAATAGAAATTCAAGAATAATATGATCTATGAGTAACGCCCATAAATTTCAAAGTCCTTGATGGGATTTGAACCACGGACCTTCTGATCCGAGGTCGGACGCCTTGTCCACAAGACCAAAGAGGTTAACCCTCTCAGCAAGCTAACAAGGTAAGGATGTCATCTGTGGGATGACTCCACGCCCTGCTACATACTCCCCTGTCGACAGAAGACATGCCCCGGCCACATAGTAGGGTACTGAGAGTTTTTTGTTTTGCTCAAATTTAATATGAACATGCTCAGCCCCACATTGGGTGCCAATGTAGCAGCCATGAAATTTCCGAGTCCCGTGATGGGATTTGAACCACAGACCTTCTGATCCGAGGTCGGATGCCTTGTCTACATGACCAAAGAGGTTAACCCCGTCAGCACCTGTTCATTTACCTGAATTCTTTGAAGGGATACTATGTATTTCTTTACTGTACATAATATGATGTTGACTGATAGCTTCACCCTTTCAAGTCGTGGATGTATTAATAAAAAAAACAACACATGTCAGTTTGGCTGCATCTTTTTATTGTATTATGTATATCCTTTGTTATGATATACAGCTTCTCATTCTTCAATGCACCGATAGGTGTCGCTTCATGCCAAACACAAGTCAAACCAGTCGAATATACAGTCCATAATATTAAAATTTTAAATCTGATCTCTATTTCAGTAATCAAACATGGAGTGTTGTTTCCCTTTAATGTCGTGAATTCAGAGACACAGACTTATTTATCACATTTGTATGTATATCAAGGCATATATTCAAATCATTTCAAATTCATATCATAACCAGAAAGGTGCACAGTGGGCCCAGTCATCTAAGGCGCCGCAATTTGCTATGCGTCCCTTGGGCACGCCAGAAACCTATGATTGTGGGTTCGAATCCCAGGTCACCCCGATTATGTTTCTAGATTTGTCAGCACCATACCCGTGCTTGTGGGTTTCACTGAAGTGAATTACGTCTGAGACCTGAATCTTCTCAGGCTTTCCTCCCACGTTAAAGGGGAAGTGTACACACAAAAATCACTTTCTTTCTTTTTCTAAACAAAATGCAATTTTAGAATTAGTTAGTATCTGTGTTTGAAAATATAAACTGATTTTTTTCACAGTGAAAGTAGGAAGCTCAAAATAGTGTGAAAATGCTATGCCGTTATGAGGCCTTCGTTTTTCGAGCTAAACAGGCCAGAGTAATCCCCCTTAGATTATGACGTAATTGGTGCCAATTCAACTGGGTCCCTGTCTATTCTCAACGCAAAAGATATCAACTACCAGTTTGCGGTAAAACAACATGGCCTACAACACATTCCGGCGCAGTGGTGACTCAGCATAACACTAGACTGGCTGGCATCTGAGACGCTAGAATCACACACCTGTACCTACACCACGTGAAGCGGCTCTAACAAAGCATGATGATGTCATAATGTTTATCAATTGGCACCAATGACGTCATATTGCAAGGGGCATAAGCCATGGTGTTTTTGTTCTGGAAATAGAACACTTGGTAAATGTGAAAAATATAAATCGTTTTAATGCAAAAAATATGTTAATTAATTGTGATATTTTTATATTTTTGTCTATGACACTACTAGGTTAACACTTTTAATGTGCAAAAAGTACACGAAAAATAGGTTCATTTCCTTGTGAACTTGCCCTTTAAGCTGACATGCCAAGATATAACTGGAATACTGTTAAACCCAACTCACTCTCTCATAACCAGGAGCATGTTAGTGTGCCTTTTAGCTTCATTTTCATCCATGCCCTATAAATGGAACCTGTTTAAATTGCACTTCCCTTATTAATCATGTTATCAGTATGAAAATTATGCATTACATTTTACTTTTTTCATTCTGCAATCATTTTATAAGTTTTGCAAGCACATCGGTCATATATATATGCTGTGATTATTCTTCAGATGTTGTTCACAACAACACAACATTCTTTTCACCATGTTCCCCACCTCACTCATTCAAACTCACAAATTTTATTATTATGTTAAAGGGGCACTGATCTAACGCAATTCCCCGGGACTGGTTGTTGCCTTTGTTATTGTTTTTTCCCAGTGAGTACCCGGATGTATAGCAGAAATCTATACTAGTTCGCGACCTCTGCTGCGCAATTCATAAGCGCATTAGTCACTTGTATGGGTAGTAATAAGGGCGTATGGTCACATTGATCAACAAAATGAAATACAGTTTTCGAGATAATAAGGAAATGTAGGTATCTTTGTGGGTAGCATCGGTAATGGTGACGTAGTTTTGATAAGTCACTTGCTTGGTAATTTTGCGATTTTCGTTTACACTATTTTGACTTGCAACACAAAGTTTCACCTGAGCATTGCTTTTTGATAGTGTGTATATTTTTGTCAAAATGTGTAACATTTTAAAATTTATTAAACGCCAAAATATTCAGTTATTTAACAAAGTGACTGAAAAACATTTCCATATGTATTATTATGATAACGAATTCCAAACATTTTGATGTTTAATGTCATCACCAAGAGACTGAAACTGTTACGTTGAAAAGTACATTTCTATGTTGTTTGGCTTCTAATCCTACATAATAATCTGTTGTGATGTTTGTAGGCCCTTTTGATCGTCTTAATCAATCTGGACAGATTTTTTTAGTCAAAATGACTGAAATATTTACACATTTTATAAATTGCCTGAGAGAATTACATTTTACAAATTGACGGTAATATATACACGCTTACAAGGGAAAAGGCCTGTGAAAACAACGTCTATCGCGCATTGAAGAATTTCCCAACCAAGACGTAGAAAAACAAGGACAAATCGGTTCAATGCTACAGCAAATGAAGGAAAACAAAATGCAAATACCATAAGTACAACCTACCAAATTTATGTGTATAAATTTTAGGCAGCTTCCTTGTTCGAGGAATGTATCCGTGAATATCCACACAAAGGAACAATAGCCCACTCATCTGCAGCTGTACAAAGAAACTTATTCGATGTCACGTGTCTCTGTAACAATCACATATTTTAAAAGATATATATCGTTTCTCAATTGATCACTTGGATTGTTTCAGGTGTTTCACATAGGTGTCAAGTCTCAAGGGTCAGCTGAGAAAGCCCACGTGACAACTATTTTCATAACGTCAACGGTTCCTAAAAAATCCATTGAGTGATCAATCAATCAACGTATTATCAGTTAACCCTTTGAACAAAGTATGTTGTTTTTACATCGGCACTTCACGCCATGGTATGAGTGTATTCCCTTTGTTTTAGTAAACCTAGACATGTAAACACTCACTCTTGACATATCCACTGTGCAAGATAACAGTGATTAATCAATCAACGTATTTTCTGTTAATCCTTTGATGACTAGGAACGATCCGTGGATTTACAAAAAAAAAGGAAATCAACTGATCATTCACCTCTTGCTGGTCTGCCACGTGCATATTACATAACACACATTTCACCTCACTTCAAACCTGGATTTAGATTGAATAATTACCCCAGACACAATAAATGCCAAATGGGAATCTTTGTCAGGTAATCTAAGTGGTGCTTCCACTAATTGTACCTGTAATAAATTCATTAACTGAGCATCAAGTGAATGACGACAAATACACAAGTGTAGGGTTATACCAGAAAACGTGAATGACAACAAGGGAGTAGTAATCGTATTATCATGATTATCGACGCAATCCGAAATCCGAAAATGCTTTCACTGCATGGATACTTTTTTTAGTGTTAAACTACAACCATCTGGGGTATTTCCAAATGACGACATCCGATGAGCTCCGCCGTTCTTTTTGTCTGTTAGTTTAGGTTGAAGAAATTAATTAACATGCCCCTTTGTCGAAATCTTTTAAGATCACGGTTAACCAATCAGTGTTTATGCAAAAATGCGTAAAACAAATATTGCCTCCAGCCTCCAAGTTTATTTAGCTGTCCTTGCAGACAGTAGCCAGTCTCTGGTCACGCTCAGTTGCGTTGCGTGTCATCCGGGTACTCACGGGGAAAAAAACAATAACAAAGGCAACAACCAGTCCGGGGAATTGCGTTAGATCAGTGCCCCTTTAAGAACGGTCTTGTCAACATGGTCAAGATAGGATACTTTATTGCCTTGTCTATTTCCTGTATATATAATATGCCTATCATAGTTTGAGTATATTGTAGATATGCATTCTATCTATCAGGTGCTGATAAAGACTCAGTTTTAGTCACTCTCGGATGGTAGGACTAGTTGCACAGCCTGCATGCCCCCAGCATCTTCATGAGCGACTCACGTCTGTGGCTGGTCAACACCAACGGCAATGTCTTCACGCTGTCCACCAAGCACCGGCGCCTGCGCCAACTGGTGAAAACCTACCTGGATGGGGTGAAATTGAAACGGCTAGCTGCATGTCAGAGTGGGGCATGGGGGATTGGGCACGACCACCACGTCTACATATTTGTGCACTCTACTGAAGTGCCTATAAGAGTCCAAGAGACAACCTATGAAAACCAGGTATAGTTGAGATGACTGAGACGTTCTCTGCTGTTTGCTTGTGAATGCTGCTTATGTTTTTATTAAAGGGGAAGTGTACACGCAAAAATTACTTTCTTTCTTTTTCTAAACAAAACGCAATTTTAGAATTAGTTAGTACCTGTGTTTGAAAATATACACTCATTTTTTCACAGTGAAAGTAGGAAGCTCACAATAGTGTGAAAATGCTATGCCGTTATGAGGCCTTCGTTTTTCGAGCTAAACAGGCCTGAGTAATCCCCCTTAGATTATGACGTAATTGGTGCCAATTCAACTGGGTCCCTGTCTATTCTCAACGCAAAAGATATCAACTACCAGTTTGCGGTAAAACAGCATCGCCTATGACACACTCCGGCGCAGTGGTGACTCAGCATAACACTATGCTGGCTGGCATCTGAGACGCAAGAATCACACACCTGTACCTACACCACGTGAAAAAACAAAGCATGATGACGTCATAATGTTTATCAATTGGCACCAATGACGTCATATTGCAAGGGGCATAAGCCATGGTGTTTTTGTTCTGGAAATAGAACACTTGGTAAATGTGAAAAATATAAATAGTTTTAATGCGAAAAATATGTTAATTAATTGTGTAGTTTTTATATTTTTGTCTATGACACTTCTAGGTTAACACTTTTAATGTGGAAAAAAGTACAAGAAAAATAGGTTCATTTCCGTGTGAACTTGCCCTTTAAAGTCAGTAAATGGTGTATGCATTTAAAAATATGGATGGCTTCCAGGGTGTATTAATAATTTTAAAAGTGACAATCAGGTTTTTTTTGCTGTTATTATTGTCTACATGAAGTAGGAGATCTATTTTCGTAAGTTGCATCTCAATATCGAGCCAAGAAAAGTGGCCTTGAAGTAGCAAGGGTAGAAACTAGGCTTTGATATAGACTAGTGGACACGTTTGCCTCGAGTTCATCTGTGTCCCAATGTACATTGAAACTTGACCCGAAGTGCTGAACAATAATGGAACTGCAGTGGCCCTAGTGAATCAGGTGAGCTACATGTTTTGCCCATGTTCTTCCCAGCGATGGTCGCCTATAAGTGGATTCAGTGGCTCCAACCTGCTCCCAACAGACAGAACCAACTGGAGCGATGAACACGGGAATGGCTTCCTCCCCAAGGAGAGTTTCAGTCTTCCGTCCCAGCACTGGGAGTGGGATGGAGACTGGGAGATTGATGATAACTTCCAGGGACAGATTGCTTCCAGAGGGGTAAGGCGTGAGTGAGCGAGTGAGTCAGGGTTTTCTGTTGTGCCAAAGTCAGCAGTATTCCAGCTGCGTCATGGCAACGTGGAGATATCATGTCTGGGCCAGATAAGGGGTTGACAATCTCATTAAAATCAGATCTTAGTGCTCACCAAATGAGCGGTAGAGAGTGCTAATACTGTAAATCTTCAAATTAACGCAAGCAAGAATTAAATGCGAAAAATGCAAGTGGTCTTTCTTCGCATTAATGAAACTTCGCATTTATGTCTCCAAAATGACTATCAACAATAAGATGGCCTCACTGCACACTTTGGATAGCGGATACCAACTTGAATATAAACACAAACACGGTTTATTGAGCAGCAGTTGTAACAAGTACACAACATTGTCATTCAATGAATATGAATTACACAATAGGCATCCGGTGAGTTGTCACTGCTGGGGTCAAGGGTTCTACCCACCCGTGTCAAACTAGGCATCACCTACCAGGGTACTGGACCCCATATTACCCGACCCTATCCGGGTACCGGACCCCCTATTACCCGACCCTACCCGGGTACCGGACCCCCAATTACCCGACCCTACCAGGGTACTGGACCCCATATTACCCGACCCTATCCGGGTACCGGAACCCCTATTACCCGACCCTATCCGGGTACCGAACCCCCTATTACCCGACCCTATCCGGGTACCGGACCCCCTATTACCCGACCCTACCCTGGTACCGGACCCCCTATTACCCGACCCTATCCGGGTACCGGACCCCCTATTACCTGACCCTACCCTGGTACCGGACCCCCTATTACCCGACCCTATCCGGGTACCGGACCCCCTATTACCCGACCCTATCCGGGTACCGGACCCCCTATTACCCGACCCTACCCTGGTACCGGACCCCCTATTACCCGACCCTATCCGGGTACCGGACCCCCTATTACCTGACCCTACCCTGGTACCGGACCCCCTATTACCCGACCCTATCCGGGTACCGGATCCCCTATTACCTGACCCTACCCTGGTACCGGACCCCCTATTACCCGACCCTATCCGGGTACCGGACCCCCTATTACCCGACCCTATCCGGGTACCGGACCCCCTATTACCTGACCCTACCCTGGTACCGGACCCCCTATTACCCGACCCTATCCGGGTACCGGAACCCCTATTACCTGACCCTACCCTGGTACCGGACCCCCTATTACCCGACCCTATCCGGGTACCGGACCCCCTATTACCTGACCCTACCCTGGTACCGGACCCCTTATTACCTGACCCTATCCGGGTACCGGACCCCCTATTACCCGACCCTAACAGGGTACCGGACCCCCTATTACCCGACCCTATCCGGGTACCGGACCCCCTATTACCTGACCCTACCCTGGTACCGGACCCCCTATTACCCGACCCTATCCGGGTACCGGACCCCCTATTACCCGACCCTAACAGGGTACTGGACCCCCTATTACCCGACCCTATCCGGGTACCGGACCCCCTATTACCTGACCCTACCCTGGTACCGGACCCCCTATTACCCGACCCTATCCGGGTACCCACTGTAGGTCTCAAGAGCTGGGAACAAAATGTCTGAATGGGAATTGTTTTACCGCAGCCCTGGCAAAACTATTTCAATACATGTATCAAACGATCAGATCATGCCTACACTGAATTTACTAAAGCTTTATCTTTACTCAAATATATCCAAGTCAAAAGGAATGTGTGCATCATCAGAAAGAAATGTGAACATTAGCAACTTGTAGTATAACCACTGAGCTATAGTGAGTTTTTGTCATTAAACAATGTATCACTTGACTAACCATGGGTCCGGGTAGTCCTGTGGGTACCCGAGTCCTACTCAGTACCCACCTGACCCGGGTACCCAAGTTACCCATCCCAGCCCTCGTTACAATGTATTGAATACCCGAAGAAAACTATCAATACCCAATGTGAATGATAGCATATAAATACATACTGAATGGCTCAAGGACGTATCTGGAGCCCTGAATGTGTAGGATGAATAATAGAGGACATCCCTATCTCCATGCAGGGTTATGTGGGTAAACATGTTGATGAGTGGCGACTCAATAAAACAGGTTTTCCTTGTTTCACAATTGAATCGAAGAGAATTAATAAACTGTTATACAACTGCTTTTGTCTTTGTTTCGCAACAGGGTTGGCAATATGCCACCAACTTCCCTCGGCCATGGACGCCAGAAAGTACCTGGAAGTCTTGTGTTCGGAAACGGAAGTGGATTCGTTTCCGCAGATTCAATGCAACTGATGTGTGGGCAAAGGTATCTTTCTGCTTCCAGGTCTGAACTTAATATGGAACTGACTAGAAATAAAACAGCAATTATTCTCTTGGTATCTCCATTATCACTCATGATAATGATAAGGATTCATGTAAACTAAGATTTAGACAGTAATGTTTTTTGCCACTTCTTACAGTGCAAGTGCTGGGTAGTTCATGCTTTGATCACTTTTTACATAACACAATTTCACTAGTTTCCCTTAGTCCAAAACAGGGGTGGTCGGGCAGCCTAGTTGTTAAAGTGTTCGCTTGTCATGCCAAAAACCCGGGTTCGATTCCTGACATAGGTCCAATGTGTCAAGCCCATTTCTGGTGTCCCCCGCCGTGATATTGCTGGAATATTGCCAAAAGCGGTGTAAAACCTCACTCACTAGTCCAAAACATTATATGCTGCTGTAAGACTGAGTCTGTGGGTTTGAACCCATGATATGCCCAAATTATGATCGTTGGTTTGTCAGCACCGCATCTGTGTTGTTTAGCTCCACTGTAATACTCATGTACATCTCCACTGTTGACGTCCCTCACGTTGAGCTGTCCACAGGAAGGCAGTCCGTCTCATCAGCTGTTTTTTTATTTCAGATTTTTGATGAGAAAATGAAGGAGTCTGGAGATTGCTTCATTGACATAGCTGTTGGTGGGTTTGACATTCCAACTCAGGCCAAAGGTCACCTCTGTGTCTGGGGGGTCACACATACTGGCCAGGTGAGTGGACACACATGCTTATTTATGTGGGGTCATATTGCAGGATATTTGTTAGACAAGGGCTGGAACATAATTCAAGGTTCTCTGTCAATGCCGCATGTGATTTTTATCCCCCACCCAACAAAGTTGGCAGGGATATAGAAACGGGCTCCGTCTGTCCGTCACGTTTCGTTTCCGGAGCATAACTCATAAACCGTTCAATATTTTTTCATCAAACTTTGCAGGTCTGTCAAGTACATGCTGAACTGGTGCCTTTTGCTATTTAGAAATTTTAGAATTTTTTATTTTTTACGTTTCCATGGCAACAAGATGGACCTAGGTTCTGTGAGGGTAGGGTTCGTTTCCGGAGCATAACTCATAAACCGTTCAATATTTTTTCATCAAACTTTGCAGGTCTGTCAAGTACATGCTGAACTGGTGCCTTTTGCTATTTAGAAATTTTAGAATTTTTTATTTTTTACGTTTCCATGGCAACAAGATGGACCTAGGTTCTGTGAGGGTAGGGTTCGTTTCCGGAGCATAACTCATAAACCGTTCAATATTTTTTCATCAAACTTTGCAGGTTTGTCAGGTACATGCTGAACTGGTACCTTTTGCTATTTAGAAATTTTAGAATTTTTTTAAGTTTCCATGGCAGCAAGATGGACTTAGGTTCCAAACTCTTCTTTTTTTTACAATTTCCATGACAAGTTTCACCTCGGTTAAAAAAGGTTAGGGTTTGTTTAGATTTAATTATGTCATAAATTCTGCAACAGGGGCGGGGGATATAGCCACGTTAGTGGCAAACTCTTGTTGTTGTTGTTGTTTAACGCCGCATTCAGCAATATTCCAGCTTTATGTCGGAGGTCTGTAAACAACCCAGTCTGGACCAGACAATCTAGTGATTGACATCATGAGCATTAATCCACGTAATTCAGATGCGATGACGTGTTTCAACCAAGTCATCAAGCCTGACTACCCGATCCTGTTAGTTGCCTCTTTCAACAAGCAAAGTCACCTTTTATGGCAAGCATGGGTTGCAGAAGACCTATTCTAACCCGGATCTGTACGGGTCTAGGTGTATGTTTGATATGAGTGTTGCTTGTGTATAAGTTCTATCTCCTCCATGTCTCCAGGTGTATGTTCGACAAGGGGTCACCAATGACTGCCCAGAAGGGAAGGAGTGGCGTCCAATTTCTACTGACAACCATGGTCTTATAAACATCTCAGTTGGACCAACAGGACTTGTGTGGGGGGTAACCTGGGATGGCCAGTGTCTCGTGAGACTCGGTGTTAACCGAGACCATGTCTATGGTGAGATACATGTTTTAAGCCTCATACGTATCATAGGTGAGGTGAAATTGGGTTTAACGTCGCGTCCAAAATTATTGCACTTGTATAGCGACGTGCATGCATGTGTGTGTGTATGTGGCTGCTTGTACTAGTCCGGACTGATGCCGATTTATATTGCTAGCCCACTGAGATACCATGCCGCAGTTTAACTTGAATACCCCACTCAGACACAGTATACTGACTCTGAGCCGACCAGTCCTTGTTTTAGCCCCTTAATGCCGAGCGCCAGACAGGGTAACAACAAGTACCATCTTTTAACGTCTTTTGGTATGACGCGGCTGGGGATCAAACCCCGGACCTTCTGCTCTCTGGGCGGACGGTCTACCTCTAGACCACGGAGGCGGTTCATACGTATCATAGGGCGGTCAGGTAGCCTAGTGGTTAAAGCGGCACGCCGAAGACCCGGGTTCGATTGCTGACATGGGTACAGTGTGTGAAGCCCCTTTCTGGTGTCCCCCGTCATGATATTGCTGGAATATTGCTAAAATCGAAACCGGGTCTTAGGCGTGATGAGCGAACGCTTTAACCACTAGGCTACCCGGCCGCCCCGGGTTGGGTTGAGAAATATAACATCCCAAATATTATTCCAAATAGAACACTTGTTACATTTGACCACTTTCTACATGGCATTGTGTATTCATAGCTTTCGGCCATGGTAGCCGTGCCAATTTACACTTGTCAGAGGGGTACTCAAAGTATGTGATCTAGACTACCAGTTGTCGGACTTTCATTTTTGTGGAAGCCTCGGTGGCTGAGTGGGTTAGATCGCTGACTTTGTGTGCTGGCTATTAGGTGCCTCACTCTGGTAAGTGTGGGTTCGAATCCTGAACGGGACTCAACCCAAAAAGGTATGAGAATCTGTACTTTACTAAAAAAGTATTATCCCAAATATAACATTTGTTACATTTGACCACTTTCTAAATGGCACTGTGTATTCAAACCTTCGTTTACTCATTCATGAAACAGGCTGTCTGTATGAGTATTATAGATGTGATTGTCTCAACAACAAGTAAACATAACACAAAAGTAATGTCACTCAGTGGGTATCGGTTGTTGGGTAACCATGGTAACGGAACATAGTCATACCACCTCTAATATAGGACTCTTGAAGATCCGGGGTAGAATAGGTCTTCAGCAAGCGATGCTTGCTGTAAGAGACGTCTTATGGGATTGGCACTTGGTTGATGCATGTCATCTGATCCCAATTGCGTGGATCGATGCTCATGATGTCAATCAGTGGATTGTCTGTTCCAGACTTAGTTATTAACAGACCGCCGTTATATAGCTTGAATATTGCTGTGTGTGGCGTTAAACAATAAACAAAACACAAAAAAATCTAATGATAAATCACTCCAGTTGTTCCTCATCCCATAAGAGAGAATCTGTGATTATAACATGTGATGGTTTTTGTTGCCAGGCACCTGCTGGACCTTGGTGACATATCCAGATGAGTCAACACGCGTGATGCAGATCGCTCTTGGTCTCAACACTCTATGGGCACTCAGTAGAGAAGGCAAGGTATGTGATATATTGTCTCAACCTCCCAATGAGAAGTTGGTTCTCAGTCGAGAAGGCAAGGTATGTGATATATTGTCTCAACCTCCCAATGACAAGTTGGTTCTGAGTCGAGAAGGCAAGGTATGTGATATATTGTCTCAACCTCCCAATGAGAAGTTGGTTCTCAGTCGAGAAGGCAAGGTATGTGATATATTGTCTCAACACTCTATGGACACTCAGTCGAGAAGGCAAGGTATGTGATATATTGTCTCAACACTCTATGGGCACTCAGTCGAGAAGGCAAGGTATGTGATATATTGTCTCAACACTCTATGGGCACTCAGTCGAGAAGGCAAGGTATGTGATATATTGTCTCAACCTCCCAATGAGAAGTTGGTTCTCAGTCGAGAAGGCAAGGTATGTGATATATTGTCTCAACACTCTATGGGCACTCAGTCGAGAAGGCAAGGTATGTGATATATTGTCTCAACCTCCCAATGAGAAGTTGGTTCTCAGTCGAGAAGGCAAGGTATGTGATATATTGTCTCAACACTCTATGGGCACTCAGTCGAGAAGGCAAGGTATGTGATATATTGTCTCAACCTCCCAATGAGAAGTTGGTTCTCAGTCGAGAAGGCAAGGTATGTGATATATTGTCTCAACACTCTATGGACACTCAGTCGAGAAGGCAAGGTATGTGATATATTGTCTCAACACTCTATGGGCACTCAGTCGAGAAGGCAAGGTATGTGATATATTGTCTCAACCTCCCAATGAGAAGTTGGTTCTCAGTCGAGAAGGCAGGGTATGTGATATATTGTCTCAACCTCCCAACATGCCCAATGAGAAGTTGGTTCTCAGTAGAGCAGGCAGGGTATGTGATCTATCTTCCCAAATCCCAATGGACACTCAGTGGACATGTTGTGCTTCAGATGTATGATGTAAAATGGAGAACTGGTTACTGTGATCTAAGTTGGCTGTGCAGAGTGGCATTGCTTCGCTGTTCCGGGATCCACTGTTAGTAAGTTCGACCAAAATTCACCCTGATTATGATCCTTGGTCTGTCAGCACAGAATCCGTACTCATGGCTTTTACCCAAGTTGTAAACATCTAAAACTTAAATCACTTTTGACTTTCCATAAACTAATGTTCAAAACATCATTGACCTCACTTACGTTGTGTAAGGTAGCCCAAAATTAATATTGATGTTCACACCTGTAAGTGGTGATAAAACTAGTAATGTAGTATTGTCCATTATTTCTTCAATTTATGAGACCCGTTAAGACCCAGGGTAGAATAGGTCTTCAGCACCCATGCTTGCCGTAATTAGCGACTATGCTTGTTGTAAGAGGTGACTAACAGGATCTGGTGGTCAGACTCGCTGACTTGGTTGATGCATGTTGTCATACCACAATTGCCCGGATCGATGCTCATGTTGTCAACCACTGAATTGTCTGGTCCAGACTCGATTATTTACAGACCACTGTCATAAAGCTGGAATATTGCTGAGTGTGGCTTTAAACATCAAACAGTACAATAATCTTCAATTTATGTACAGTATAGTTTTATGAAATGAGAATTGTAACTATTGTGTATTTATATAGTGTTGTGGTTTAGCAACACAATTTGTGGTAATAGCTTCAGCATGTACATCACACTGATACTGAATTACCCGAGTATGTATCAGGTATGGTACCGTAAAGGTATCCAAGGGACACAACTCCTGACTGGCACGGCGGCAGCTACGGGCAGCACGTGGGTGGAGATGGTGGGAGAAATGGCACACATTGCTGTCACGCCCAGTAATCAAGTGAGTGTCAGTATAACACTAGCAGCATAAGTGATTATGTACTGTTGGTAAATACTATCTGTGAATATACAGGGTAGAATAGGTCTTCAGCAACCCATGCTTGCCGTAAAAGGCGACTATGCATGTCGTAAGAGGCGACTTACAGGATTGGGTGGTCAGGCTTGCTGACTTGATGTCAATCACTGGATCGTCTGGTCCAGACTTGATTATTCACAGACCACTGTCATGGCTCGAATATTGCTGAGTGTGTAGTTAAACAAAAAAACAAAACAATAATAAAACAAATCATGTACGAAACGCAGTCAGTTTATCACAATACAAACTCACTCCGTAATCATGGTAATAGCCCAAAATATGGTCAATAAGGTAATAACCTGCACACATCACAACAACACAGTGGTAACTCTAAAACAATTCTGGCTTTCAACCAACATTATGTGAAATTACATTTTCATAAATACATAGATCATGCATGCAGTTGCAATGTATTACTTACAAATTTCGTGGCAGAATCATAGTGATTACCACTCACAGCGTACACACTTTCAAATTTCACGCCAAATCGCATGCTTTTTCCCTCACACAATCCACCTGCAATTACCACCCATGTCCAAGCCAAGCCATTCAACCACATACCACTAATTAAATAAAAGTGACTTTCTGTCATCTACAGATATATTCCTGGTTTAAACAGGTGTTTGCTGTTGGTCTCAATGAATATGAGGTCTACTTCCGGTCGGGTGTGACCTCGAGTGACTTCGGTGGCAAGACCTGGCAGTTGCTGTCTCTGAAGGAGAACACAGCCGTACTTCAACATGACAGCTGCTCAAGTGTCACGTCCGACTCAATCGCTGAATCAGGATTAGAGGGCTCCAACCGATACTCTTCCTCCGCAGCAAGTCACATGACCAGATATATGCGGACCGGCTCGGAGTCAGGGTGGTCAGAGGGCAGCTCAGTGAGAGGAAGCTTGACCCTCGCTACGCCCATCAAGCAGCCTGCCAGGGATGAACCATCAGGTGAAGGTCGTGGCCTCTGTATGACATTAGCTACTCCCATACAGAAGACTTCATCCGAGCAGGCTGTTTATGCTGTGCTTCCCACATCGCATGCATCGGGGATGGATGCCGAAATATCCAATAAAGGTTTGTATGTGACTACTACTTAGCTACTACCTAGCTACTACTCAGCTACAACTTTGCTATGGCTACTACCTAGCTACTACTACTTAGCTACAACTAAGCTACTACTTAGCTACTACTCAGATACAACTTGGCTACTTAGCTACTACTCAGCAACTACTTTGCTATGGCTACTACCTAGCTACTACTACTTAGCTACTTTGCTACAACTAAGCTACTACTTAGCTACAACTAAGCTACTACTTAGCTACTACTCAGCTACTACTAAGCTACTACATAGCTACTACTTTGCTACAACTCAGCCACTACTAGCTACTACTAAGCTACTACTTTGCTACAACTCAACTACTACTTAGCTACCGCTTTGCTACAACTCAGCTACTACTCAGCTACAACTTGGCTACTTAGCTACTACTCAGCAACTACTTAGCTGCAACTAAGCTACTACTTAGCTACTACTCAGATACAACTAATGCATGTCATTGTATCCAAATTGCGTGGATCGATTTTCATGATGTCAGTCACTGGATTGTCTGGTCAAGACTTGATTATATACAGACCGCCATCATACAGCTTGAATATTTCTGATTAGATAATCTTTATTACACAACTCTTCGCTAAAGGTATCTTCCATTGTGTCCGCCATCACTACCTAAACTTGATTGTGAGACTTCATCTAGGAATGATGTATGAAGATTTATACTCTTGTCTTTATTTGTAATAAGAATATAAAATGTACCCTTAAGCCCTAATCCCTCTTATCCCTTAAAACATCATGTTATTCGAAGTCAATTATGCTGTATGCTGCATAATATGTAACAGTCAATGTGTCAAATATTCAGCCTGATATTTCATTCAGTTTGTAAAATTACATGTATATATTGATTGTGATATTGGAATTATTATTATAATAATAATCATCATCATCATCATCATCATCATCATCATTATTTTAAGAAATCAATGTTGTATTCTTTTCTCACAGCAGGTGAAAACAAATCTGTGATACAGGACTGCAGTTCCAACAATGGAGTAACCATGGAAACAGAGTCATCAAGTACTGAAGATATAGCAAGAAACAAGTGTGATCAAGAAACACCCTGTGATAAAGTAGATGTATGTAGTGCCATTTCACCTGTACAGGTAAGTATTACCTCCACGGATCTGGAAACCTCGGAATCAAATCTGGACAATCACCAACCAGGGGCACTTTCTCCAGCTTCTGTGAGTTGTAAACTGTCGCCCAAATCTGTGATAAGTTCCTGTGATAATTTTGACAGTTTGGGATCCAGTGTTACGTCGGAAGAAAATGACGGAATAATCAATTTTGTGACAGACTTACTATCAGGTTCTTCTGTGACTGAAACATCAGATGACGCGGATTCGAAGGACGTCTCCAGTGAAGATGTTTCCAAAAGGTTGGAACAAGACAATATGTCAGACCTGCAGGACACAAGGGAGATAACCCACACACCTCACAGGCCGTCATCCCTGGAGGTGGTGGGTAATTCATCCCTGCTGATTCATGATTCAGAGAGCCCTGTATTTAACCAAGAGGAGAGTACTCCTTGGACAACCATTGGGCCAAGCACGGGTATATCGGGGACCATCTCAGTGAGGAGCACGCCATCAATTGACCAGGATGTTATCACAATGTTTGAGATGGCCCCCGCAATGCCGCGGTACTGTTGGGCTTGGCTGAATGGAATGGCTTGTGTGTTTGACGATCCTTCAAAAATAACTTGGCTGCAAAGTTACCAAGGTTGGTTGTGAGAGTTGATATGTGAATTTTGCAATTTTGTGACTTGCCAGTCTCTGTATGATCAGATCTGTTAGTTCCAATACAATATCTCTCTGTGTGAAGATTTGAGAAGACCTCCATAGAAAGGCTGGGACAGGTATCTCAAGTCGGGTGGGTACCATGTAGGACCTGGGTACCATGGGTACCCACAAGACTACCCGGACCTGTGGTCAGTAATGTGATAAATTATTAATTACCCAAAATATCTAGAACTCTATGGTTACACTACAAGTCAGTAATGTTTGCATTTCTTTCTGACTATGCACCCATTCTTTCTGACTTTATATGTTTGAATAAAGATAAAGCTTCAGTCAACTTTAGTTTATGTCTGACCAGACTGGTTTATACGTATATCTAAACACATTTTGTCCAGGGCTACGGTCAAACTATTCCCAATCGGACATTTTGTACCTGACTCTTGAGACCTACAGCGGGTCTGTAATCTGTGCTCCCTTTTAGAAGCTTCATTTCTGATTGGCTGATTTCACCTGACGTGACCTTCTACATGTTCTATGATGGTATCGTCTGATCTTCATGCAGAGAGATATTATATCCAAATAAAGGATCTGATTGTAAAGAGTTCAGACCGCCTTCGTGGTCTAGTGGTAGAGCGTCTGCCCGGAGAGCGGAAGATCTGGGGGTTCGATCCCCGGCCGTGTCATACCAAAAGACGTTTAAAGATTGTACTTGTTATTACCCTGCCTGGCACTTGGGATTAAGGGGATAAAACAAGGACTGGTCTGCTCGGAGTCAGTATACTGTGTCTGAGTGGGGTATTCATGTTAAACTGCGGCATGGTATCTCAGTGGGCCAGCATCAGTCCTATAAAACCGGCATCAGTCCGGACTAGTGCAAGCAGCCTCACATACACACACACATGCATGCACGTGCATGCAATATAAGTGCAATAATTTTAGACGCGATGTTAAACCCCATTTTACCTCACCTTTACTGAGTTCAATGAGTTGTGTCTATTTAGGCCAGACCAATATGTACCCACTGACAAAAGAAAAGTGAATACCATATATGTTGGTTATTTTATGAAGAATTACACATATTCAAGAGATATTAGATGGGTTCCATGCACAAACGAACATACTAGTATGTTGTGTGAATCGACGCTCATGAACGCATCACATGACGCCATAGATCCATTACTTGAGACTCAGCATTTTTCTCATGTAAGATTAGTGTGTAAAGTTTGGAAATCATGTGCAGCTTACTGTGATAGGAATAAAGACACACTGTGGTAACACTTTACTGATTGTATGTTTTGTCATTAATTTGTATGCATTGGAAACATCTCTTCTTAATGTACATACTTCTCTATATGTATCTATGGTTCATGTTTCTTTTGGCAGTGAGTATACTGTAAATCTTGAAATTAACACGTACATGAATTAAATGCGAAAAATGCGAGTGGTCTTTGCTCGCATTATTAAACATCGCATTTATATCAACAATAAGACATTTTGGATAGGAGAAATACCAACTAAGACATACACTGAAAACAAACAACTATGTATTCCACATCACTGTTTATTGAGCAGCACTTGTAACAAGTATATAAACAATGTCATTCAAACACTAATTACATCCTGTGAATTGGCATGTCATCAAGACAACAGTTCTACTCACTTATGTCATCACTGATCACACCTGCAAGTCCAGACAGATGCCACCCACGCAACACGATGTCTTTGTTCTTTGAGACTGCATCAAAATGGGCACGAGCCACCACGCATGTATTGTTTTTTTGCGGAAGTACTCTACTCAGCGCTAATAAGCGGTGCTATTTGGTGTGTGATTGGATTAATGTAAGGTTGGATTAAGGTGAGGATTCTCCTATAAACCTGACAGAGGACATTTTCTTTAGATATAAATCCACTGATTCTTGAGAGGAGGGGGGTGTCACATTCATATTGAGTCACATTTTTGGCTAGAGGCCAGCGGTCACATTCTTTTGGAGACGCATTAATTTCATGATTTACAGTATATTCTACATTATTTTTTTGAAAATGTACTTATTGTAATCATTACGATTTTGAAGTGTTGGACATCTTTTAGTTTGAGTTTGATGGTTTCAGAAAGTGACGATGCAACGCCCCAGGGAAACAAGACAAAAGTAAAGATATCACTGGCTTTGAGGGATGACTTTCTCAAGAAACTTCACATCAGAAATACAAGAGAAGTAGAGAACTTCAAGTTCATAGAAAGTGCAGTGCAAAGGGTGAGGGGAAGTCATTTAGATCCATTCATCACATGCCCCACATTAAGTGTGTTATATCCGTCAGTTCGTTAGAAGCGTGTTCGTTATAAACAATGTTTACTGTACTTTAATTGCCGGTCCATAGGGACTGACAGGCACATGAATTACTGGTCCAAGCCTAATTTTACAGGTAAAGAAACAGTTAACCGTGTTCGCTATAAACAATGTTTTTTGTAATTTGTATGCTGGTCCACAGTGACTGACAGTCACATGAATTACCGGTCTAAGTCTTATTTTACAGGTAAAAACAGTTAATTACCGGTAAACGGGAACACTGGAGTTCCTGACCACCCAGGTGTATTCCAGGACTCAGTGGTCCAGAACCCCCATTCCCAGTACTACGACTTCTGTTAGCTTCCAGGGCTAACTGATTCTGGGCTTGAGTCTCAGATTTGCACCATTTCCATAGAGCAATAAACTCTATGACTTAGCCGTTTCTTGCCACAGTATTAGATAAACCTGACATGGCCTGATATGACCAGAATACTCTTAGACTTAAGCCTGTTAAACAAATGCAGCTTTCTTGCTGTTATCGTAATTACCACCATGAAATGATGAGCAAGTAGATGAGCTGTTTGGTGTTTGCTTGCAGACATCTTGGCTGAAGAAGAGCAACATGAAGTGGTACATGTTTGGGAAGCGGCCGCAGTGGCTTGATTGTTCTGTTGAACTGGAGCAGGGCCACGGAGATACTGAGGAAGGCTCCCTCACTATACACTACGCCTTCAAGGGAAAGCCCATGGTAGGTACATGTGGTTGGGAAGTTGGGAAGTTTTAAAACAGATATAATAAATATAATATATATAACAAGCATGAAATACACATACGCCAATATGACATGTCCGGTTGTGTACTAGGCAAGAAATTTTGAATGGTTTTCAAGATCTGCTCTGGAAATGAACACTTCTGCCATTTTCAATCTAAGTCAAACTTGTTTCAAAAATAAAAGTTCCCAAACTATCAAAGGGCACCAGTTTACCACTAGACCTATCTATGTGTCAAGTTTGGTGAAGAAATATTTCAATGTTTTCAAGATCTGCTCCAGAACGGAGCACTACCACCATTTTCAGTCTGAAGTCAAAGTCGTTGCCTTTGAAACTCCAAATAAAATTTGTCAGAAATCCCAAAATGTCAAAGACACCAATTCACCACTAGACCTATCTATGTGCCAAGTTTGGATATATCTCTCATGGTTTTTGAGTTCTGCACTGGAAAAGAATGTGATGGACAGAGGGACGAAAAGATGGACAGACAGCACCCATTCTTAAATCCCCTTTCACTTCATAGACAAAATTTAATGAAAGAACATTTTTTAGGGCAGTGACAAGTTGATGGATAGCATTCCTTGTAGGTAAATCATGGACTTGATATGCCAAAGACCTGGGTCCAATCGCAGTCGTTGTAACAATGTGAAGCCCATTCTTGTGCCCCCTGCAGTGATATTTGTGGAGCATGTCTCAGCCCTGTCTACTGTTGCCCCACTGTTTTCATCATAACTGAAATAAGTTAACAGCAAGGAAAAAACTGACCTTTGTATATTTCCTTTATTCAGCTTTAGCGATATAAACGATGGTGAAGTGTTCTCTGTATTCACTGAACATGTTTGTTTTGTGTGTGAATTCTGAAAAGATGGGAACAGTAAGTAGAATCGTACCTTAATCGATTGGGTCTAAACCTAAATAGGTCACCATGTTGGAAGTTAAGGCTTTCTGTGGTCTGTTTATGGTTGACTGAGAGTGCCTACTTTATTGCGATATATAAGATAGCTACGCGATAAATCGCAGAGAACAATGAAGAATAAAACATTGTTCTATCATGACGTCATTTCTGGAGATTCGAAAATGCGCTCGCAACTTGATGACGTTATATATCGAACAACATTAGTTTTGAGAGGGTGTCTTGTGAGTTGTTCCCCATAGATGCAGCTGGTTAACACATATAAAAGCGATGGCTGAACGATTGCATCCAAAAGTGGAAGAGACATGACAATCGGTATTGGGAGAAAACGTATAGATGATCGATGTGATGATTGTTAGAATATGGGTGAAATACCAAACTTAACCCACCTGTTCGTAATATGGACTTTTCCGACATTTCCGAGGTCATTATTAAAGTCCGGGTAAATATTTTTAAAGCTTGTACATTTTATCATCATCCTTAAAGAGGCTGCATAATAGTGATATCTCACATGAGAAGTAAATGACTCATGGTCGTTGTGCCCCTCATGGTTTATTCTCCCTGCAGTGTTTTTGTATGATAAACAGCTCCGACTCATTGCTTATTTCTTAAATAGCAGTGGTGTTCCTGACTTGATTGTGTATCCGCTTGTCCTGCATGTTTCCATCAGCACTCCCAGATCTGCATCCAGGACATTGTGTGTGTGAAGCAAGTGAGTGACTACCTGGAGCGGACTACCGTCGTCCTCCACACCACGGACACAGTCAAGTCCCTTCAGCCCTGGCTCCTCAAACTTACATCAGAATCCGAGGTCGAGGACTGGGTAGGTACCTTAGCATGCTTAGGGCAGGGCTAAAATGATCAAAATAATGATAATGATAAAATTATGATAATATTAATCCAATGTTTTATTAATTTTGAGGTTTCTGTCATTGATTAGATACCTCTTGATTTGTTTTTAAATTAATCATGTTTGCATTAAAAAGGATGATTTAGAGGTTTCAAATTAGTGATGACATTTATGAAATATAAGGGACATAACTCTGCACATCAAGTTGTGAGACTTGGAACCACTGGTTCAGACATTATGCAGTCACAAAAACAGAAAAAGATGAAGACTAATAAGATCATGACTTTTTTTGTCAAATTGTTCCCTACGAAAAAAATACCCGTCAATAGTGATCATCTGTACCAAAGTGCTATACTTATGCTTACTGATCTATTTCAAATATATACAGTAAAGCTGCAACTAAAATAACATGATATTGGAATATGTTATTCCTGATAAAATAATAGTTTCAGATACAATTTTTCTGATCACTGAATACAAGTTTTTTTAAGTTAGTTTTTGGGTAATTTTTAACCGAGTCACTGGTAAGGTCTGTACAGCTGATTGCTGCTTCTGTTTATGAGACAAGACACATGGTAATCTTAATCTCTGATAAAAAACAATGCCTAGCAGAATGCGAAAATACAATTTAAACGATAAATCATCATGTCTGGTGCTTAATTGACCCTGTTTAACTGTTTTCACCTGTTCATTTACCTGAATTCGCAGAAGGGATACAATGTAACTTTTTTTTCTGTGGAAGACAAACATGTTTGATTGCAAATGTAGGGATTGTGTATACGCTGGTGACGTGCTTCGTTCCGATTCACTTTGTGGACAGGGTATGTAAATTAGCATCAATTTTGAAGGCTTTTACAGGGGGTCGCTCAATAGATGGCGATATTCGGTAAGTTGATTCAAGCAAATGCACTAAAAAGAGTACCAACATGTTGTGCTATTCCTTGCTGTGCACTAAAAAGAGTACCAGCATGTTGTGCTATTCCTCCAGGTGTCCTTGCTGTGTACAGTGAATGCCATGAGGTGGAAACTCAATCAGCCGGTTCCTCAAGGATCGGTGTGGTCAACTACGAAGAGGGGAGACATCTTTGTCCACCCTCCTGACAAGGTGCATGTCAAAGGTCATGAGATGCGCTGGATGCAGCAGGGTGGGCACTTGAAGCTCCTGGAGACGTCCCTGTGTGGGATAACTTGGGGCATCGGATACGACCACTCCGTATGGACCAACACTGGTGGATATGGTGGAGGGATCTTTAAAGGTTTGAATCGTCTGTCTTATGGTTACTGAAACTTATGGTTCTTTGTTTGTTATTCATCTTAGGTAGATTATGGCCTGGTGGTTTTAGTGTATTCTTGTCATCCTGAAGACCTTGGTTCAATTCCTGTACCAACCCGTGAAGATCCGGGGTGGAATAGGTCTTCAGCAACCCATGCTTGCCATAAAGGCGACTATGCACCACATACACTAAATATGCTTGAGGGTAGGATCGAAGCCTTAGAAACTCTCCGGAACCAAGCTGTGGAACACAGCCGCCCATCCAAGGACTCCTGCAACCAACATTGCCGTAAGAGGCAACTATGCTTGTTGTAAGAGGCAACTATGCTTGTTGTAAGAGGCAACTATGCTTGTTGTAAGAGGCAACTATGCTTGTTGTAAGAGGCAACTATGCTTGTTGTAAGAGGCAACTATGCTTGTTGTAAGAGGCAACTATGCTTGTTGTAAGAGGCAACTATGCTTGTTGTAAGAGGCGACTAATGGGATCGGGTGATCAGGCTCACAGACTTGGTTGCTGCATGTCATCATATCCCTATTGTGTGGATCGATACTCAAGATGTCAATTAATGGATTGTCTGTTCCAGACTCAATTATTTAATGACCACCGTCATTTAACTGGAATATTGCTGAGTGCAGCATGAAACAAAAAACAAACAAACAATTCCTGTACTGATAGATTTTTAACTAGTATAGAACTAAAGCACTCGGTTCTAAGTTAAAAATAAGATGGTATCAGTTCTACAGTGAGATGGCTTCAGATTTCAAAACATAGAACGTTTATCTCCTAATTTGAACACTTAAATTTCATTTGAAATCAATGATTTCAACATTGTTGTGGTTCCTTTTCCTGAGGATTTTATTTCGAATTACAGTCATTGCATACATGACTTATTGCAATATCTCGCCATGAAATTTAAACTACCAATACTCTTCCTTTATGTTTAGTTACATTTAGGTATCACATAATCTGAGTGGTGGTATTTTCAGCAAGATAGTTCATGAACGTGTGTGCTACATGTGTGCTACATCCGTGCTACATGCGTGCTACATGCGTGCTACATGCATGCTTGGTGTTCGCCCCTACCTGTTTCCTGAGGTTGCTGCTGTGTACAAGAATCCCAGTAATTCCGATGATACCACCTCTCAGTGAAATCAGCAGTGTAAACAACTTCCCAGGGTGCCCTTGTGCAGAACGATCTTAGCGCTAAGGTGATCGTAACTCCAATAACATTGACTTTTGACAGTTGTAGCTCTAAGGTTGTTTTGTACAGCGGCATCCGTTTTTTTTTTATCGTTGTCCTTTTATTGATATTTGGACATTCCCAGTAATACACTGTAACCAGGTTGTGAAGTAAATTAGCATCTGTCTGTTGTACAGCAACGTCTCACTTGTCAAAGGAAGTGTTCCTGCAGACTGACATGAGGACTGTGTTGGTCTACGAGAACCAGAAATGGCTGCCTGTGTTTGGCTACTCCAGTAGGTAAGTGTGTACACATTCCTGCCAGAATATTTTTCACAAACTTACAAAAGTTTAGACATTAGCAAATTCAATAATTGCTATTTAGATTTTTTAAGGTGATGATAGACGTAAATGAGGATAAATGCTTTCAATATGTAGTTATTAAATATGTCAACATTAATGGGGTTTTTAGACAAATCATGTCAACAGAGCAAGTACAAATGATGAGACAGTGAAGGTTCTGTTTGGTGCTAATCCTCAGCTGAGAATGTATTGTAATGACCAGACCTCATGTTTGCCATGCTTTATTATCCTTCCCCGGCATGTCAGCGGGGATTTAATTATAATGACCAAGATATACCGTCGAGAGTGTTCCCCTGAAATGAAGTTATTGAAGGTATTCGCCCTCGGCATGACATTGTAGGATGGAAAGTGGTGCCGACATATTGCAGTGAGTGTTTGTTTCAGGGGGTGGGTGGGATGAAAAGTGGTGCCGACATATTGCAGTGAGTGTTTGTTTCAGGGGGTGGGTGGGATGAAAAGTGGTGCCGACATATTGCAGTGAGTGTTTGTTTCAGGGGGGTGGTGATGGCCGACATATTGCAGTGAGTGTTTGTTTCAGGGGGTGGTGATGGCCGACATATTGCAGTGAGTGTTTGTTTCAGGGGGTGGTGATGGCCGACATATTGCAGTGAGTGTTTGTTTCAGGGGGGTGGTGATGGCCGACATATTGCAGTGAGTGCTTGTTTCAGGGGGGTGGTGATGGAGGGCTACAGTTGGAGTGATAAGATGAGTCAGAGACACGACAGCAAGGAGGAAGTGCAGCTTCCCTCATCACGCTGGAAGTGGGTGAGTTGTCCGTTACCATGGCAACAGTATAGACACACTGTCAGTGGGTGAGTTGTCCATACAGTATAGACACACTGTCAGTGGGTGAGTTGTGCATTACCATGGCAACAGTATTGACACACTGGCAGTGGGTGAGTTGTCCATTACCATGACAACAGTATAGACACACTGGCAGTGGGTGAGTTGTCCATTACCATGGCAACAGTATAGACACTGTCAGTGGGTGAGTTGTCCATACAGTATAGACACACCGTCAGTGGGTGAGTTGTGCATTACCATGGCAACAGTATTGACACACTGGCAGTGGGTGAGTTGTCCATTACCATGGCAACAGTATAGACACTGGCAGTGGGTGAGTTGTGCATTACCATGGTGGCAGTGTAGATGCTCTGGCATTGAGTGAGTTGTCCGCGACAACAGTGTAAATATGATATATTAGTTAAGTTGAGTGTCGAGAATGGAAGCATATCAGGAATTTTCAAGTGACCCAGATATAAGTTATTCCAAAGTAATGTCAATTTACTGTCAAGTTATTTGTGGGGAGAGGGAGCATAATTACTAACTTAATTGTTTTCATATACAGTAAACTATGTTTATAACAAACACACTTTATAACGAACTGACGGATATCACGAACTGTTTTTTGGTCCCATCCATATGTTGTATGTATGCTGTATATATGCATGTTACAAACTAAAATTAGTGGCCCCTTTGAGTTCCTATATGTCAATACATTGGCTGTTGTGCAGGTGAGTGACTGGCGGGTTGACTACGAAGTGGAGGGGGGAGCTGACAACAATGGCTGGCAGCATGCGTCCAGCTTCCAGAGGTAGGTTACCTGTTACCTGTTACCTGCTGCCTGCTGCCTGCTGCCTGTTGCCTGTTACCTGTTTCACACTGTGTTCACTGTTTCCTGTCCAAGTTGTGTTCACTGTTTCCTGTCACATGTCTTGTTCACTGTTTCCTGTCACATGTCGTGTTCACTGTTTCCTGTCACGTCACATGTCATGTTCACTCACTGTTTGCTGCCAAATGTCATGTTCACAGACTGTTTCCTGTCACGTATCATGTTCACTGACTGTTTCCTGTCATGTGTCATGTTCACAGACTGTTTCCTGTCACATGTCATGTTCACCAACTGTTTCCTGTCACGTGTCATATTAACAGACTGTTTCCTGTCACATGTCATGTTCACAGACTGTTTCCTGTCACCTGTCATGTTCACAGACTGTTTCCTGTCACGTGTCATGTTCACGGACTGTTTCCTGTCACATGTCATGTTCACGGACTGTTTCCTGTCACATGTCATGTTCACAGACTGTTTCCTGTCACATGTCATGTTAACAGACTGTTTCCTGTCACATGTCATGTTCACGGACTGTTTCCTGTCACGTGTCATGTTCACGGACTGTTTCCTGCCACATGTCATGTTCACGGACTGTTTCCTGTCATGTGTCATGTTCACTGTTTCCTGCCACATTGTGTGTTCACGGAGTGTTTCCACTTTGTTGTGTTATTCCAACAATTACTCCAGGATATTGAAAAGATGCCGGAGTCACTGACAGATGCCCTGGGCGCACACCTATCATATTTACAACAAATCAGAGGTGGTGGCCTAGTGGTTACAACATTGATTGTCACACTTGTGGTGTAGGTTTGATTCCCCACCTGGGTACAATGTATAAACCCACTCCACCCTTGTCTCCACCGGGAGATTGCGAGAATGAATAGTGTTAAAAGCTGCATATGACCATGCTTCCTCAAACCTACTTTCCAATCTTATGAGATTATTGCTCTTGTTAATTTTATGAAGGCCCCTGTTGGATCCAGTTCACAGGCGTAGGAGATATGGTTTTTAGTACTGTCCTTGTATCTGTTACTCTGTGTTCAAGTCTGTGGAATATATAAGTTCATGATAATCATCAACATTTCAGGCCGTTTCACCAAGGCCAGGGAATGAGGGACGGTGTCCGAAGAAGGAAATGGACAAGGTGAGGTCTTTACACATATATATAATTTTTAATTTGAAGTTAATACGATATCAATTTTTCCATTGGACGAGTGGTCGGTCACATGACTGCGAAATTGCCATTTATAAAGTGTATGAACAACACAATTTGACGTTCATACATTTTTCACGAGACCGTGTTTCTTGAATTGACATAAACACTGACGCCGGAGTGACGGACGTAAATACATACAGAAGTATTCTTTTTCATCGTTTCGACCCTTTGATCTTGAACTGAGCATTTTAGTATACATTGAGAAATGTCACAGAGTTTGACTGCATGATTGTTTAGGATAACCTCGCTACGACCCATCCCAGTAAAAAATAAGGAAATGCGTATCAAAACTATCGTAGTATCAATCCGTGTCTAGGCTGAAAGTGACAGTCTACAGCAATCTATGAATGTGTCTATTTGACACATCTTTAATCCCCTTTCAATAATCGACCAAATGATCAATGATGGATTAAACATGTAACTGCCACAGGTTCATTAACAACTTCTGAAATCTCTCCCGTCATATTTACGTGTCAGCCATTTTGGCGTCTTGTACTTGATGTAAATGTATTACGACACGCTGTCATTGTGACTGACTAATGAGGTAGCTCTTAACCTTCCTTTCTCATCTAATGGTGATATTTAAATACATGTGTTGTGTCAGATGTTTCTGAAGAGTAAGCTGTGTATACATACGCTCATGTCACCTTTTGGATGAACTATTTTATTCCGCGATACAACTGGTTGTTGTATGGCTGTCAGTGTAAAAATGAAGTCACACATACTAAATAAACTTGTGTAAAGATCAAGGCCTACATCCTTTGAGGTAAAAAATTGTGATAAAAAAATATAAGAATTGACTTTCACTTTGTTGGGTTCATTGGAGTATGAACCTCCATAGAGTGAGGGCCAGACATTGTATGAACATCAGAGCTTGGGCCCTCACTCTATGTCGTCATATTGATGGAATATTGCTGAGTTGCAAACCTCCAACTACAGAACTGTTCAAAGCAACTGAAACCCAACCCTCTGTTCTTGTGACACCAGAAAATGTAAGCTGGAGACTGTAGGACCATGGCAGCCGTGTGTCTCTGTGCCGCTGATTGACGTGTCGGTCCAGGTGGAACCAGTGATGTCGTCAAGTGAACCTGTGGTTCTGTGGGCAGTTGGCACGAATGGAAATGTGTTGACCAGGCTAGGGGTTACCATGGAGAATCCTCAGGTAAGTAGGTTTGTTAAGAATGAACTAATGCATGACCTTTGTTGAAAATAATGGTCATATTGTGACATTATCTGTTCCAAATTACGACCTGGCATTGTCGTAAAGGGGATAGTAGGTAGGCTAATGGTTTGAAGCTTTGCCTCGTCACATCAAATAAAGTGACATTACCCTTTCCATATCCAATAGAAATCTCTGCATAAAGCAGAGTTCATTGTACGATTCCGAATATGTCATGAGCATGTGTTTATAAATCACTATCAAATAGTGATGATACCAGGTGTTCACGAAAAGATGAGCGTATCCTGCCCCGCCGGTGGCACTTCAAAAACACATGCAAAGGCAAGTCAATTATTCACCTGAAAAAACACGCGACATATGGTACAAGCAGACATGATTTGATTTTTCACATTTCCCCTTCCTTGTGTATTGTTAAAAACTGTGTATACCTCTTCACTCGCTCACTTGTGTTCAGGGAGACAGCTGGATCCCTGTAGCTACAGACCAGCCGTTCAGAGCAGTATCAGTTGGAGGAACATACAGGGTGTGGGCCCTAGCAATGGATGGATCAGCTTGGTACAGGCCGGGGGTCACCAAGTACAACATAGCAGGTTTGTACATAGCAATCCACTTTAAGGAGCCTATGTCAGTCCACTTTAAGGAGCCCATGTCAATCCACTTGAAGGAGCCTATGTCAGTCCACTTTAAGGAGCCCATGTCAACCACTTTAAGGAGCCTATGTCAATCCACTTTAAGGAGTAAATGCCAATCCACTTTAAGGAGCCCATGTCAATCCACTTTAAGGTGTTACCGTGTAAATGTCTAGTACTATGTCTCTGATATCCATGTAGACCGCCTCCTCTAGTGGTAGAGCGTCTGCCCAGAGAGTGGAAGGTCAGGGGTTCGATCTCCAGGCGCGTCATACCAAAAGACATTAAAGATTGTACTTGTTGTAATCCTGCCTGGCGCTTGGCATTATTGGACTCAAACAAGGACTGGTCAGCTTGGAGTCAGTATACTGTGTCTGAGTGGGGTATTCATGTTAAAGTGAGGCATGGTATCTCAGTGGGCTAGCATTATAAATCAGCAACAGTCCGGACTAGTACAAGCAGCCACACACGCGTGCATGCACGTCGCTATATAAGTACAATAATCTTAGGCGTGACGTTAAACCTCATTTCACATCACCTCTCCTGATATCCATGTACAGTAAAACATGGATATAACGAACTTGTATTGCATTACATTGCATTGACTTGTATTAGCAGTGATCACTTCATAGCATTCAATTGATAACATTTCATAACATTCATTTAAGTATAACAAGGTTGATCCGTCACCGCTGATTGTGTTGATTCGCCGCGATTGTGTTGATTCACCGCTGATTGCGTACAGCCAATTGTCAGTGACACTTGACACTGAGTAAGATTTCTCAGTTCGCTATACACATCACTAATTAGTGATAGATGGGCTTGTCGGTGATCAGATATCAGTTCCTGTATTCGTTAGTTCGCTGTAGAGAGTTCGTTATATACGAAAATTTTATATGATATCATGTAGGAGATAAATCGGGGATTTTTTAACAGTTCATTGTATCCGTTTGTTCGCTATATCCGTGTTCGTTATATCGTGATCTACTGTATGCTACATAAGACTTCCCTTGCTTCAGGCACCTGCTGGCTGCAAGTGGTGCCCCCTCCCCCTCCTGGCTGCCTGCTGAAACACATCTCGGTGGGGACAACGGCTGTCTGGGCCGTCGACACGCGAGGTACGTGGAAGAGAGTATGAAACTTAGGCAATGGTTTAGAGGATGTCAAGTCTTGTTTTCCCAAAATGTGGTCCACTGTTACACATCCGTGTGGCTCTAGCTTGTACTGAAGGATACAACTCCCTCCCTCTGCGTCATGGTATAAAACCTAACATGGGACTCATAAAACCCTAGGAACCCCGAGTGATTCTGCTACAACGAATTTATCTTACCAACATGTTTTAATATGACATTGTAAAAGAATTAAAACAAATTGAAAATTGAAAAAAAAGCTGTTCGATTGAGCTGAGGTTAACTTATGTTGTGTCAGGTGACTTTCTTTGATTTGGAAAAAGCATTCACCCTCTAAGAAATTTATTTCCCTATAATGTATAAAGTGGGCACTGTATTTTATCAAGATCATGTGGACCAATCAGATCTCATCATTCTTGACATGGAGGTATAATAATGACAGTTGTGAAGCATGGATAACATTGTCTATTTCATATGAAGCTGGAAATTTAAAAAATATTTGTTTTATTGGCAATAAAAAGACATGTGCAGGATTTAAAGTGACATTTGATGCACGAGAATACTGTCCTTATATTTTAGCTTTACATTAATTTATTATCTACAGTAGCAAGACTTTCTCCCAAAGGATACTGAGACATAACAATGCACTGATGTAAAAATATAGGTAACAGATCTGACTTGGCATGTGTTTTCAGGTAACCTGTGGTACCGGCAGGAAATTACAGAAACATTCCCCGAGGGAACGCGATGGGGGTATGTGTCCAACAGCGTCAAGTTCGTGTCAGTGGGACCCCAAGACCAGGTACAGGCTTCTCACCAGCCTCCCCGTCTTGTTTCCTAGATACAACAGACAACAGCATCAGTTACATGTGTTGATGTCTTCAGCCTCAACTCTGTATTTAATTTAGTTTTGTTCAGCCTTAAATATTATGATAATCTGCATGTTTCAGCACATGACGTGGATACCATCCACATGTACTTCCGTTCAATGCCTCAGTGAGTGAGTGAGTGAGTTGGGATTAACGCCGTTTTTAACAGTATTACAGTTATATCACGGCGTGTCAGCTTAATGTGGGAGGAAAGCCCTAAGTGATGCAGGTCTCAGACGTTTATCATTTCGGTGAAACCCACGAGCACAGGAATGGTGCTGACAAACCTAGAAACATAATTGGGGCGAACCGGTTTTGAACCTACCATCATAGGTTTCTGGCATGTCCAAGGGATGCAACTCTGCACTGCGAATCGTGGCGCCTTAGACGACTGGGCCACCCGTGCCCCCCAATGTCTCAGTAAAGCTTACAAAAAGTTTTATGGTAAACATGTTGAGGATGTTTCCAAAATTGATGCATTAGTAACAAAACTTATGTTCTGATGCAATTCCCATATGTTCCTGTGTTTTTTCAGTAAACAAATGACTTGCCTTTGCATGTGTTTGTGATGACTGCCACCGGTGTGGCAGGGTACGATCACATTTTCGCGAACCCCTGGTATCATTACTATTTGATAGTGATTCATAAACACTTGCTCATGATATAGTCGGAATTGTACAATGGACTGTGTGTTTGGCAGAGGTTTCATATAAATATGAAAAGAGTTTTGTCACATTTATTAGTGGAAACCATCCATATGGAAACCATAATGATACAGTATGAGTTTTAGCAGTATCACAAGGGGTACACCTGGTTTTATCAAACCACCCCTCGTAATACTGCTACAATAAAATTCATCTTACCAACATGTTTTTAATGACATTGTAAACGAATTAAAACAAATTCAAAATTGAAAGAAAACAGCTGTTCAATTGAGTTGAAGTTAACTTTGTGCTATGTCACGTGGCTCGAAAAAAGCATGTTTTTTTGCTTTGAAGTGGGGTATAAGGGTCTGATTCTCACTCTCAGAAATCCACTTTCAGCCTGTCTTGTTCATGGTGGGGTATAAGGGATTTATTCTCCTTCCGAGGAATTTATTTCCTTCCAAGGCGGGATACATTGTATTTTATCAAGATCATGTGGACCAATCAGATCTCATTATTCTGATGTGGTGGTATGGTAACAGTAAGTGCAACTCTTTTGCCTAAAGAAAGTAATGTAATAATAAGATAATATTTACTTCATAAGTGTAAAAGGTAAATAATAGTGACAAAATCCTTTCCATAACCATTAGAAACCTTATCTTCCTGAGGTAAGGGAGTTAGCAGACTATAAAAGTCCAGTTTCCACCCTTGCCGAACATGGCTGGATTTTCTGGGCTCGATAGTAGTGCCACCAGTGGCTATTATGAGTTATGTCCCTCCTATTGACCAATGAGATTCCTCCCTCACATCACTTGCATTTGCTTCAAACACAGTGGCAGCACACAGTCAAGAAGATCTGATCGATAATCAAAATCTATATTGTGATAAACTTCGCGAAGTGCATCAAATCACGTGAGCATCTTGATTAAAAGCATGAATACATTTGGAAAATATATGCTGATGCTGAGTTGACGGAATACATGTTCTGCAAATCCTGTATTCAACCGATATCTACACGACAGTTTACGAACCAGATGTTGATTTCGTTATGCTATTTGATTGCAATATGTGTAGACTCGTTAGTCCAGCCAAAATATAACTCCATAATTCCAGCCTAGTTCGGCAAGGGTGGAAACTGGAATTTAATAGTCAGTTATCTCCTTTGCCTTGCGAAGATGTAGAAACCTAGCTGAGTCTGTTATTTGATCCTGAGTCTATCACAAGCATAACTGTCACTATTATATACTGTATTTGACCGCGTATAAGCCGAATTTTGAGGACCAGAAAAAAGATTCTAGAGAAAGGGGTCGGCTTATCCACGGGATACACTTTCATGATAGTATTTTTCAGAGCGTGATCTATCAGAAACATCGCCGGAATTACGGTCCGATAGATTACAACTTCCTGAAAGTTTGGAATTTGCCACAACTAGAGCCATTATTGTTATAAATTATCAATAAAGTGACTTTTTCAATATAATTACAACGTTTTTCATCTTATATTTTTGAATATCTGCGAGTACCGGCACCTGTCTTGCAGTCCGACTTCGCAGTGTTTTTTGCCTTTCACTTCCTGGTTTGGCTTATCTGCGGGTCATATCATTTTCTTTCGTATTTCAATGGTCAAGTTAAGACCTCGGCTTATCTACGGGGTCGGCTTATCTGCGGTCATATACGGTAGTGATGATTCCAGGTGTGTGGGAAAAGTTGAGTGTATCCTGCTCTACTGGTAAACCATGTTCATGTTTGAGTGATCTGTGATTTCTAGGATTATATGTCAGTTTATAACATAACGTTCGTCTCTGCTGCTAGGTGTGGATCGTAACTGACAGTAACTTCATGAAGAACAAGAGAGGCCCCGGTGTTATCTATCGACGTGTGGGTATCAGCGATGTCTGTCCCACAGGAACCAGCTGGGAGATAGTGATTGGGGTGCGTTTCATATTGTGTGTTGTGACCATGTTGGACTTGCACTTGTGGCTTCTGCACACTGAGTGAGTGAGTGAGTGAGTGAGTATTGTTTTACGCAGATTTTAGCAATATTCCAGCAATATCACAGCCTGGGACACCAGAAATGGGCTTCACATATTGTACCCATTTTGGGAATAGAACCCGGTCTTCAGCATGACGAGCAAACACTTTAACCACTAGGCTACCCCACTGCCCTGCATACAGAATGAATGTAAACCTCATTGCTTAGATGCCTTTCCCGTGAAGATTGCGGGTTTAAATCGGTCTTCAGCAATCCATGCTTGTCGTACGAGGCGACTACTGGGATTGGTTAGTAGTCCGGCTCACTGACCTTTTTTATGCATGTCTTTGTATCCCAGTTTGTGTAGATCATTGCTCATGATATCAATCACTGGATTGTGTAGACTGGATTTGATTATTTACAGACTGCTGTCATATCGCTGGGATACTGCTGAGTTCAGCATTAGACAACAAACAGACTACATACTGATGTGAAGACTTCCAGGAACCACCATAATTGTATTTCTTTCATTTCAGAGTGGCTGGGAATATGTATCTATACGAGGGCAGTACGAGCCTGAGGAAGAACCAGAAGACCTTCCCATTAAGGAACCCTTGTGAAACCGGACTACAGTGGCTGCGAACTGTGCAATATCAAGGAACTGACGTGTCTTATGTCATCTTACACATATACTCATGGAAATAAATTAGGAGACCAATACCATTAATGCAGCATATTGCTTCCTTTTCAATCAGTCTGCTTCATATGTCAACAGTCTGTGCTGAAAAGTAGAAAATGTCATCATGTGAAATATCTGCACTTGGCGTGTTGATATGGGTAAAGTATCTGTGTTGATCTTAGGGTGGGTACATCACACACATGCTCTCCCCCATGTCCCTTTATTTCTTTCCTTCAGTATATATGGACCATAATAGATAACTATTGAAATTGTTGATCCAGTGTATCGGTACATAGATCCATTCCAAATACCGTGGACCCAAGTCGACAACCAATCAAACTGCATCTTCTGAATGAAAGTATAGCATAGATCCATATTCAAAATGGCTGCTTTGTACACGCAAGTTCTTAGCGTAATTAATTTTATGAGAGTTATGAATGAATTTTGGTTTGAAAGATCTTTCCCTGAGAATTGATAAAGGTGGATTGGGTCTTCATGCTTCCAGATGTTTTCAATTGTATTTGAGACATACCTAACAAGACCAGTTAAGTATTGGTAAAAACGAACGCATATTTCAATTATGTAATTTCAACATGTATTATCAGTTTACATTCAAACCAAAGTTAAGGAGGTGAACGGTTCTTCTGTTGTCAAGGAGACAGTCTACAGTGGATTATGAAGGATGCATGTTTGTGTACATGAGAGGATATGATGGTATGATGAGATTTGACATTCCATGCCCGCTTAATAAGGCTGGGACGAGTCCAAATTTACTACCCGCGTACCCACCCTCCCTATGACCAGACCCTACCTGGGTACCCGATGTAGGTCTTAAGGTTTGACCGTACTCCTGTCAAAATGTATTTGGATACACGTATAAACCGGTCTGGTCATGCATACACTGAAGTTGACTGAAGTTTTATCTTTATTCAAACATGTACAAGTCAGAAGGAATGGGTGCATTGTCAGAAAGAAATGTGAACATTAGTGACTTGTACTGTAACCATGGAGTTCTAGATCATTTTAGTCTTTAAACAATATATCATGTTACTCACCACTGGTCCGGGTAGTCCTGTGGGTACCCGGGTCCTTCTCAATACCCATCTAGTCGATATTCTGCTACATCTTGCTTGCATTACACTGTCCACATGTTCCCGAGGCAAGAGAGTTAACTGACTATAAAAGACCAGTTTCCACCCTTGCCGAACTAGGCTGGTATTATGGAGTTACATTTTGGTTGGACTAACGAGTCCAATCAAAATCGCGCACCGAAATAGAAATCCGGTTCGTAAACTGACATGAAGATTTCGGTCGATGCAGGATTTACAAAGCATGTGCATCGCCAACTCGTTGTCAGCAGATCTTTTCATGTTTTTAATCAAGGTGCTCATGTGATTTGATGCAAGACCCCTTTTATCACAGTATAGATCTTGATCACTGATCAGATCATCCTGACTGGGCGCCACCATTTTGTGTGAAGCAAACGCAAGTGATACGAGAGGTGGAATCTGATTCGTCCATAGGAGGGGCTTAGAAGGAACAAAACTGGTAATAGCCACTGGTGGCGCTACGATCGAGCCCAGTAATTCCAGCCTAGTTTGGCAAGGGTGGAAACTGGACTTTTAATGTCAGTTAACTCCCTTGTCTGGGGAAGATGCACTGTCCACTGTCAACCTCTGAATATTTGTGATGACCTCATTGTTACAACAATCAAGGTGTAAATGTGTTGTTACAGGACATCTGTTGGTATTTCCTGGTAATTGAAACAATGGCACTTCCAATCCATCTTGGTGGAACTGTGTTTTTTGCTCATTGTATATCCCAAGTTAAACTCGTGTTATTGAATATTGTTAAGAGCTGTGTCACGGCGCCACAGTACCGAATCTTAAAGACTCCTCAGCCCCACAAACACTGTATGTAGCTCACCTAATCCAGAACGGTCTCAATGACTTTTTGTATGCGATTTTAATATCTTCATCAATGTCATGCCTCCCAGCAGCACTTTTCACCAAATTATTTGTGGTTTATTATTAAATATGTGGACAATTATCTAAATCTAATCAATAATGTGTAGAACCATTCCTTCAACTGAACCTCGTTAATTTCCTGTTTGCCCAAATTTCATAGTCTGCTTTCTCAGTTTGTTTGATGTTTAAAGCCGCACTCAACAATATTTCAGCTATATGACGGCGGTCTGTAAATATTTGATTCTGGCCTAGACAATCCAGTGATTGACATCATGAGCATCGATCCAAGCAGTCGGGATACAATGACATGCATCAACCAAGTCAGCGAGCCTGACAACCAGATCCTGTTAGTCACCTTTTATGACAAGCATGGTCGCCTTTTTCGCCAGTCATGTGTTGCTGAAGACCTATTCTAACCCGTATCTTCACTGATGGCATTTTCAGAGATGAAGCCACTTTTAATACCACCCACTGGTGTAGAGAAACTGTGTGTTTCAATGCCATTACATTCCATTTTCACAAGCTATGGGCCACTACAACTGTTAACCGATGCATAGAAAAATGGTATTTAAGATATGGTGACCAAGGTATTAGATGTGGTCCTGTCACAACCATGTACAGTGTCTGTCTTTGTGTCAATGTTTAATTTTGGTGGAATTTTTCTCACCGGTTATTGCAGTATCTCCCTGTGATTTGCTGAAAGATTGCAGAATCAATCAGTGATACAGTGTTCCCTCGTTATTGGGCCCTTCATTATAGTGCTAACTTTGATATAGCGTGCGGTAAAGCATGCCTCCCAAAATTTACCAACATTTTCAATAAACTCAAGTTTTCCAATGTCACAATGTTTTCTAAAAAAACAAGCGATCGCGTAACACTGGAAATACCAGCCAACAAATCTGAACTGAAGTACACAATTTAATCCTATTATTACAATATCTGGTAATGTTCCTTGTTTATCTGGACTAATGTTTGCAATATATTTTTTTAATCATGTTCAAAATTTCATTTGATAATTATAATAATGTTTACAATAATATCGGCGAAATCATATGCGAAGTGATCGGTAGATCGCACAATTCACCGTTATTAACAGCAACCACAGTCAGATTACCGCTATTGATGCCTTGAAACGAACTTTAGTTGCCAGAGAACGGATACACTTATCATAAATGCATGTATGTAGATGTAGAACTTGCACATTCCAGACTTAATGTATTCCTAAGCAAACATCGGAGATAAAATATTTTCAATATGGCAGCCATGGAAGCCATATTGTTTTCATGAAAAAAGGTTCGGTAATCTAAGAGCATGTTCAGTTGATTTTGTAATGATTGACAATGATTGTCCTGTGAATAGATTCCCATTTCACAGAAAACTTGTGCATTATCACAGTCAGACTTTAGTAATGTAAAAGATATCAAGTTTCATATATGCATAGATATGGTTGAACCAGAATTTCCCTAGCTTTTGCTCATACCCAGGTGCAAAAAGCACTTAAAACTTCCATATCATTCCTCCTATCTTGGTTATTCCAAAGTGTTCAGCCCTTGGATGTAACTTCAGGACACTGCAGAGTAGGTTTCATACTGGTATGCCAGTTGGATGTGCAGAGAAACCAACAAGGATGATGGCAGTAAACATTTGCTGCTGTCTGAAAGGGGGGATGTTAATTTAAACAGCCATCGAGTCTTCGACCAGTGGGTCATCCATGCCCCCATCATCCTCCTGAGGCAAGCGTGTCCACTAGCCAATATCAAAGCCTAGTTTCTGCCCTTGCCACATAAAGTCCACTTTTCTTGGCTCTACCTTGGCGCCATCTCCTGTAGATCACGAGTTGTGCCCCTTGTCCAATCAGATCGCTGTTCTTATCGCATATAGCTTCACTAAGATGGCGACTACCATAGGCGACGACCTAGTCGATCAGATAATGAAAACGTTTGTGATTTCATCCCTGACACAAAAACACAGGCATTCATTGGGGGGTTTAAAAGACATATTCATGTCAACAAAGACAGGCAGGGGTAAATCACTTTCATACGAATATGTACCAGTCATGGATGTTTTTGTGAAACGTTCTCTGATGCGATGTGCGATAGTCCATTCATATTTAGCACAGGGGCTTCTCCATTTTTCACATTGAGGGCACAGGACTCCAGCCTCACACAATAAAGTACCATTGTTAACCTCCTCTTGTTTACTGAACGTTTCATCAGTTGTCTTCATAAGGGCTGTGTACTGGCAAAAAAGTAAATTGCAATATATTTTGATACAGATATCTACATTGATATATGTATTAAGTTTTTGGGAGCTGAAGTGTTTGAAAGTGTTTGACACTGATTGTACATGCAGATCCTATTTCCTATATACTGAAGTAAATATCACTCAGAATGGCCAGGGGCCGCCATTTTGTAGTCATGGATACAGGGGAGATAACAATGTGAGAGAGATATCACTTTTGTTTCTACTGTTATCATTTTAAAAAGGAAACATCATTTGTGAAATGAATTTCTGTGGAGATTTCTGGTTAAACCATACAAATAATAATGAACTTGTAATATGTTTTTTTACACAATATACTGGAACAAAGTAAATGTCGTAATCGGTATTGTTTGAAAAGCTTGTTGCAGTATACCAGTAATACTGTGCAGCTCTAGCCTTCAAGTGGCGGTCTGTATGATGCCTTTAGTGTAGAAAAGCACATTTAAGCACATGCTTTTTTTTATATGATGTTTTGGATTATGTTTTAAACAAAGTCTTATATGGTTTCTTACATATCAGTTTATGAATGTGTTGAATATTAGACAATAACAATATTCCTTTTCAGTAATAAATTCATTTTCATTGAAATACGTTTGCTGGCAATATGAAACAAACAATTTTGTATTGGTATGGAAACTCTTTCTTGTCCTTTACTCATCATCCAATGTACTTATTTATATTTATATTGTTGACATTTAATCTGTATGTTTATACTGTTTATTTTTTCAGTATGTTTTCATTGTCCATTGTCCATTTAATATATCAAAGTGCAAGATTTCTCAAATTTTATCAGATTATAATGCCAAATGCCATAATACCAGTATATTATAGTTGATTTTTTTCCATTTAGTACTTTCATACATTCTGTTACAAAGAAATATTGCCACTGCAGAAAAATAAAATGGTTTTTGACATGTCTTTCTCCTTGTAAATAAATCTATTGTCCTTTCATTGTTGATGAAAGATGTGACATCAATTCTGGATCAGGCAAGCAACATCTGAACTTATATTATTTGTGGTGTATTATAGTGCTTGTAGAGGACCAGAGCTGGGATTAGTCTTGGCTTTGTAGTACAGAAGCAGTGGATCATGATGAACACCCCACAGCCATTGGGGCACCCTATACAACTGGGCCACCTTGCCCACCTGACCACCGTTTTGAAAACAAGGTAAATGCAATAATGCTGAAAGACCTAGGATTACTGTGGGGACAAATCCGGGATTCGGACCACTAAACAGATTCTGGCACCTAAAGAACGTAGAGCCGTACCGAGAGTTTGAGTTTGTGCATATCAAACACACCTATAGGGACAAAAAGTTAGTCCTCACCCAGTGACTTTTCAGGTAGAGGTTACTAAACAGCCTTGGAAGAATAGAAATGAGAGTCAATATACATAATCATTAGGGCTGGGACGAATTTACTACCCAGGTACCCACCCCCCTATTACCCGACCTTACCCGGGTACCCACTGTAGGTCTCAGGAGATGTCTCAAAATGTCCGAATGGGAACATTTTTAGCATAGCCCCAGCAAAACGTATTAAGATACATGTATTAAACAATCTTGTCATTCATACACTGAAGTTGAATTAAGTTATATCTTTATTCAACTATATGAAAAATCAGAAGGAATGGGTGCATAGAAAGAAATGCGAACATTAGTGACTTGTAGTGTAGCCATAGAGTTCTAGATAAATTTTGTCATTAAACATTAATCACGTGACTAACCACGGGTCCGGGTAGTCCTGTTGGTACCCGGGTCCTACTCAGTACCCACCCGACCCAGGTACCCGAGTTACCCGTCCCAGCCCTAATAATCATGTCATATTTGTGCTTGTGACAATGTACACTTTAACCTCTTATTTGACCTGGTACCCAAAGCTTGTCTCCCCTTGGGTATTCAAGAGCAGAGTAGGTGCCCAGTATCCAGTGATCGTCTCCCCACAGACATTCTAGGGCAGAGTTGGTTCTGGGTACCCAATGCTTGTCTTCCCACAGAGATTCTAGGGCAGTGTAGGCTCTGGGTACCCAATGCTTGTCTTCCCACAGAGATTCTAGGGCAGTGTAGGCTCTGAGTACCCAATGCTTGTCTTACCACGGAGATTCTAGGGCAGAGTAGGTTCTGGGTATCCAATGCTTGTCTTACCACGGAGATTCTAGGGCAGAGTAGGTTCTGGGTACCCAATAAGTGTCTTCCCACAGAGATTCTAGGGCAGAGTAGGTTCTGGGTACCCAATAAGTGTCTCCCCACAGATATTCAAGGGGCAGTGTAGGCTCTTGGTACCCAATGCTTGACTTTCCAACGGAGTCTCTAGGACAGTGTAGGCCCTGGGTACTCAATGCTTGTCTCCCCACAGAGATTCTAGGGCGGGGTAGGTTCTGGGTACCCAATAAGTGTCTTCCCACAGAGATTCTAGGGCAGAGTAGGTTCTGGGTACCCAATAAGTGTCTCCCCACAGATATTCAAGGGGCAGTGTAGGCTCTTGGTACCCAATGCTTGTCTTCCAACGGAGTCTCTAGGACAGTGTAGGCCCTGGGTACTCAATGCTTGTCTCCCCACAGAGAGTCTAGGGCAGTGTAGGTTCTAGGTACCCAATGCTTGTCTTACCACGGAGATTCTAGGGCGGGGTAGGTTCTGGGTACCCAATAAGTATCTTCCCACAGAGATTCTAGGGCAGAGTAGGTTCTGGGTACCCAATAAGTGTCTTCCCACAGAGATTCTAGGGCAGAGTAGGTTCTGGGTACCCAATAAGTGTCTTCCCTCAGAGAGTCTAGGGCAGTGTAGGTTCTGGGTACCCAATAAGTGTCTTCCCACAGAGATTCTAGGGCAGTGTAGGTTCTGGGTACCCAATAAGTGTCTTCCCACAGAGATTCTAGGGCAGTGTAGGTTCTGGGTACCCAATAAGTGTCTTCCCACAGAGAGTCTAGGGCAGTGTAGGTACTGGGTACCCAATAAGTGTCTTCCAGCGGGGTAAGGCGGACAATGGGGATGCGGTGGTTAGACTGTGACCTGGTTGATTGTGAGTCATGGATCGTGCACAGATGAACGAGGATCATTGCTCAGGCTGTTAACCCAAACTCCACCTTTCAGACGTGTATAGGCTGGAGACAACTGCATAAAACCGCAACCGATCACTGACGCCACGACTGATTGGAATGTAAGCTGGTGTTCAGATTGATGAAAACGTAATTCAGTAATAAACCATCTAAGTACTGATGAGGTGGAGATTCCTTGCACAAGTATTATAACTTTGCTTGCAGGTTATGGTAAAAAAAGTAAGGCATGAGTTAAAACATATCTGTGATGTCCATTAGTTTTAACGAAATGACGGTTGTCAATTATTCATGCCCACAGTTCAATTAACATACACTTGAACTTGGCGTAACTATTTAAGTCTCAACACTCGTGTGGGGCGATGGGGTAGCCAAGTGGTTAAAGCGTTCGCTCGTCACGCCGAAGACCCGGGTTCGATTCCCCACATAGGTACAATGTGTGAAGCCCATTTCTGGTGTCCCCCGCCGTGATATTGCTGGAATATTGCTTAAGGCGGCGTAAAACCATACTCACTCACTCAACACTCACTGGTGTGAATAATTTCATATTTTGTCGGAAAACGTGTGTGATTTGAGTAATAGTCCACCTCGACAGACACTTGTCAGAATCGCTTGAAATTAAAAAAAAATGTATTCTCAAACATTTTGTAATCCTTTTAAGTTTCAGAAGCATAATGTGTAATGGTATGTTATCTGTCACAGTGATCGCGTGAAGATTATTTTTTAATAGATAACCTTTGATGAGAAAACATAAAATACAGGAGAAACCTAGTTCAGGACTCGCTATTTCCTACAATCCCTATCAACATGTTCTCAAAACGTGCAAGTGGCTGATAAAGGTGAGGTGAGGTGAAATGGGGTTTAACGTCGCGTCCAAGATTATTGCACTTATATAGCGACGTGCATTCACGTGTGTGTGTGGCTGCTTGTACTAGTCCGGACTGATGACGATGTTTTTAGCACACTGAGATACCATGCCACAGTTTAACATATATACCCCACTCAGACACAGTATACTGAGTCCGAGCCGAGCAGTCCTTGTTTTATCCCCTTAATGCCGAGCGCCAGACAGGGTAACAACGAGTACCATCTTTTAACGTCTTTTGGTATGATGCGGTCGGGGATCGAACCCCGGACCTTCCGCTCTCCGGGCTGACGCTCTACCACTAGACCAAGGAAGCGGTCGGCTGATAAAGGACGCCCACGATATGGAAAGAGCCTTGCAGTGTGCATCATTATATTGATCCACTCGCCACAGACCAGCAGAGCACATATTCCACCTCCATCACGTCATGGCGACTCACACAGTGTTAGTGCAGGCTTTAAATAGTTCTTGCAAAGTTCCACAAAATAATCTAAAACAGTCTAACAGTAAGGAAGTGTTTTAAGTATGAACAAGTAGGGATGTAGGGAGGTTCGTTATAAAGAGTGAGTGAGTGAGTGAGTGAGTGAGTGAGTTAAAGCTTTACGTCACATCGGCAATATTTCAGCCATATCGTGACGATCGTTATAAAGACATTTCGAGGCCCACCGATACTGATGTAGAAGCGGCAGCTACCAGTATGCTATGCTTAAACGAATATAAAAGTAATTTACACCCCTTACAAAACTCGGCTTATCTCAAGCTGAGCTTGTATACAGTCAATTCTCATTCACTGCTTGTGTGACCATTATAAAATAGTCAATACATTACAATATGCTGCCCCCGACAAGTGCCGGCGTTTTGAAACGTTGAATGGAGAGCTCGCTGTCGTGTTGACTAACGTACAAAAACTGCACATGACTCGTCTCTGTGTCGAAATACCTCTTCATTCACATGAATCAGCCACTAAAAATACTGCTGGCTAATTTGTAAATATATTCGACCATGGGCCTATATGGCCGGGTTGTATTGCTCAGTCATTCGACGAACCACTGTTGTAGCCGACTACGCATCGCGTGTGGTGTCGACTAACCAGGAAGCGTAAACTAGCGGAGTGTTGGGATTTCAAAGGTAAAGTGTTTTCTTTAAGATGTTACTTAGTAGTTGTTCTATATAGGCTGAAATGCTCTCTCTCTCTCTCTCTCTCTCCCTCTCTCTCTCTCTCTCTCTCTCTCTCTCTCTCTCTGTGTGTGTGATATATTCACAACTGTAATGCTCTCTCTCTCCCTCTCTCTCTCTCTCTCTCTCTGTCTCTCTCTGTGTGATATATTCACAACTGTAATGCTCGCGCTCTCTCTCTCTCTCTCTCTGTGTGATATATTCACGGCTGAAATGCTTTCTCTCTCTCTTTCTCTCTCTCTCTCTCTCCAACAAACGTTTTGGATATATTCAGGCTGAAATGCTCTCTGCCCCTCTCTCTCCTCTCTCTCTGTGTGTGATATATTCACGGCTGAAATGCTCTCTCTCTCTCTTTCTCTCCCTCTCTTTCTCTCTCTCTCTCTCTCTCTCTCTCTCTCTCTCTCCAACAAACGTTTTGGATATATTCAGGCTGAAATGCTCTCTGCCCCTCTCTCTCCCTCTCTCTCTCCATCAAACGTTATGGGATATATTCAGGCTGAAATTCTCTCGCTCTCTCTTTCTCTGTGATATATTCACAACTGAAATGTTCTCTCTCTCTCTCTCTCTCTCTCTCTCTCTCTCTCTCTCTCTCTCTCTCTCTCTCCAGGATATATTCACAACTAAAATGGTCCCTCTCTCTCCAACAAACGTAGGATATATTCAGGCTGAAATGCTCCCTCTCTCCAACAGACCTTAAACGTTCTTTTAGAAATGGCGACTTCAGACACCGCCATGCTGAAGCGGTACAAGGCTGCCATGCTTCTGGCGGGCGCGGGTGATGCTCTCGGCTACAAGAATGCAGAATGGGAGTTCTGTCGAAAAGGAAGATTTATCCACGAAGAACTGGAACGATTGGGAGGATTAGAAATGATCGAAGTGAACAGTTGGTATTTCTATGTTGTATTTCACATTGCTCTCGTATTCAAATTAATTACATTATCAGCTAATGGAAAATTGGTTGTAGAGGTTTTAATAAAGTTTGTCCTAATTATGTAAATTTACATAATAGAAATGATCATGAGAATGTACATACGTCATAATAACTTGTTATTTTGTACAACTTACTATAGCATTGACATAGTCAAGTGCAAATATATTTTCTTAAACAAATATTTTCTTACACATTTTAAAGTAAGATTTCTTCAATTTAGGCACACGTGCAACCATACAGACTTATAAGTGTGCACTGAAGTCATCCGGGTAACTGTGATATCAGGTCATATCAATAGGATCTATCATGTGTTTTCAGGACACGGCTGGACGGTGAGTGATGACACCGTAATGCACCTGGCTACTGCCCAAGGTAAACTGTTTGAGTGAGTGAGTGAGTGAGTGAGTGAGTGGGTGGGTGGGTGAGTGAGTGAGTGAGTGAGTGAGTGAGTGAGTGAGTGAGTGTTGTTATTTTTGTGGCCTGAGTTTCAGTAGGTGAGTTATAAATAGTTATAATCACCTGGCTTCTGCCCAGGGTAAATAATCAACGTTTCAATAATTAAAACAAGCTTATGCTAATTTATTACAAGCATGTTAACAGACCAGATTCCTGACGCGGGCAGCAATATGTGAAACCCATTCTTCTGTGTTTGAAATTTGTTAAAAGCAAGTAAAACCAAGCTCACTCCCACACTTGAAACTAAACAGGTAATGCTGTTTTATTGCAGCACTGGTGTCCCCTGCAGCTGAGCAGGGCCGCATCGAGCTGTACCACGAGATGGCCCGCCAGTACATAGAGTGCATGAAGGACATGACCGGCAGGGCGCCAGGTGCGTTAGGCTGAACGAATCTCACTAACCAAAGGCCCTCGTTAACTATAGCGTAAATTATCTCTTCGTGAATTTAGTGTTAATGTACATGTTTGTTCTTTTTTATATTCAGGGTCTTTTCACAAGTTCATAGGTTTGGGACTATATAAGAATGACGTCACGAGTCATTCTTATATAAACCAGGTCCCATTCCACAAAACGATCTCAGCGCTAAGACGATCGTATCTCCCATACTTCAACACGGCCTATCACTAAGACGACCGTAGCTCCCATACTTGAACATAAGCTTAGCGCTAAGACGATCGAATCTCCCATACTTGAACATAGGCTTATCACTAAGACGACCGTAGCTCCCATATTTCAACATAGGCTTAGCGCTAAGACGATCGAATCTCCCATACTTGAACATAGGCTTATCACTAAGACGATCGAATCTCCCATATTTCAACATAGGCTTAGCGCTAAGACGATCGAATCTCCCATACTTGAACATAGGCTTATCACTAAGACGACCGTAGCTCCCATATTTCAACATAGGCTTAGCGCTAAGACGATCGAATCTCCCATATTTCAACACAGGCTTATCACTAAGACGACCGTAGCTCCCATACTTGAACATAGGCTTAGCGCTAAGACGATCGAATCTACCATATTTCAACACAGGCTTATCACTAAGACGATCGAATCTCCCATACTTGAACATAGGCTTAGCGCTAAGACGATCGAATCTACCATATTTCAACACAGGCTTATCACTAAGACGACCGTAGCTCCCATACTTGAACATAGGCTTAGCGCTAAGACGATCGAATCTACCATATTTCAACACAGGCTTATCACTAAGACGATCGAATCTCCCATACTTGAACATAGGCTTAGCGCTAAGACGATCGAATCTACCATATTTCAACACAGGCTTATCACTAAGACGACCGTAGCTCCCATACTTGAACATAGGCTTAGCGCTAAGACGATCGTAGCTCCCATACTTGAACATAGGCTTAGCGCTAAGACGACCGTAGCTCCCATACTTCAACACAGGCTTATCACTAAGACGACCGTAGCTCCCATACTTCAACACAGGCTTATCACTAAGACGACCGTAGCTCCCATACTTCAACATAGGCTTATCACTAAGACGACCGTAGCTACCATACTTGAACATAGGCTTATCACTAAGACGACCGTAGCTCCCATACTTCAACACAGGCTTATCACTAAGACGACCGTAGCTCCCATACTTGAACATAGGCTTAGCGCTAAGACGACCGTAGCTCCCATACTTGAACATAGGCTTAGCGCTAAGACGACCGTAGCTCCCATACTTGAACATAGGCTTAGCGCTAAGACGATCGAATCTCCCATACTTGAACATAGGCTTATCACTAAGACGACCGTAGCTCCGATACTTGAACATAGACTTAGCGCTAAGACGATCGTAGCTCTCATACTTCAACACAGACGTAGCACTAAGACGATCGTATCACCCATACTTTAACACAGGCTTAGCGCTAAGACGGTCGTAGCTCCCATACATTCACACAGGCTTAGCGCTAAGACGGTCGTAGCTCCCATACATTCACACAGGCTTAGCGCTAAGACGGTCGTAGCTCCCACACTTTAACACAGACTTAGCGCTAAATTAGCTTTGTGGAACGGGACCCTTGCCAAATTAGCTTTCATCTGTGGGAATGTAGGTTTAAGTACTAATGATATAAAGATGTCTGACAGCCCAATATCGGGCATTAATGTAGTGTAGGATCGATGTTGATCATGTAAGTCCTCTACGGTTGGTTGTTTGTAACGCTTCTCTGTGGCTGGACGCGCGTGTTAAGCTGTCCTTATACTGCAGGTGGGACCTGTAAGGCGTCGACCCGGATTCTGAAACCAGGCATCAAAGATGGCTACAAGGTCCCTTTCAGCAATAGGTAAAGGAGTTACGCTTGTTTGTTGTTTTACGCCGTACTCAGCAATATTCCAGCTATATGACGGCGGGCTGTAAATAATCGAGTCTGGACCAATCCAGTGATTGACATCATGAACAGCGATCCGAGATACGAGGACATGCATCAACCAGGTTATCGAGCCTGCCCACCCGATCCCGTTAGTCGCCTTTTACGACAAGCATAGTCGCCTTTCACGGCAAGCTTGGGTTGCTGAAGACCTATTCTACCCCGGATTTTCGCGGGTCAGGAGTTGTGAACTCCGGCCATGCCAGTGAGAGATCTACATGCCATATGTCAGATCATCACACGTCTTATTATATTATATATATGTATATATATATGTTATCTGTGTTGCTATGGTTTAAAAGCAATGCTAAGTTGGGATAAGAAAGCTCATGAAGTATTTGGTTCGTGAAGCAATTGGAAGGCGTCTAAGTTAGTGTAGTGCTTTTCAGACCAAAGCACCTCAACACCTTTGTTTAGTTCTGACTTCAGTTCAGAGAAGGCTGATGCGGGTTCAGTTGGTCGTGGTTCGAATCCCAGATTTGCTCTGATTATGAACCTTGGTCTGAAAGCATCATACGTGCCAGAAGTGGCAGTATCAGCTGATAATTTCTCAGCAATGTCAAGAGCACCTGCTCTGGTCGCTCTCGCAGTTCCGCTGTCACTTCTTATATAAAAGGAGTTCAAGGCACCAAACTGTTACATGTTTTCTGTAGATCTCGGATCATAGCACGCATAGAAGATACCCTTGTTTCTTGTTTGATATTGGATGACTTGAATGTGATGAAGCAGTGAAGGATATACCGTATTCGACGTAATAAGCGCCCAGGGCGCTCTCCAAATTAGAAATAGGGGGCTCTTATTAGAATATTATTTTGATGGAAAAAACAGAGTTGAAAGATAAATTTCGTGGTTTATGCTGACAGCCTTAAATGTTTATGTACGACAGATATATTTTTCCAGAATGTAATTGCCCATAATTAAGAATGCATATAACACACGAATACGTATTATACGCGAATTAATAAGTCTTGTGTACATTTTTCAATCGGAAGGGGTGCTAATTGGGATTGTTCACTAGCCAATATGTTAGCAATTATCGCCGTGGGCGCTTATTAGAGCGGGGCGCTTATTACGTCTAATACGGTATATCTAGTTTTATATAGATCAGTGTACAGAATTATATCCACTTACTACAGTCATACTAGTTTGGAGATACCCGTATGTAGTTTCAACAACACACAACGAGTTTGTAGGAAATCCGTGTAAACAAATTCATCAAAAAAATACTTTTGTTTTTGAAGAAATATTATCTCGTCTTTGGTTTGCGTTTATGTCACTTGGTGGTTGTCGCAATGAGGAATGGGTGAGTGAGTGAAGTTGTACGCCACCATAAGCAATAGTCCAGTGATATTACGACGTGGACACACTAGGTCACATTGTAACAGTTGGTATCAAACCCCATCGCCCCACGGAGATGCTGATGTATATAGCCTTATGTCCCCAGGAGCGGAGGATGTGGAGCGGCCATGAGGTCCATGTGCATTGGCCTCAGATACTCCAGGTAAGAGGGCTGTTTGCGTTTTTGTTTGTTTGTTGTTTAACGCCGCACTTAGCAGTATTCTATCTATATGATGGCGGTCTGCAAATAACCAAGTCTTGACCAGACAATCCAGTGATTGGCATCATGAACATCGATCTACGCAACTGGGATACGATGGCATGCATCAGCCAAGTCAGCGAACCTGACCACCGATCCCGTTAGTCGCCTCTTACGACAAGCATGGGTTGCTGAAGACCAATTCCAACCCGGATCTTCACGGGTCCTAAGAGGGGTGTAGGCTCACCTATATTCCAGCAGACTTTTTATGCCAATGACTTCATCGACTTCATCTTCGCCGTAAGTGACTAGTGTAGCACAACGTATGTATATCCATATTGATCAGAGGGTGAAAATACTGGATTTGGTGATATTGTCACAAGAATGGAAATAATTGAAATGAATGCGTTTTCAGAAGAACACTTTCCTTTATCAACGTTATCTGACAAATTATATGTGGTCGTTGTGTATCACGCTTGTCGTAAGACGGTTGCCGGGATACAGAATAGGACCCCTGTAACTCGCGCTGGCCGTAAGATGATTGCCGGGATACAGAACAGGACCCCTGTAACTCGCGCTGGCCGTAAGATGGTTGCCGGGATACAGAATAGGACCCCTGTAACTCGCGCTGGTCGTAAGACAGTGGTGGGATACAGAATAGGACCCATGTACCCAACGCTGGTCGTAAGACAGAGGTGGATACAGAATAGGACCCCATTACCTCACGCTGGTCGTAAGACAGGGATGGGATACAGAATAGGACCCCATTGCCTCACGCTGGTCGTAAGACAGTGGTGGGATACAGAATAGGACCCCTGTACCTCACGCTGGTCGTACGACGGTGATGGGATACAGAATAGGACCTCTGTACCTCACGCTGGTCGTACGACAGTTGTGGGATACAGAATAGGACCCCATTATATCACGCTGGTCGTAAGACAGGGATGGGATACAGAATAGGACCCCATTACCTCACGCTGGTCGTAAGACAGTGGTGGGATACAGAATAGGACCCCTGTACCTCATGCTGGTCGTAAGACAGGGATGGGATACAGAATAGGACCCCTGTACCTCATGCTGGTCGTAAGACAGGGATGGGATACAGAATAGGACCCCATTACCTCACGCTGGTCGTAAGACAGTGGTGGGATACAGAATAGGACCCCTGTACCTCATGCTGGTCGTAAGACAGTGGTGGGATACAGAATAGGACCCCATTACCTCACGCTGGTCGTAAGACAGGGATGGGATACAGAATAGGACCCCATTACCTCACGCTGGTCGTAAGACAGTGGTGGGATACAGAATAGGACCCCTGTACCTCATGCTGGTCGTACGACGGTGGTGGTTTACAGAATAAGACCCCTGTACCTGACGCTGGTCGTAAGACAGTGGTGGGATACAGAATAGGACCCCTGTACCTCATGCTGGTCGTAAGACAATGGTGGGATACAGAATAGGACCCCTGTATCTCATGCTGGTCGTAAGACAGTGGTGGGATACAGAATAGGACCCCTGTACCTCACGCTGGTCGTAAGACAGTGATGGGATACAGAATAGGACCCCTGTACCTGACGCTGGTCGTAAGACAGTGGTTCGGTTGGTCATGCTTCGCCTGATCTGGGCCCTGTTCCACAAAGCGATCGCAGCGCTAAGATGATCGTAACTCCCATACTTTAACATAGGCTTACGACATTCGTAGCGCTAATCGTCGTTTGTCCCTGCGTATGTAGCAGCTATAAGTGCAGTTATAAGAGTTTTGTCTAACTTATAAACCGAAAGGGGAAACTTAAAACAACATGTGTATGTTTAAAACATACTTTCCATGAACCTTAGGTAACGGGCGTGAAATATCTGTTGCTGGCTTGAAAAAGAACAGCATTATGATTTATCAGTGCGTCTAAAGTCTGCTGGTACGGTCACTGGGTGACAGATAAAGTCAGACTGAGTTAATGGCATGTATTATTTCAAATATTTATATCGAACCCTCACCTTGGATTGGTGTGAATTTTAATTTATTTTCAGTATATGGCAACTACTTTACAAAATATTCAAATCCTTCTAGACCTGAAGACCTGAACGACCTGATTGCTGTCAGCATTGAGAGTGGCAGAATGACACACCATCATCCTGTGGGCTATCTGGGAGCCCTCACTTCGGCCCTATTCGCAGCTTACAGTATTCAAGGTAAACATTTCTCATCACAATCAACCTCCCCTGGGTCCCGTCCCAAACAACGATTGTAGCGAAACGACTGTCATAAGTCTATGTTAAAGTATGGGAGATACGACCACCCTAGAGTTACGACTGTCACAAGTCTATGTTAAAGTATGGGAGATACGACCACCTTAGAGTTACGACTGTCACAAGTCTATGTTAAAGTATGGGAGATACGACCACCTTAGAGTTACGACTGTCACAAGTCTATGTTAAAGTATGGGAGATACGACCACCTTAGAGTTACGACTGTCACAAGTCTATGTTAAAGTATGGGAGATACGACCACCTTAGAGTTACGACTGTCACAAGTCTATGTTAAAGTATGGGAGATACGACCACCTTAGAGTTACGACTGTCACAAGTCTATGTTAGAGTATGGGAGATACGACCACCCTAGAGTTACGACTGTCACAAGTCTATGTTAGAGTATGGGAGATACGACCACCCTAGAGTTACGACTGTCACAAGTCTATATTAAAGTATGGGAGATACGACCACCTTAGAGTTACGACTGTCACAAGTCTATATTAAAGTATGGGAGATACGACCACCTTAGAGTTACGACTGTCACAAGTCTATGTTAAAGTATGGGAGACACGACCACCTTAGAGTTACGACTGTCACAAGTCTATGTTAAAGTATGGGAGATACGACCACCTTAGAGTTACGACTGTCACAAGTCTATGTTAAAGTATGGGAGATACGACCACCTTAGAGTTACGACTGTCACAAGTCTATGTTAAAGTATGGGAGATACGACCACCTTAGAGTTACGACTGTCACAAGTCTATGTTAAAGTATGGGAGATACGACCACCTTAGAGTTACGACTGTCACAAGTCTATGTTAAAGTATAGGAGATACGACCACCTTAGAGTTACGACTGTCACAAGTCTATGTTAGATTATGGGAGATACGACCACCTTAGAGTTACGACTGTCACAAGTCTATGTTAAAGTATGGGAGATACGACCACCTTAGAGTTACGACTGTCACAAGTCTATGTTAAAGTATGGGAGATACGACCACCTTAGAGTTACGACTGTCACAAGTCTATGTTAAAGTATGGGAGATACGACCACCTTAGAGTTACGACTGTCACAAGTCTATGTTAAAGTATGGGAGATACGACCACCTTAGAGTTACGACTGTCACAAGTCTATGTTAAAGTATAGGAGATACGACCACCTTAGAGTTACGACTGTCACAAGTCTATGTTAGATTATGGGAGATACGACCACCTTAGAGTTACGACTGTCACAAGTCTATGTTAGAGTATGGGAGATACGACCACCTTAGAGTTACGACTGTCACAAGTCTATGTTAAAGTATGGGAGATACGACCACCTTAGAGTTACGACCGTCACAAGTCTATGTTAAAGTATGGGAGATACGACCACCTTAGAATTACGACTGTCACAAGTCTATGTTAAAATATGGGAGATACGACCACCTTAGAGTTACGACTGTCACAAGTCTATGTTAAAGTATGGGAGATACGACCACCTTAGAGTTACGACTGTCACAAGTCTATGTTAAAATATGGGAGATACGACCACCTTAGAGTTACGACTGTCACAAGTCTATGTTAAAATATGGGAGATACGACCACCTTAGAGTTACGACTGTCACAAGTCTATGTTAAAATATGGGAGATACGACCACCTTAGAGTTACGACTGTCACAAGTCTATGTTAAAATATGGGAGATACGACCACCTTAGAGTTACGACTGTCACAAGTCTATGTTAAAGTATGGGAGATACGACCACCTTAGAGTTACGACTGTCACAAGTCTATGTTAAAATATGGGAGATACGACCACCTTAGAGTTACGACTGTCACAAGTCTATGTTAAAATATGGGAGATACGACCACCTTAGAGTTACGACTGTCACAAGTCTATGTTAAAGTATCGTCTTGTGGGACGGGGTCATTGTCTGCTACCAATGGTCCTACAAGGTAAGGCGACATGTTTTTTGCTCACCTGTCAAGTCAAGTGAACTACGCTAAGGCCTATTTGTCAGTCCGTGTAAGCATCTTCTCCCCTCAAACCACTGGGCCGATGAAGCTAAAACTTAGCAATGTTTTTCCCATCAATGGTGACACTTCAATTTCTTCAAGAGCCAAGGTAAATGCGTATTATTTTCTGGGGCTTAACTTGAATGAACGTGTCGGATTGTTTCTGTTGACACAAATATATATACGTCATTGGCACTATATGACAAATGGGCGGTCCAATCAAATGCTGAATAGATACGCGGTTTCTCAAGTTAATTCATTGAGTGAAATTGCATTTTAAGCATCCATTATTTTAAGAATGACATTGTGTGATAAAGATAGTATTACCCCAATGGGTTTTCTTATCGTAAATATTCTATAGTGGAATACAAAACAGGAATTATGCTCGCCAAAGCCTCGCATAATACAATTTCTATTCCTAATATAGGATATTTACCAAACGGAAACAAAAGAGGGTCATATCTTTTACTCGTGGAGGATCAGGAAACGTGGCTGAAACTTGGTTACTTATTTCATATATGTTAACTAGTTCTCAGTATATTATGCAGAACATACTTATGTAAAATGACATACTTATGTTTAATGAGCTACAGCGTCGTGGCATTACTTTTATCGTTCAGTTTACATAAACAAAACTACAGTAAACTACGGTTATAACGAACACGCTTATAACGAACTGACGGATATAACGAACTTACTTTTTTGTCCCGACTATTTGCTGTAGTTAAGCTGTATATATGCACATAACAAACCAAGGCTACAACGAACTAAAATTAGTAGTCCCTTTGAGTTCGTTATATCCGTAGTTTACTGTATATGTATATGTTTCTTTACCATGTTTACTAATTCTCATATCATTACTGATTAGAAAATATAATGTCATTATTGAATCATAGATTACTAGGTGCATGATATAGTCTTTTGCTTTTGCTAATGTCTAAACAAACAAACAAACAATACATAATAAGAATAATAATGTCTACTTTAAGACGGTGAACATTAGATTCAGCTTTTATTTCTCCGCAAACCAACAAACACAATGTTAAAATTATGATGCTTAAATGTATTAAATGTAGTGAGTCAGATAATAAACTTTCCGTATTAAACCATGAGGGCTGTTTACTGTTACATCCAGGCAAGCCGCCGGTAGAGTGGGGACAGGAACTACTGGACGTTCTCCCTCAAGCCTTGCAGTACGTCGTGGACAGCGACCACTACCCCGAAGAAAATAAAAATGCTTGGTATTGTAGTCACAACTAACTTTCTTTGAATACGTTAGACCGGTTAGAACAGCTTGCCGTAAAAGGTGACTATGCTTGTAATAAGAGGCGACTAACGGTGTCGACTGGTGAGACTCGCTGACTTGGTTGATACATGCCATCGTATGCCAATTGCGTGGATCGATGCTCATGATGTCAATCACTGGATTATCTGGTCCAGACTCGATTATTTATAGGCCGCCGTCATATAGCTGGAATATTGCTAAGTGCGGCGTTAAACAACAAACAAACAAACAAAACCTCAAGGCAAGCATCCGGCTGGTTGGTTGGTTTGTTGTTGAACGCCGCACACAGCAATATTCCAGCTCTTCTACCTTGGAGCTTCACGGGTCTGCATCCGGTAGTGATGGGACAGGGACTACTGGACGTTCTCCCCCAAGCCTTGCAGTACGTCGTGGACAGCGACCACTACCCCGAAGAAAATAAAAATGCCTGGTATTGTAGACACAACTAACTTTCTTTCAAGACATTGTTCCTGTTTCGTTTCTTGTATATTACCTTGAAGTAGATAGTGTTACGTGTTTCAGAACGTTTCCTAAATCATGAATATGTCTGTTTCAGGCCATTCTTTGAGAAGCAATGGAAAGATTACGTCGAGTTGCGGAAACTGGCATCTGGAAAAGCGCATTTCCCTGACAATTACCATGAGGCTGACGTGAGGGACGCATACTACAAACACATCAGTATTGGCGGGTGGGGCGGGGCTTGTGGGCATGACTCCACTATTATTGCGTGAGTTGACTATGTTTACAAATACATTCCTTCAGTAAGGAGTGTAGTGTTATCACCAGTGAACACTTGACTTACAACGATGAATGAAAATGATGATCACAATGACAAAACCTAGTTTTTGTTTGTTGATTAACTCCGCACTCAGCAATATTCCAGCTATATGACGGCGGTCTGTAAATAATCGAGTCTGGACCAGACAATCCGGTGATTGACATCACAAGCATCGATCCGCGCAATTGGGAAACGATGACATGCATCAACTAAGTCAGCGAGCCTGACCACCCGATCCCGTGAGTCGCCATTTACGGCAAGAATGACCTTTTCTACCCCCGATCTTCCTTGTCTTATACTGTATTAAGTTTACTAATGTATTGAACATAGTCCTATGTTAGTTTAACATTCATAAGAATGTATGGGACCATACTGGGCATATGTATATGTTTAATATATTTATAAGTTATTTGTTACAATTTAAAGTTGACAGAATATTATACACGAAAATTAAGATTTAAGTCAACTGGAACATTTTGAACAATGCAGATTGCAGGATTCATTTTAAATTAATAGAACTCCACAAGGATATTATTTCTTCCCTAAACATTATTCTTTATTATATTATTAATTACCCAATCTAACGTGTTCCAACAGAACTCTTCTAATCACTTCAGCTATGACGCCATCCTGGGGGCCGGGCAAGACTGGAAAGAGCTGTGTATGAGGTTGGTAAAGACAGGCTTCCCTCTGGTCAGAACCAAATAGGTCTGTAGGCCTCCTTGAAACATGGTGTTTGTGTTTGCTATGAGGGCTAATTTTCAATATAGATTGTGATGTGACTGTTGGTATAAATGTTGATTTTGGTACTGTTGGTATCAATATTGCTTGTGGTGATATTGCTGGTATTAATATTGATTGTGTTGATACTGCTGGTATCAATATAAATTGTGTTGATACTGTCGTCATCAATATTGATTGTGTTGATACTGTCGGCATCAATATAGATAATGAAGTTACTGCTTGTATCAGTAGGGATCGTTATGATACATGATGTGAGGTAGCCTCGTGGTTTATGCGTTTGCTCGTGATGCCGAAACTCCGAATTCGATTACCCACATGGGTAGAATGTATGGAAGCCCATTTCTGGCGTATTCCGTCGAGATATTGCTGGAATATTGGCTGAAAGTGGCGTAAAACCATACTCCCTCCCTGTTACTGTATGCAATATTGACTGTGGCTGATGCTTGTTCATCTAGGGGGGTGTTCCATGGCGGCGACAGTGACAGCACAGGGACCATAGCGGCATGCTGCTACGGCGCCATGTACGGATTGGAAGGTGTGCCAAAGGGAAACTATAGAGTAGGTGTATTTGTGTATAGAATAGACATTACTACATTGTATTCACATAAATTGGACAACTTTCAAGGATATCTTACAAATATGAAGCCAGATTATTTGTTCATTTCACGAGGGAGTCCTTTAGCTGTTACAGGATCTGCTGATTGAATTCAAAATCCCCCCTCTGCATGATCCTATTTAGTGTTTGTTTGTTTGTTGTTTAATGCCACACTCTGCAATACTCCAGCTATATAACGGCGGTCTGTAAAATAATCGTGTCTGGACCAGACAATCCAGTTATTTATATAATAAGCATCGATCTAGGCAATTGGGATACGATGCGATGCATCAACCACGTCAGCGAGCCCGACCACCCAACCCCTTATGACAAGCACAGTCGCCTCTTACGGCAAGCATGGGTTGCTGAAGACCTATTCTACCCCGGATCTTCACGGGTTCCTATTTAATGTGTCAGCACTTTCCCCATACGCGATCAATTCGTCCTATTGCGGGACAAGCCGAATGTAGTTGTAGGCTATGGAAACACGTGAGTGGTGATGAATGAACCATGCCCATGCTCGTCGGTTTCACTGACCTGTCACCTTATGCCCTCCTCTTATTTTAGACTGACACACCATAGTGTTGTTGTTTTTTTGTTTAACGCCGCACTCAGCAATATTCGAGCTATATGATGGCGGTCTGTAAATTATCGAGTCTGGACCAGACAATCAAGTGATTGATATCATGAGCATCGATCCACGCAATTGGGATACGATGCGCATCAACCAAGTCAGGAGCCTGACCACCCGATCCCGTTAGTCTCCTCTTACGACAAGCATAGTCGCCTCTTACGGCAAGCATGGGTTGCTGAAGACCTATTCTACTCGGACCTTCACTGGTCACAAAGACAATCATAGTGACAATGACCCGATCATTTTCATTTTTAAATTGTACACAACAGTTTATGAGTCATTCGTGATTGTAATAGCAGGACATCATATTTGGTTGGATTTGAATGAAGCTCCGCTCTACTTTGAAGGCTGCCTTCTCATGTCAGATGTAATTTCCAGAACCTTGAGTACAGAGACCGCCTGGAGACACTTGGGAAGAAGCTGTATCACCTGGCTATGAAAGACACTGCTGACCAAGGCACTCCCGAGGAGACAGACGCGACGGACGCCACCCCCTGATCGCCATGGCATTCCCAAGAGATGGCATTTTAAGTTCAGCACTCATTTGACACTTCTACTTGCCTTACTGTATCACAAGAAGTGACAGTCTAATCATGGAGCTAGCGACATGTAACCATTTCATAATGCATTCATTATATGTCATATGGTTCTGTTTCACAATTAGATCTACGATTTAGAAATGCAATATGGGGGCACGGGTGGCCCAGTCGTCTAAGGTGCCGCGATTCACTGTGCAGAGTTGCGTCCCTTGGGCACGCCAGAAACCTATGATTGTGGGTACGAATCCCGGTACATCACTTCGGGCTTTCCTCCCTCATTAAACTGACACGTCATGATATAAATGGAATACTGTTAAAGGCGGCGTGCATCATACGACCAAAGTCTTGCCAAGATGACAATAACTGAATAATCATGCTGGTTATTTCCAATGATTTTCAAACCAATTATGTTGGAACACTTTTAATACCCAATGCAAAACATACCATTTTTAAGAAATAAATAATATTTTATGCTTCTCTGATTCTCTATGGAAAAATTGTTCCTGGTATCACTGATTCTATGACTCATATTTACATGCAAATAACATTGACAATTACCAACGGACGCCTACATTTTAAACACGTTCAATAACTATTGTATGCACTTTTTGCAACAAGTAATGGATGGTTGTTGTAGAGAAGCTTGTATATGACGTTTCGTTGTCTCAGTATTCACAAGACCATGTTCGTGGGACACTGTTGTCGGCAGTAGATAACAATCATGACGCAAATTTTCCCTCCACAGATAGATTGAAAATAAAATAATACTGCATTGTAATACAATTGTATTTTAATGTCTTTTTCTGTCAGTGATGTGTATATATATCATTATTCATTTATGGGTGAGCCTTGAGACTTTGTCTGGAATGAACAAATATATAGTACACGAACTGTATCAGTGTGTACACACAATGTCATTTAGTAAGTGGTCAAATGTAGCAAATGTTATATTTGGGATAACACTTTCTCAGTAAAGTACAGATTCTCGTACTTTTTGGGATTGAGTTCAATCAGGGATTCAAACTCACACTGCCAAAGTGAGGCACCTAATTGCTAGCACACACAGTCAGTGATCTAACCCACTCAGCCACCGAGGCTTTCACAAAATGTAAGTCCCACAACTGGTAGTCTTGATCACGTACTTTGGGTACCCCTCTGACAAGGGTAAACTGACACGGCTCCCATGGCCGAAAGCTATGAACACACAATGCCATTGAGAAAGTGTTCAAATGTAACAAACGTTATATTTGGGATAACTTTCTCAGTAAAGTACAGATTCTCGTACTTTTTGAGGTTGAGTCCGAGAATCTGTACTTCACTTTAGAAAGTGTTATCCAAAATATAACATATGTCACATTGTAAATGCACAAGGAACAGCACAATCTGATTCAGCTCAGGACCCACTTGCACAAAGCCATCCTAGCCTTAAGACTGTCCCATAATATATCACAGACTTACAATAGTCATATAGCCCCAAGCTAGGCCCTCATCTTCACTCCAACACCTTGCCTGTCTGTGTGAATAAGGGAGTGAGTGAGTTTGGTTTTACGCTGCTTTTAGCAATATTCCAGCAATATCACGGCGGGGGACACCAGAAATGGGCTTCATACAATGTACCCATGTCGGGATTCGAACTCAGGTCTTCGGCGTGACGAGCAAACGCTTTAACCACTAGGCTACCCGACTGCCCCGTGTGATATAAAGCAAAAGATTGGATTTTAATGAGATATACGTGACTGTCAAACATGTTCTCCTTATTTTTGAGGGACAAACACACTACTGTATATTATTGGGTCCCCAGCAACCTATGCCGGCCGTAAGAAGCCACAATGGATTGGTTGGTCATGCTTGGTGACGTGTTTGATGGCGAGTCAACGTACCCCAACAGTGTGGATTGTGGCTCGCAATATCAATCACTGGATTGTGTGGTCCATACTCGATTATTTACAGGCTGCTGTTATATAGTTGGAATATTGCCGAGTGAAGAGCAAAACACACACACCTTTCCCACTTCACATCTGTTGCTATAGTATTACCATGAACGAGACACTGTTGTGAGAGAGAGAGCAGAAACCATGAATCAGGACTAGTAACACTTTTGTCCAGGTATGACAACGTGAATGAGACTTCAAACTGAGAGGGGGCAGGGGTTGCCCAGTCGTCTAAGGCGCCGCGATTCGCCACGCCAGAAACCTATGATTGTGTGTTTGAATCCCGGTTCGACCTGTTCATGTTTCTAGGGTTTGTCAGCACCATACCCATGCTCGTGGGTTTCACCGAAGTGGTAAACATCTGAGACCTGCATCACTTGGGGCTTTCCTCCCACATTAAGCTTACACACTGCGATATAACTGGAATACTGTTAAAAGCGGCGTTAAACCCAACTCACTCACTCAAACTGAGACAACATGATGACAATGTTGCATGCTCCAGGCCTCACCACCACATGGCAATGACTGTTTCCTGGCAGTTCACTGAAAATTATTTCTCAAATTCTACCACACGTGTTCATAGTGTGTCAGTAAATAAATATTACAAATTTAAAGTGTGTCAATGGGATTTACATAGAGAATCACAAGATGATTATCAATCTCATCAAAATTAGATATGAGTGCTTGCTATGTATAATTGATTTCATATAATTCCAGTTCGTCTGTGAAGTTCAACAAAGGAGAAATGTTTTCATGTGAAAATATTTATTAAGGACAATGAGCTAAGAATGTACACATATGAAAACAATACATATCACAGTTTTATACATTCACAATTGAGTCTGTGAAGACAGAAACGCAACATAGTATTTGCACCTTCAGAAATGAGTTCAGAAATTGTTGTTTAACGTCATACTCAGCAATATTCCAGCTATATGATGGCAGTCTGAAAATAATCGAGTCTGGACCAGACAATCCAGTGATTGACATCATGAGCATCGATCTACCGATTGGGATACAAAGACATGCACCAACCAAGTCAGCGAGCCTGATCACCCGATCCCGTTAGTCGCCTCTTACAACAAGCATTGTTACTTTTTACGGCAAGCATGGGTTGCTGAAGACCCGGATCTTCCTAGGTGTTGACCTGTAGACAAGTTGTATCTATACACCATGACATCGCAGTATAACCTGGGAAAATCTGGGAGTCCACCCGATAACACACTACTACTACCGATAACAGCGAATTTTGGTCTAAAGACCTAACTAAAGGATTAACAATATACAGGTCTATCTTCTGTGTGTGGTATCACCTCTTCCCACCTCTCACAGTTAGGGCAGTATGCGCTTCTCCGTCATCTGGGAAAATACAATGGGCGATAAAATACTGTCGATGGTGTTTGTTTGTTGTTTAACGCTGCACTCAGCAATATTCCAACTATATGACGGCGGTCTGTAAATGATTGAATCTGGACCAGACAATCCAGTGACTGATATGAGCATCGATCTGCACAAATGGAATATGATGACATGCATCAACCAAATCAGTGAGCCAGATCCCACTAGTCGCCTCTTACGACAAGCATGGGTTGCTGTAGACCTATTCTAACCCGGATTTCAAAGGGGTCTGTGATGATTGGAAATATACGCTTGACTTCTATATTGTAGTAATGCATGCATTGCAGAAGTAAATAGCACTGAAACACAAGAAATCTTCATTTTCCTAAATCATCACATTTCAATAACTGAAAAATATTGATACATTATTTTTGATATCATAGAGAGCTTAACCATAGCGTTACAAAGTACACAATATACATTGCCATGTGAATGAGTAACCACAGTAATAATGTCATATTTCTTTGTCCATATTAATAAATATCAGCATTATGTCTTTACAAATACTTTCATTTAGTTGCACTGTTGACCAAATACAAAATGATAGATATTTCAATAAAAAATGATGAGAGTTTGCAAAAAAAGTAAAAAATATTTTCAATTTATAATCAACATGTCTGTTTGATCCAAGAAATGGAAATCAAGGGCAGGTAATTTGAGATCGCGAGAACCAAGGGAATGGATCCAGGGGTAGGTGTAGGTTTACCGAGATGCGAGGCCTGGAGATACAGAGGATGGTCACCATGGATACCATCAAGATACACATGTATCACTCTCCATGGATGCTGTTGTTACTCACCTAACTGTTCTTCCATCTGCTGTTGAAAAGTTCCTCGATTCCCCTCCCTGTGAGGTGCTCGGCCCTGTGAAGCAGCAGTACTACGAGGATGGCGGTTGACGTAGTGAGACACTATGCTGTACAACAGAGGCCTGAAAGACGATGCATTATGTTATACAACACATGAGCATAATTTATTGCTTCATCAATGTTCATGGTAAATATTCTACAAAGATCAGCACGTTGCTTATGGCCTGATGTACTTCACCAGTGTGTGTGGGAGGTCGGGTAGCCCAGTGGTTAAAGCGTTCGCTTGTCATGCCGAAGACCCGGGTTTGATTCCCAACATGTGTGAAGCCCATTTCTGGTGTCCCCACCGTGATATTGCTGGAATATTGCTAAAAGCGGCATAAAACCAAACTCACTCACTCACTCCCCAGCTTGAGACTATAATGACAAACCCTATACAATGGAACAGGTGAAGTCTGCAAGGGTGGGACTGGGAATATTTACTCACACTGTCTTTGCTGGTGCGTCTTCAACAACATTCAACTCATTCCTCAGAAACTCCCTCTCCAAGGCTACTTTTGGCATTCCAGATTCTTTGAAAAGATACAGTACACTATGGTTATAACGAACTCAAAGAGACCACTGATATTATTTCGATATAACCGTAGTTCGTTATAAGCATATATATAGGAAATGGTCGGGACCGAAAAATATGTTTGTTATATCAGTCAGTTCATCATAAGCGTGTTTGTTCTTATATTTTTTTCATTTGTATACTTATCCTGCATTACTACGTTTAAGGCCCACCCGTCGCAAACTTGCCTCCCGACTTTGGCTTCAGAAACCTCAAAAGTATGTTTTTATAAGAGCTCGGGCGACGGGCAGTGATGTGAAGATGACCTTAGGTGTCATCAAGGTCACAGGACAGCGATGGTGGTCAGTAAAAGTGGGACATCAGAACAACAACTTTATTTCTTCACCCAGGACCATCGCGAGTAATGCAGGATAAGCAAAATATAAATTAAATTAAACTCACATGGTCACTTGCAAACACCAATAATTGTGAAATGTTAAAACAATTTTACATTAGAAATTAGCGTCTACTCCAACTATATTCCAACCTAGCCTATGCGCAACTCAACTTATTGTGAAAACAACCTGTTTTGAAGGTAAATAAATGAAATTTAACTGACATCGTCACTTACAAACACAAAATAATTGTTATATGTTAATTGTTAAAACAAGTTTACATTAAAAATTAGCATCTACTCTAATTTACTTGCCGACTCTGATTGGGAGGCGCAATGTGAAAATATTATATGCTTTGAAATTTTAAGAAACTTTACTCAATTTAACTCAATGTCAAGCTGAAACTGTATTTAAGAGGTCTAACATGGTGCTGTTAGATCCCAATTATTCATTATATATGTGTTACCAGACTTTCTGTAGCCCATTATTGAGAAATTTGCCGGACTGAAAAAGACTAAGATGATGAAAACTATGAAGAACTGTATATATGTGAATATCTGTAGCTATCTGTGAATAACTGGAAAACAGAAAATGACAATACATCAAATAACATGTAAATATATCAACTATAGTACTACATAACTCTTTCTTGTTGTTATTAAAAATAGAGGTGCTTTTTCGCCCGACACATATGAGCCGTTATCGCCAAATGTGGAGCCGTTTTAGCCTGCACCCATCCCAAACCCGGGATTGACAACAGCAGATCCTGGCACAGCAAGGGTGCACAACTTAAACCACTGTGTCACCCATGCGCCCACCAATGCTTTAATCTTTAACATGGTGAAAACAACATAAACAGTGTACCTGCTACTAAGACCGATGATGCATATCTGTATTTGTTGTACTCCAGGTATTCCCTGATCAACTCATTTATGAGAACATTCTCGTTACTAAGAGGAGGTTTATGTTCGGATTGATCGTCTAGAGCATTAAACACTTCAGCTCGAATCCTGGCTTTAATCTGTCCCAGCACGCCGCGGTTTTCAAGGCTTTCTTTTAACACTGGAAATAAAAGTATTGTGATGAATACAAGTATTTAGGGAGCATTTCAAATGTTTTCCATCCAACAAAATACACTTGTCAGTGGATCTACAGTTCAAGTTAGTGGTTGGAGGTTATGTCTCAAACATTAAGGAATTAATCTTTTGTTTACCCTACAAAGACTTTTGAACTGCTATTATAGTAACCATGGTAACACTACATCATGAACATTGCATCTTTTGCTAATGTCTTTTGACCTTATCAATACCATAATAAATGCCACGATGATGATCCAAAGGTTAAAAAATAATCTTTGATAACAATATGGTTTGGTGCCAACACAGGAAAATTAAACAATATTTACTCAAATGCTCAATTAATTGTTTGTTTTGCAAAAAGGGTCTTAACATCACGTTCAAGATTATTGCACTTATATGGCACATGTGTGTGAGCGTGCGTGTCCGGACTGATGCCATTTATATAGTGCTAGCCCACTGAGATACCATGCCGGAGTTCAACATGAATACCCCACCCATACACAGCTTACTGACTCCGAGCTGACCAGTCCTTATTTTAGCACCTGCCGAGTGCCAGGCAGGGTAACAACAAGTACCATCTTTTCACTTCTTTTGGTATAACGCCGCCAGGGATTGAACCCCTGACCTTCTGCTCTCTGAGTGGACGCTCTACCACAAGACCATAGAGGTAGTATATATACCTCCATAAACACATGATAAACGCAAAACATATTGAAGACAAATCTAATAAATATGTCAACAATAACAACTTCACAGATTTCATGCAAAATCATGAACACAAACAATTTGTAGACAATGATCAGAATCAGTGTCATCTCTGAGTGCTATTTTGCAACATAAGCCCCGCCCATTCAGTTATCAACTAATCAGGAAACGATCCACTCACATGGCTAGTAGGCGTGGCCTAATTTGTTTATAGCTTTTAGGGATTATTTGTGGTATACTCACACCATGTGGTACAGCGGCATTCATCGAATTACAGCATTTATGATTTCCGGAAGTTCACTAATGCAAATCATTAACCAGGAAGGGCTCGCTTCATGAACAATTTCAATTTCTGCGAATGTTCCGTCTACTGTAAGTTAGGATTCATTAACACTTTGATACTTACTTCGGGCATCTCTTTTATATTGCCTTACCCCCATATATCAATGGACTACAATATAACCCACAGCTTCCCAAGTAAACTATCTCTATCAACCTGAACTTGCTCGTCTGCATATTCATGGTGACAAATAAGGTAATGAAAGTGACGTAGTCCACACATTTTCCCGCTATGTTGCCAGATTGTTTCAGGAGATAATAAGAGCCATAATGCCATACTTAGCAATGTTCTTCAGCAGTTGCCAAATGTTAAATATATATACTGTTGTAATCAAAGGAGTGCTCTTGAATTATTTATTGTTGACTTTTAAATTTTTTTTGCCCTTTTTAAAAATATTTTTTAAAAGATTATTTTCATCCAATTTTTAAACTAAAAATCTTTAAATATCTTTTCTGATATTTTGTTGTTGATTTAAAAAAAACCTTCTTACTTTTCGGTAAATATGCATTGAATACCTATTAATTTTACACATACTGAATTTTACTCATGCTGTCTTTGCACTTGTCTGGATAAAATCACTGAAGTCTGTCATCATCACACTTGGATCATAGAATATGAATAATCATAGGCCGTGGGACAGCCTAGTGGCTACACTTACAGAAGACGCAGAAGACCTGGGTTCGATTCCCCGTTAGTGTGTTTTGTTCCGTACATAACAAGTACCGTGATACCCCGAGGTTGCAGGCTACTGACTGGCAGAAAGTAAGATCTATTTATGGTGAAGTATTAGATTTCATGCCACAAATGGATTTCAAAATTATTATGATTAGGTGGTTTACTAACAATCATCATCTAATAACATAGTCGACCGGTGTCTGTGCATTTGAACTGAGCAGATTGTTATCATTACGTAAGAGCTGTTGGCTTCGTGGCCTGGTCTTCCCTATGCTATCACATCTCACATATCTTGAAACTTGACTGGGAGTTTTTGTGTCTACAGACATGACAGGTACAGACATGCACAGACATAGACCTCTTCAACTTAGGTATTAGCACACAAACATCATTCTGTTTTATCATATAGCTTAAATACACCATCAAAACGATGTATTAACAACATTCGGTTTGTGTTTGTTTGGCGAAAGCAAAATTAGTCCCGCAAAACAAATACGACGAACCTTCTTTCAGGTCTTCTGAAGATGCCATTTCGAAGTGCCCGCTTGTGTACACACGAATTGATGACGCGGCAGGGATCGCTCATTAACAATAAAGAACGGGGTGTTGTTTAGTTTAGCTGCCTCATTCATTCTATCTACTTCAAGCAATAATTGTATACAATTATTTACATTGCAACACTTATAAAATGTAAATAATACTCCAAATGTTTTATGTCATAATAAAAAAAAAAAATCAAGTCTTTAAGAATGCTCCCTAAGTACGCATACATTTATGATGTAGGCACAAGTAGGAAATGTTCACTTTCAGTTTACCTTGGATTTACCATTGGTAACGTGTTTCGTTTATGTTGTCATCTTTGGTTAAGAGGTATTTTGCAATACTTTCATTTGGAACTATTTGGGGTTTGCACCTCTATTTTTAATGACGATAAGAACGCTTTATGTAGAAGTATATATTTTTTATTTACATGATTTATTATGTTATGTTGTAGTGTATATGTTTTCCTTGGGCGGGGACATGGTCAGTTATCAAGAAATATTCTTGTGATGATGGCTGAAGGGGAGAAAAATATGTGAAATATCTATTAAATTACAGTTTATTTCCTACTGACTAAAATAAATATTAAATATATGGTATACCTGTAGTCCAATTTCTTGACAAATCCATGAGACTCAGTTTCAGCTTGACATTGAGTTAATTTGAGTAAGGGTAATCAAAGCATGTGATGTTTTCACAATAAGTTTAGTTGCGCCTCCCAATCAATTGGAGTAGAGGCTAGTTTCTAATGTAAACTTGTTTTAAGGTTGTTAACATTTTATCATTTTTTGTGTTTGCAAGTGACCATGTGAGTTTAATTTCATTTATTTTACTTCAATGCATAAAACGTTCACAAAAAGTTTAGTTTCGCCTTCCAGTCAGAGTCGGTGAGTAAATTGGAGTAGAGGCCAGTTTCTAATGTAAATGTGTTTTAACATTTCACAATTATTTGTGTTTGGAAGTTTGTGAGTTTTATTTCATGCATTTCAGTACAAAGGTTAAAAAAAGAATAGGTGCCGTTTTCGCAGGGAATTAGTAGCTGTTTTCGCTTTAGGGGAGGTGATGTTTTTTGCTCGGTGACGTTTTGCTGAGGTGCTGTTTTAGCTATAACCCATTGTATATATCTTGGCATTCACATGGCGGCGAGTTGCATTCAACTTGGATCTCTCGAGATCTATGACCAAATACTTGTGATTCACTACATTAACTCTGGAATACTCTTTACTGAGTTAATTATCAGACCCACAGTTTAAAAAAATCGCACGGTACCTGACCAACCTGTGACTTTGCAATTTTACAGAGTTGTATATAATTGAATTTTCAACCCCATAGTGAAAATTTAAGAACTGGTTTGAAAAGCAAAAAGTGCTAAATGTTGTCTGAAGTTTCTGTTTTGCTGACAAAAAACCCTGTAAAATATGCAGCCACATTTGATCGTACATAGATCAAAGTACAGTGCGACAAAATGTTTTATTTGACAGCTTTATGTAAACTCTGAGCGAATCTTTCATTCCTCACTTTAGCTCTAATCTTCAACCTTTCTCCATGGAACACATTGAAAGTTGGCAGTATGTATCCACATTGGATATTGCACATTTTAGGTCTTTTTGTATGTTAAAAGAAACGCCGCTTGGTGGTTATATTTGATTGTTTGTTGCATTTCAATCTCTCATACAGTGAAGATACTGAATATGCTGAAGGAAGCGCCCCGCAAATCTACAATTAACCCCCATTCACTCCCTTTCCTTAGACCCAAGAGCAATACACAGTCTTGTTGCAAAATGTCGTCGGCAGTATGTATACTGGCTAGCGACCAGTTATTGCGAGGACCAATTATCGCGACCTCCCCGTTATTGCGCGCACAAGCCACATGTTACTTTTGCACGTTTACATTAGAAGAGAGAAATATTTATCTGAAAATTATGAACAAAACAGACTCTTGTAAGGAAATATTTTTTAAAAACCACCATAATCACCCTGCTCAAATATAACTTTAGAAAAGACACGTGAGGGGTGTCATGTGATCACTTCCCACGAAAATATATATCAAACAACAAGATGATGCACTTTCAGCTCTGTCATAGCTTGCTATCTGTCCGTCATTTCTTCCCCAAAATAAAATTCTGAAACCTATTTGAGCTATATTTCCAAATATGCATAACTTGGATATGTTGCTAAATACATATAGAACTTAGTGTTAAGAATAATCATGTGTAGATCGAATTTGGGGAATATTGGTTTTTGTCAGTTTGCAGACAACAAATTGATAGTTTCATTTCTTCTTCAATTTGATGAATAAAAAATTGAGTGTGATAACCGATATCCTTAAAAAATGTAATTAGTATAACTGAAGCGGTGCGCGTGATCACGTGGCATGTGTTGTTAAGACGATGGCGATAACTGGTACAGTAAGTCGATGGGAAAGTTCTGTTTAGACTGTTTTGATTCCCTGTCGTAGCATTATAACAGAAATCAACGGGATCTTATTCCACAGACAGAAATAAGAGCTTTTGCTCATAGTTCCACAAAAATTGAAGTTATTGGTACAGTCAACTTTGTACACGGAATATGTCAGAAACAGCATGAAAAAATGGCGATAACTTGTCAGTGAACAGTATGGATTTATGATATAGGAAATGACCCGTGACATCTCTGCTGTGTTTCAGCGACAGCAAAAACGTGTTCAACCAACTGTAACTCAGAAACCAGTGGTCCGATATTGTCCAAAGATTGTATGGGTATGTAGACAACGACTGAGGAGATAATTTGGAAATTGCAGACCAGTTGATCTCAGAACTAAGGGGAAACAAATAAAACGTTCTTCATGTAAAGCAACATCTCATATTCCTCAGTATTGCTCATATTTTCAGGAGTTCCTCATAGAACACAGTCACATTTTGCACATTTTCTTAATGTGTTCTTTGGTGCATGTTCAAAGTAAGGCAACCTGGCGGTTATTTTTTATTTCAGTTGTGTCGTAAACTGTCATGCTGTCAAGATCCTGAAAGAACCCCAGATATATGAATAAGCACATTCACTGCCTTTCCATAAATGCTAGAGCTATGAATAGTGTTGTTTGGTATACCTTCTGCAATAGGTGTATGGTTTTCTAAAACTTGAAGGTGACCGTTGTGTCCAGGTTTCAGGTGAACTTTGGGGTGTTTGTCTGCTATGGACGAACAAGTTCAGTTCAGATGGAGTGAGAGAGAAAGGATATGCTTATTGCTAGTAGAAGACGTCTGCAGAAATGGATTATAAAAGTTTCTACCGACAGTTTAAATGGGGATCATGACAGGTCAGGTTTTTGTTGTTGTTGTTAAACGCTGCACTCCGCAATATTCCAGCTACTGTATTTTCTTGAGTATAGTGCACACCCATGTATAATGCGCACCCCCCTCTAGCGGGTTCAATATGCGCACTATACTCAAGAAAATACGGTATATGAGGGCGGTCTGGAAAAAGAATTGAGTCTTGTCCTGACAATCCAGTGATTGACATCATAAGCGTCGATCCACGCAATCGGGATGTGATGACATGCATCAACCAAGTCACTGAGCCAGTCCACCCGATCATGTTAGTCGCCTCTTACGACAAGCATAGTCACATTTTATGGCAAGCATGGGTTGCTGAAGACCTATTCAAACCCGCATCTTCACGGGTAGACAGGTCAGGTACATGTATCAATAGGTAATGTATTGCTATGTGTTATGTGCAAATGTGTTACTATTGAGAGTAAAACAATCGCAATTTTTCAGTCACAAATCCAGGTAAAATCTGTGTGGATCGATGCTCATGATATTAATCACTGGATTGTCTGTGACTCGATTATTTAAAGACTGCTGTCATATAGCTGGAATATTGCTGAGTGGGGCGTTAAACAACAAACCAACCAACCAATGGGAAGGCAGTGAATGGTGTTTTTTATGCATTTTATTGACAGTTGTTTGGACAAGCTTCAATAAAATATGGAAATTCCTCCCACTAACTGACGTTACATCGACAGATGATCTCATGTAAAATAAAACAATAACCAGGGCAGTTTTTGTATTTATTTTTGAAAGTCCATTATTGTAAACGTGTGTGTTTCTTGGTTCGAGACAGAGTGACAATTAAATCCATACCGCATATGACCGTAGTTTTATGAACTGAGATATAAACAGGTGACTTTCAGATTTAAGGCTTTAATGCAATAAGAAAGTATTTTCGGAAATCGGAAGGTTGATAATTCAAATACTTATCACTGCTAGTAGCTTTTGTTGCAAAACGAGCCACAATCTTAGCACTTGCATGTTTATAATAAGAATGTATTTTCCGAAACCGCACAACAGAAGGTACTAATAATTTTGTTATGAACTGAGCTAGAACTATGGGACTTAGTGGTATGAGATTAATGGAGCCTGATATCTCTGATATTGTTGTTGAGATGCTTTCATAAGAAACAGTTGTTCATTCAGATATGTAATAATAATAATAGTCATATTAATAAGCTCTAGTCTTTGTTTTCAAACTGATATTTCCCTTGTCTGCTATTGATTAACTGTTGTCCGTTTTCACCGGAAAAATTGGTTGGTCCAGATCAGGGGTCCGGAAAATTTAAAATCCCAACTGGAATTTGCATTTAGGCCACGCCCCCTTCAAATTGCATAATTTCGTATGACTTTTCATACACATTACAAGTTGTTACGTACAGTGTTCCCTCGTTATTAAGCGCTTCGGTTATAGCGCGGTAAAGCATGGCTCCCAAAATTTACTAACATCAAGTTTTCCAATGACACGATGTTTTCCCCCATCTCAGAAAACATTATCAGCTGATCACGTATCACCGGAAATACAAGTCAACAAATCCGAATTGAAGAACATAATTTAATCCTATCAATATAATATCTGGTAATAAAAAAAATGTTCACTGTTTATCTGGACCAGAGTTTGCAAGATACTCCAGATGCATGGGTAAATTTTCTCAGTTACAGAGTGGAACATGAGCTCTGGGTTTCAAGGATGTTAGTGACACTGTCAATAGGATTATGTACAAGTGGAGTTATCAGTGGTTAAAGACGATTTGATTCTGTAGCCTTGTGGTTCAAGCGTTCACTCATCACGCTGATTACTTGGGTTCGATTCCCCAGATGGGTATAATGTGTGAAGCCCATATCTTGTGTTGCTGCTGTGTTATTGCTGGAATATTGCTAAAAACAGTGGAAGACCTCACTCACTCATTCACCCACTCTCACTCACCCACCCACTCTCACTCACTCACTCGCTAACTCACTCTCGCTAACTCACTCACCCACTCACTATTGACAAGTGACTGTTATTGATAAATTTTTAGTTTCATTGGTGAAACTAAGGTTCTACCACTCAATCTCTAAAAATAGTCCACATCGCCCAAGTAAACCCACTTGTATGTACAAATCAAGGTCTTTTTTCCTCTCTTGAATGGACATGATACTGACTCAGGCCCAGGTAGAGTTGTTTATCATGTTTACTTGCTGTGTTTACAGTGTACATCAGTAATTGAAATTTGTTTGCAGGAATGGCCACGTCTCAGCATGCTCCGGTCTCAATGCTGGAAAGGTACAAGGCTGCCATGGTACTTGCAGGCGTTGGGGATGCTCTTGGGTACAAGAATGGAGAATGGGAGTTCTGCAACAGAGGAAAACTCATTCTAAAAGACCTGAAAAAGATGGGCGGATTAGAGAAGATCAAAGTGAACAGTTAGTATTGTCTCAGAGAAAAGCTCTCACTTCAAATTCTTAAATTGTGAATCTCAAACGTGAATGATGAATCTTGTTGGTTGTACATGAACAAGACACCTAAAATCACTTTCACTTTGCTCTGTATTTAATGTTCACTGTGTATCTATTAATGTTCAACGCATACACTTGATCAGATACAACTCATGAATATTAATTAGACCGTTCACTTCGTTAACAGATCGTTATTATCATTATTATAACAGAAATAAATGTGTTTTCCATGTAATTCTAAAATGATGTTATTTGTTATTAATTGTTCGGTGAATTAAACTATTTAAATTTAAACAATTCATAATTCATCATATTACGAATACGTAACAACTTGTAATGTGTGTGAAAAGTTGTACTAAAATACGCTATTTGAAGGGGGCGTGGCATAAATGCAAATGTCCTATTGGGATTTTAAATTTTCCGGACCCCTGATCTATACTATATGATGTGATTCCAGAACATGACTGGATGGTGAGCGATGACACAGTCATGCACCTGGCTACTGGCGAAGGTATATTGGTTTGGTTTTTCATTTGCAATATTTTAATGTATGTAAACTTATCTTACATTATCAATGCCAAGTAAAACAATTGGCAATCTTATCAAAATAAGATCTTAGTTCTCGCTGTCCCTAAACAAAGATCTGAGGACATCCCATTACGGGTCACGTCAGAACAACTTTAATCCTACCAATCAAAGCGTCGCCATATGTTAGACATTCTGGAATGTTCAGTTTTCAAAATTTTAATCGAGAACTGTGTCAACATATTTTTCGAGCGTAGTCAAAATGGAAGTTGCCAGATTGAAACGAGTACAGTAAAGCTAGAGAAAGATGGTTTCTAATTGGCTGACTTCTTGTTAGTCATTTCAGTGGTCGGTCAAAGTTTGCAAAAGGTCGTTCTGACGTGATCTGTAATGGGATGTCCTCAGATTTTTGTTTAGCAGCAGCGAGAACTTAGATCTGATTTTAATGAGATTGAACCATTGTGGATGGAATTATTTTCGTTTTCAATCAGAATGACTTTTTGTCCTTTTAACGTAACAAATGCTTTAATGTGCCAGGATCGGATTTGCCATTGTTTTCTTGAATACCTATCGCCTTAGAGTTGTTTTGCATGCTCTGGGTATGAAACAGAAATGAAGTGTGTTTCTGTCTTCCCGACCAACTAATGTGGAAGCCCGGACCGTAAACTCATTTCTGTTTATTTCCCGCCAACTTCGTTGGGGCGGGGGATATAGAAATGGGTTCCATCCGTGTGTGTGTGCGTCCCGAAATCATTTCCGGAGCATAACTCAGAAACCGTTAAATATTTCTCTACGAAACTTTACATGTCTATCAGACTCATGCTGAACTGGTGCCTTTTGCTATTTAGGAATTTTATAAATTTTTATTTTTTACGTTTCCATGGCAACAGGTTTGACTTAGGTTCTATAAGCAGTGATAGGGGTGCTGTTCGTTTCCGGAGCGTAACTCAAAAACCGTTAAATAATTTACAAGCGCATACTGAACTAGTGCTATTTGATATTAAGGAGTTTTAGAAATGTTTATTTTAGAATTTCCATTGCAACTATTTTGACATGGGCTAAGAGAAATGTTGGGTCAGTTACCTGGTTTGGGACCATAACGTGTTAAAATGGGCGGGGGATATAGATGACTTTGTCAACTATACGCTTGTTTTTCTTGAGTTGCACCATAGTTTTTGTCACTGTCCCAGTATTGTCCAAAGATAAATGTATGATATTTATGAGAGGTGTTGCATCTACAAGCTCAATCTTTGGAGAAAAGGTAAATATAATAAGAAAAGGTTGGTGAAAATGTTCTTCTTTTTAACATGTACTGAACACAAAACACGCCCAGCTTGATTCATAGTAGGTTTTCATGTATATGGTATGTTTATTGTGTTTTCTCAGGACAATTTTATTCTGTTACAGCTCTTGTGTCTGAAGCAGGTCGTGTGAACCTGGTGGAGACTTATCATGAGATGGCACACCAGTACAAAGTATGCATGAGAGATATGGCTGGAAGGGCTCCAGGTGAGATTGATGCTCAGTTTTATTTGCTTTGTATTGGTAGATAAAACAGTGAGTTCAATAAACTCTTACTCACAAATACTAAGAACTGTATGACTAACAAACCACAGCAATTTGACATGACCCACAATATTTTCTAAATGGCCAACATAACTGAAGACAGGTGGGCCGTGGGGCCACTTTTTATAAAGACAAGGATCAACACTCTCCCCTTGTATAGTGACCCGTCACTGTGATGTTGTGTATTGCAGGGCCTACCACTCTCTGTACTACCTATTACTATATATAAGAGAGATACGCGATAGATTGAAAGAACAATGAAGAAAAAAGCGTTTATTTCACGATAAAACAATGTTCTATCACGACATTATTTCTTAGAGGGAAGTGTATTGAGTTGTTCCTCATGGATGTAGCCATCTTCCTAAGGCAAGTGAGTTAACTGATTATAAAAGTCCATTTTCCGACCTGCCGAACTAGGCTGGTAATATGGAGTTACATTTTGGCTGGACTAATGAGTCTATGCATAGTCCAATCAAAATCATGCAACAAACTCGAAATCCGGTCACACAGATTTCGGTTGATTGACGGATTTGCAAAGCATGTGCACCGCTAACTCGTTGTTAACAGATATTTTCTAAATCTATTTATATTTTTAATCAATGTGCTCATGTGATTTGATGCACTGCACGATGTAAGACTCGTTTCATCACAATATACTAGTAGATCTTGATTGTCGATCTGATCGTTTTGGCTGGGTGCTGCCATTTTGTTTGAAGCAAATGTAAGTGATACAAGAGGTGGAATCTGATTGGTTCATAGGAGAGGCATAGAAGGGTCATAACTCGTAATAGCCACTGGTGGCGTTACAATCAAGCCCAAGAATTCCAGCCTAGTTCGGCAAGGCTGGAAACTGGACTTTTAAAGTCAGTTAACTCTCTTGCCTCGGGAAGATGGGATGTAGCTAGACAGTGCAGATGAACACAATGGCCAACAATCACACCCAAAAGTGGGAGAGATATTACAATCGGTATTGGGGGAAAAGGTGCAGACAATCAACAGGAAAATTGTGAGAATACCTGACTTAACCCCTCTGTACATAAAATGGAGTTGTCCGACATTGCCAAGGTCGGGTTGTATCGGGGAGTCATCATTAGTTAAATACGGGTTAATGTTTTTAAAGCTTGTGCAATTTATTGACATCCATAAAAAGGCTGTACTAAATATAAGAAATATACGACTCGTGGTCATTGTTTATCGTACAATAAAATACTTCAGGGATAATTCTAGGGTGGAGCCTTGTGCATTTAGCCCCTAAATTTGAAAAAAAGGCCCACATTTTCAAATACAATGGGGCATTTTAACATTCTGCTGTTTGGGCAAGTGTGGGTCTACCTCTGGAATATATGAAATCTTCACAAAAATGTCCCATGTCAGAAAATTCCTAGAGTGAACCCTGTTATTGTAAGATAAACAACTCCCACTTGTTGTTTATTTTTCAAGTAAACCATTAAATAGAACATGGTGGCCAAAATATATCAAGTGGGCATATCCTGCATTAATCAGTATTTACTGATGAAGCTGAGGAATAGTGGCCTTGTTACAAGTGATGTTTTGGTTGTTTTTTGGCTATGGACATTGCAGATAGTCAGTACTGATTGTGATAAGGTTCTGTTTGATTGCAGGAGCAACTTGCATGACAATGGTGCATAGTCTGAAACCAAATTTAGATGATGGATACAAGATTCCTTTCAATAGCAGGTAAGTAAGGTGAATGGAGAGCTCCCATTGGTTTTCTTTACCCTCATGGTGCCTGGCCGTCAGTGGGCTATACCTTCAGTGCTCCACCGTGATGACCGTGATGACATCACGGTTTCAAAAATGTGTACACTGTATAAATGTGTTACAACGTTCTTATTTATTCACACAGTGTGTCTTTATTGTACTACATTCAAGTTGAGTTGATTGCCTTTACGACACTGTCTACATTCTTCAAATCTAAACAAGATAGGCACTGCCTAGGCATATGCATTGCTCATTTAATAGCCTAACTTTTGCTGTTGTAATATTTTTCAAAACTATATCACTGTATATGTTGTTATGTTTCCATGGAAACAATTTCAGCTAAGTCTCAAACATCTCCAGGCCTTGTTTCTGAGCCATAACTTGCAAACTTATGAATATTTTTGCATGCACCTTAACATGCAAAGTGAAGTAAAGTAGGCTCACTTGTTTGAAATCAAGATGTCTAATAGTTCATATCAAGAACAATATTTTACTTATCCTGCATTACTACTTAATGCATCTACTGCTTACCTTTGACAGAGACAGTGCCTAGCCATGGTCCTTGAAGAAGAAAAAATGTTGTTTTCACTTTCAGTTTACATTTCTAAGGACACGTTACTGCTGTCATGTGACCATCTGACGTGACGTCCCATCTGGTCACATTCAGATAATTTAGCATGGGTGACAAGCAATAATGTGACCAGATGTTGATGTTGTAGAAATGTCGATGTTGATGATGTTGATGTTGTAGAAATGTCGATGTCGATGTTGTAGAGATGACGATGTTGATGATGTTGATGTTGTAGAGGTGGCGAGTGTGGAGCGTCCATGAGGGCCATGTGTATCGGTCTCAGGTACCCCAGGTAAGCACTCCTTCATGCATTGTCATGGTCTTTTATGCTCGACCATCATTTCAAGATTTGATCGCCTGAGCCTGTTTCACATCAACCCAAGGATGGGAGTACAAAATTTTGTGAGCTGGGCTCAGGTAATAAAATAAAATAAAATGGGGGGAGGGGGGGGAATTAAACCAGGGCCTTCTGCGTTACAAGTGAAGATTTTACCAACTTGGCTACCCCACATAAACATGAACGTTTTACAAATAAGATGAGGATGAATTTAAAAATCATGATGGCCTCTTGAAAATGTGGATTTTCAATTCCAAATACAGAACTCTGCTTTTCATGTTATTGTGCAAAGTAACTGAAGTAAGCAAGCATCACTGCTCCGTAAGCGCTCGATTGATTCATGACAGTCATTACCGGCCTTGCTTAGGCTCACATAAAGTAGGAAATGGCACTCTTGGATTTTACACTTAAGGTACTTACATTAATTTATATTCCATGTCTTGACAAAAGCATACTGTGAAATGAAACAATTTCCATCTTTAGTTGCATGTTCCACGGTCGCTAGACGACTTCCTTCAGTCAACATTATTCAGTGATTTCCATTGACTGTAACTTACAGACGTTTAAGGGGATGCTCAAGTTTGCACGAAATACATTTGAATATACTCACTTCTATCCATATTTAGACGGAATATCATGAATACTGCGTAGGTTGTGCGTTTCAAACGGAAGTAGTTATTCATGTTGCCAGTCAAAAACCTAGCAGACAATCGCTAATTGTCAGAATGGAACAGACCCAAAAGAAAAACTGCACTATTTTTCATTTCTTCAAGCCTACCGCTGTAACTTCTAATAAAGTTACTACAGACAACAAGCAAAGAAACTAGCCTATATAGCCAAGTGCTAATGCAAACATTGAAATTGAATAAATCCCTGAAAAGCGAAAATGTAATGTAGACACGACTGACTCGTGTGATTGTACAGATGAAAGTGATCCACAATTATTCAACAGTAAATCCAAGTGAGATAATCCCAGTGTATGGCCTCTTCAAATTATAGATCATGGTACTCGCTGACTTGGTTGATGCATGTCATCGTATCCCATTTGCGTGGATCGATACTCATGATGTCAATCACTGGATTGTCTGGTCCAGACTAGATTATTTACAGACAGCCGTCATATAGCTGGAATATTGCGGAGTGTGGCGTTAAACAACAAACGAATGAACGAACGAACGAACGAACGAACAGATCATGGTAAATATGTATATGTTAAAACACACCTCTGGGGTTTGGGTTGAAAATGTAAAACCCCCAGCGAGGGAAAAGCGGGCTCAAGGTTTTACATTTTCAACCAAATCGGAGGAGGCATGTTTTATCCAACTTATATCCGTCTAAGTCCAAGAAATTCCAGAAAAAATAAGGAAACATCGACATACCTCATAGCAAAACAATACAGTGTATAGTGGTATAAAAGGAATTTGCTCAAAACGTGCGAGAGAAAAACCATGTGCAGCATGGACTAGCTGGAGTCATGACATGATATATTTAACAACTGCTCATCACCTGCCTTGGTAGTTCAGTGGGAAAACAGTGGGTTACAAAACTTAACACGATATGTAAGGTTGCAGGTTCGTATCACGACGTGGAATTTTCATTTTAAAAAGAGGCACACCTAAATTGAAAATGGCACACCTGAAAAACAGGTCCAGTGTCCTTGGGCACTCCTGATTTTGTAAAATTTTGAGCCCTGTTACCTTCCTTAGGATCAGGAGGAATATTATACAGTTGGCACAAGATAGTTATTGTTCTAGACCTGACGACCTGAACGACCTGATTGCTGTCAGCATTGAGAGTGGCAGAATGACACACCATCATCCCACAGGCTACCTCGGAGCTCTGGCTTCAGCACTCTTTACAGCTTACAGTATCCAAGGTAACATCTTCATCTATTTCATTCTAAGTTGAAGTATAGCCAAGCATGTTAATAGTACACAACCAGTTAAATTTATAGTTTACTAAAATAAGGTGTTGATAGCGTACAATATATATCATGATCCACATAACCTTAACCTTTATGTCAGACAGGATACCAGATATGGTTGATACAGTAAATCATGAAATTAATTGATATTGAGTTGCATTTTTTGCTGGGGGTCAGCAGTGGCATTAATTTGGAGAAGCATTAATTTCCAGATTTACAGTATCTACCGGACCATTTTTCTATCACCAGGTGTTATCACTGAACTGTATGACATAGCTTAAAAGATGATCTCTGATCACCTATCGTAACTCACGTACTGTAACATAGACATAAGATAGTCATAGTGCTAAGATAGCTTTGTGCCATTGGCCCTGAACTGTAGGTCCTGTCTGTAAGTAGATTTGGGGTGAGAAGGTAGCATAAACACAATGACAATACCTCCTTGTCAGAATGATGAGATCTGATTGGTCCAAGTGTACTTGATAAAATACTGTGTATCTCGCCTTGGACATGTTGGAGGGGAATACATTTCTAAGTGGGGAATAAATCTCTTATGTCCCGCCATTAGCAAGTCGGGCTGCATGTGGTTTCTGAGAAGCAGAATAAATCCTTTATACCCAACTTCAAAGCAAAAATCTGCACGCTTTTTGAAGTGCCTCTACTGTATGATAGACACAATCTTATCATAACTGTTGAACATTCATCAAAGCATCAGTTACATCCAAAATATAATATAAAACTATAGATATATAAATTCTTTCTGTAAGCTTCATACTGTTACTACCATTAGATTCAGCTTTTAGTTTCTCTGGAAGTTCGACTAACCCACACAATGTTAACATGGTTAAGAATAATATTAACATTTTGAATTTGTAAGGTCGTCAGATAATAAACTTTCCGTATTATACCATGAAGGCTGTTTACTGTTACCGTCAGGCAAGCCGCCGGTAGAGTGGGGACAGGGACTACTGGACGTTCTACCTCAAGCCTTGCAGTATGTCAAGGACAGCAACCACTTCGCGAATGAGAATGAAAAGGCCTGGTAATGTAGACGCAACTAGCCTTTCCCCTTCTTTGACAGATTTGGTTCCCATGTTTGACTGCATAATTCTAGCACACCAGCTTAAGGAAACACGCAAACATGCAGACACGCACGCGCGCACAGGCAGAAACTCAGACACAAACACACGCACGCGCACACACACACAAATGCATGCACACAAAAACGGCTGCGCATACATGCACACAGACAGACATACACACACACAAATACACAAACATGCGCACAAGGACTGGTCGGCTCGGAGTCAGTATACTATGTCTGAGTGGGGTATTCATGTTAAACTGCGGCATGGTATCTCAGTGTGCTAGCACTATAAATCGGCGCCAGTCCAGACCTAGTATGTACATACAGACACAGACAGACAGACAGACAGACAGACAGACAGACACACACACTGGGCTGCATAATTCTAGCTCACCAAGTTGAGGAAACACACATACATGCACACAAACAGGCATACACACACACACACAAACACAAACACAAACGCATGCACACACAAATAAACACACACACACACAGGCATGCATGCACACTCCGACAACCCCCCCCACAGACACAGATACAAATGCTTGCACACACAAACGCATGAACACACACACATACACACATATACACATTGGGCTGCATAATTCTAGCTCACCAAGTTGAGGAAACACACATACATGCGCACAAACAGACATACACACACACAAACACAAACGCATGCACACACAAATACACACTCAAACACGCGCACACACAAACACACACAGGGACAAATACATGTGCACACAAACACACACAAATGCCTGCACATACAAATAAATACACATATACATACTGCAGAGACACACACACACACACACACACACACACGGGCAGGAAACCTATAATAAATTCCATGTGTAATAAATTCAATTTCTATCAAGATTTTTGCATTCTCTCACAAGGAAAACTTAAGGCAACAAAAAGTCTTGTAACTTCATCAATTTTGACCAACAACAAAAATGGGACACTTATGACTGAGGTGGATGAGTGGATGTGACGCTTACATAAGCTAGTGGCTGTACATCAATAGTAGTAGTCACAGGCCTGGATGAGAATGTAAGAGAAACTAATATCAATGATTCTCTGATCTGTTTCAGGCCATACTTCAAGGAACGTTGGGAGGAATATGTAGAGTCGCGGAAACTAAAGTCTGGCGAACCAGTGTTTCCCAGCAACTATGATGATCCGGATGAGAGAGACAACTTCTATAAAAGCATCAGCTTTGGTGGATGGGGAGGAGCTAGTGGCCATGACTCCACAATCATTGCGTGAGTGCACACACAGGCAGCACAGTGGTGGACAATATGAAACACAATGAGCCCCTCTCTTGTAGACTGGTTGCTGGATGTGTTTGAACTGCATCACCTTCATGATGTATAGTGACAGGATATCTATTCCGATGAATCTATTTTTGACCAACAGTCATGTTGCATTTTCCATGTGTTTATCAGCCAGTGTCTTTGACAGGTAAATACATAGCTTATTTGGAATTTGAGTTTTCCATATTTAAAAACAAAATCCAGAAAAATATTTCCAACATAATAAGCAGGGTCATGAAAATCGAAGTACTGTCTTAAAGTATGAACTCGAGTGATTCATTTCACAATGCACTGAAATCTTGCTAGTCTCGACTCAGTTTCAGTAACCTGGGTGCTACTGAGTATGTTTAAAGTGACATTGCTACATACCCATGATTCAGTAATCATCCACCATCTAGATTAGCAGGGGAACAGGTGGCTCTGTCATCTAGGGCGCCACAATTCACTGTGCAGAGTTGCTGCCCTTGGGAACGCCAGAAACATATGATTGTGCGTTTGAAATTCCGGTTCAACACAATTATGTTTCTAGGTTTGTCAGCACCATACCATGCTCGTGGGTTTCACCAAAGTGGTAAAAGTCTGAGACTTGCATCACTTCGGGCTTTCCTCCTACATTAAGGTGACATGCCGTGATGTAACTGTCTTAAAGTATGTTTTAATCTTTTAGTGATTGTACATGCCTTCTTGTCATATTTCATGGAATACGTTCAAAGCGTCGTTAAATCAAACTCACTCACTCTTAACAAGGTTTCACTGTGTTTGTAAACAGAGCCATTTTGTAAACTTCAGCTATGATGCCATCCTTGGCGCCGGTCGAGACTGGAAACAACTGTGCATGAGGTTGGTATAGACTGGCTTCTCATTGGTCAGAATTAGAAATAAGAAACAAACAGTTAAGGCTTGAATGTTTTTGTGGAACTTTAAGTTGAGTATCACGTTGTATGAGCAGTAACTCACCAGGACTACCTAGTTGTATGCAGTTCCAATCTGTAGCAGCAGAAAATTCAACGTCGCATCCAAGATTATTGCACCTACATAGCGACGTGTGTGTGCATGCGCACGCTAGTCCGGACTGATGCCGATTTATAGTGCTAGTCCACTGGGATACAATGCCATAGTTTAACATGAATACCCCACTCAGACACAGTATTCCGACTCTGAGCCGGCCAGTCTTTTTTTAAGCCCCTTAATGCCAAGTGCCAGGTAGGGTAACAACAAGTACCATCTTTTAACGTCTTTTGCAATGACGCGGATGAGGATCAAACCCTGGCCCTTCTGCTCTCCGGGCAGACGCTCTACCACTAGACCAGGGAGGCGGTCAAGTTAGAAAGAACAAATCTATAAAATGGTGGAGAACAGGGGCTGATATGGAGTGGTCCAGAGTCCGAGACTAAGGTAGAATCAACCATTCAGTCACAATTTTCTCTCTTTTTTTATTTTTCAAGACTGAGTCACTTCAAATATATATTTAACCTCGAACCAAAGCAAAATGTTATTTCCTCCACTAAATATAGACAAGGGGAAACCCTGAAGGTAACAGACAAGCTGACTTCATTCTATAAATATACTTATATGAACATCGCCGATGTTTTGTTCAACAACAAAGATTTATAAGGTACTCTATTTGCTGGTCCACAGGGACTGGCAGTCACATGAATTACCGATCCAAGCCCAATTTTACTGGTAAAAAAATGGTATTTACTGGTACAACCATGCAATATTTACATGCTACCAGACCCATGAAGATCCGGGTTAGAATCATCTTCCCGAGGCAAGAGAGTTAACTGACTATAAAAGTCCAGTTTCCACCCTTGCCGAACTTGGCTGGAATTCCTAGGCTCGATCGGAGGGCCACCAGTGGCTAGTACAAGTTATGTCCATTCTATGCCTCTCCCATATGGACCAATCAGATTCCACCTCTCGTATCACATGCATTTGCTTCAAACAAAATGGTTCTTACTTCGCGAAGTACATCAAATCACGTGAGCACCTTGATTAAAAACATGAAACGATTTGGAAAATATCTGTTGACAATGAGTTGGCGATGCACATGCTGTGCAAATCCTGCAATCGACCGAACTCTGCATGACAGTTTATGAACTGGATTTCGATTTCGTTGCGCAATTTTGATTGGACTATGCATAAACTCGTTAGCCCAGCCAAAATGTAACTCCATAATCCCAGCCTAGTTCGGCAAGGGTGGAAACTGGACTTGTAAAGTCAGTTAACGCTCTTGCCTCGGGAAGATGGGTTAGAACCCATGCTTGTTGTAAGAGGCGACTAATGGGCTCAGGTGGTCAGGCGCAGTGACTTGGTTGATGCATTTCATCGTATCCCAATGGCTTGGATTGATGCTCATGATGTCGATCACTGGATTGTCTAGTCAAGACCGCCGTTGTATAGCTGGAATATTGCTGAGTGTGGCGTTCAACAAAAATCAAACCAACAAAACATGCTACCATGAATGACTGTGGTGCTGCTGCTTGCAGTGTAACTCTCACTCACTCCTCTTTATCTAGGGGCATGTTCCATGGCGGGGACAGCGCCAGTACAGGAACTATAGCGGCATGCTGCTACGGCGCCATGTACGGATTGGAAGGTGTGCCAGAGGGTAACTACAAAGTAAGTAGTAACCATGGTAACTATATTGGCTTTGGATTGCATTTAGTTGCACATTGTATGCTCTACCTCTACCCATGTTTCATTTAACTGTTTTGAAACTTGTAGAAATATTTATATTTCTAAGTGTGTAATTCTGCCTGTGACGTCTTAACATAGCAACAAAGTATAAAGTTAAATGTTCCTGTGGTCTATTGATAGAGTGTCCGCCCGGAGAGCGAAAGGTCCGGGATTTGATCCCCAGCCGCGTCATACCACAAGACTTTATAATATGGTACTTTTTGTTACCCTGCCTGGCGCTTGGCATTCAGGGGCTTAAACAAGGACTGGTCGGCTCGGCATCAGTATACTGTGTCTGAGTGGGGTATTCCTGTTAAACTGCGGCAGAGTATTTCAGTGGGCAAGCGCTATACAAACGGCATCAGTCTGGACTAGTACAAGCAGCTCTCGCCCCACACACACACTTGCATGCACAACGCACATGTATAAGTGCAATAATCTTGGACGCGACATTATAAACCCCATTTCTCCTCACCACCTGTGGTTGTAGTTAAAATGTTTTCGGCATGTGTCCGAAATGTTCAGTTTTGTATTTTCTTTTTGTGGAGGATCATTCAAGTGAGATTGTTCAGTGAGATGTTACTCTGCTTGTTAAGCATGTATGACAAGGTGGTTAAAGATTCAAAGGATCTTCAAAGCAAACATATATTTCCAGAAACTTGAGTACAAGGATCGTCTGGAGAAACTTGCAGAGAAGTTGTATGATCTGGCCCAAACAAATGAGGTTAGTCAGAACAACCCCGTGGGGATGGCTGTGACAGAATCGTCCGAGGTTGATCCTAAACAGATCCAGAAAGATTCAAAGAATGAAGACAAGGAAGAACCCATGGAGATTGAGGGTGAACCCAATAATGCGGAGGCAGAAGAGGGGAAAGGTCATGGTTCCCTGTCTGAGCAGGACAAAACAGAAGCTGGTGATCACGCTCCGCCAAAACAGGAGATGACACATAAGTGTCAAGATGGTGACAAAGTAAGAAATAATGTTCAAGAAAAAGATGATGTCACTGAAAAAGATGATGTCATGCAAAAAAATGATGTCATGGAAAAAGATGATGTCATGAAAAAAGATGATGACAGAGAAAGAAATGCTGGCCCCACAAAAGATGGTGAATCAGACGTTAAAGCAGGTGAAACTGATGATGACAGTAAACCAACAAATACCGGTGAGGTCAAAGACAATCTAGATGGCAGTCTGCCAGGTGAAAAGGCAGAGATGGACATGCAAGGTCAGGATGAGTCGTCTGCCGAGGGAACACCTGGGAAAGGGCCTAGTGTTTAAAGAGTGTTGCAGATCAGATCATCAGCCATTTTTTTCTTACTTATTATCCCCCGCCACGAAGTGGAAGGGGGATATAGGAATGGGTGCCGGCCGGCACATTTCGTTTCCGGAGTAGATCTTGAAAACGGTACCATATTTCTTCACCAAACTTGGCACATAGATAGATCTAGTGGTGAACTGGTGACTTTTGATAGTTTGGGATTTAAAAAAAAATTTTTTGAGTTTCCATGGCAACCGTACCATATTTCTTCACAATGGATGCTGTTGTTACTCACCTAACTGTTCTTCCATCTGCTGTTGAAAAGTTCCTCGATTCCCCTCCCTGTGAGGTGCTCGGCCCTGTGAAGCAGCAGTACTACGAGGATGGCGGTTGACGTAGTGAGACACTATGCTGTACAACAGAGGCCTGAAAGACGATGCATTATGTTATACAACACATCAGCATAATTTATTGCTTCATCACTGTTCATGGAAAATATGGCACTGATGTGAAGATGACCTTAGGTGTCATCAAGGTCACAGGACAGCGATGGTGGTCAGTAAAAGTGGGACATCAGAACAACAACTTTATTTCTTCACCCAGGACCATCGCAAGTAATGCAGGATAAGCAAAAAATAAATTAAATTAAACTCACATGGTCACTCGCAAACACCAATAATTGTGAAATGTTAAAACAATTTTACATTAGAAATTAGACTCTACTCCAACTATATTCCAACCTAGCCTACATGGCCTATGCGCAACTCAACTTATTGTGAAAACAACCTGTTTTGAAGGTAAATAAATGAAATTAAACTCGCATCGTAATAATTGTGATATGTTAAAACAAGTTTAAAAATTAGCATCTACTCTAATTTACTTGCCGACTCTGATTGGGAGGCGCAATGTGAAAATGTTATATGCTTTGAAATTTTAAGTACCTTTACTCAATTTAACTCAATTTCAAGCTGAAACTGTATTTAAGAGGTCTAACATGGTGCTGTCAGATCCCAATTATTCATTATATATGTGTTACCGGACTTTCTGTAGCCTGTTATCGAGACATTTGGCAGACTGAAAAAGACTAAGCTGATGAAAAACTAAGAAGGACTGTATATATGTGAATATCTGTAGCTATCTGTGAATAACTGGAAAACAGAAAATGACAATACATCAAATAACATGTAAATATATCAAATATAGTACTACATAACTCGTTCTTATCGTTATTAAAAATAGAGGTGCTGTTTTCGCCCGACACATATTAGCTTTGTCGCCAAATGTGGAGCCGTTTTAGCCTGCACCCATCCCAAACCTGGGATTGACAACAGCAGATCCTGGCACAGCAAGGGTGCACAACTTAAACGACTGTCACCCATGCGCCCAACAATGCTTTAATCTTTAACATGGTGAAAACAACATAAACAGTGTACCTGCTACTAAGACGGATGATGCATATCTGTATTTGTTGTACTCCAGATATTCCCTGATCAACTCATTTATGAGAACATTCTCATTACTAAGAGGAGGTTTATGTTCGGATTGATCGTCTAGAGCATTAAACACTTCAGCTCGAATCCTGGCTTTTATCTGTCCCAGCACGCCGCGGTTTTCAAGGCTTTCTTTCAACACTGGAAACAAAAGTATTGTGATGAATACAAGTATTTAGGGAGCATTTCAAATGTTTTCCATCCAACAAAATACACTTGTCAGTGGATCTACAGTTCAAGTTAGTGGGTGGAGGTTATGTCTCAAGGAATTAATCTTTTGTTTACCCTACAAAGACTTTTGAACTGCTATCATAGTAACCATGGTAACACTACATCATGAACATTGCATCTTTTGCTAATGTCTTTTGACCTTATCATTACCATAATAAATGCCACGATGATGATCCAAAGGTTAAAAAATTATCTTTGATAACAATATGGTTTGGTGCCAACACAGGAAAATTAAACAATATTTACTCAAATGCTCAATTAATTGTTTGTTTTGCAAAAAGGGTTTAATCAAGATGTTGTACTACTAATGTGCAGAAACTGAGAAAGGGAATTACATTGTGACGCAGCAAATTTACACAGTGTGCAGTGTTTTTAAGTTGATACCTCTATAAGGTGAGGTGAAATTGGTCTTAACATCACGTTCAAGATTATTGCACTTATATGGCGCATGTGTGTGAGCGTGCGTGTCCGGACTGATGCCATTTATATAGGGCTAGCCCACTGAGATACCATGCTGGAGTTCAACATGAATACCCCACCCATACACAGCATACTGACTCCGAGCTGACCAGTCCTTGTTTTAGCACCTGCCGAGTGCCTGGCAGGGTAACAACAAATACCATCTTTTCACTTCTTTTGGTATAACGCCGCCAGGGATTGAACCCCTGACCTTCTGCTCTCCGAGTGGACGCTCTACCACCAGACCATAGAGGTAGTATATATACCTCCATAAACACATGATAAACGCAAAACATATTGAAGACAAATCTTATAAATATGTCAACAATAACAACTTCACAGATTTCATGCAAAATCATGAACACAAACAATTTGTAGACAATGATCAAAATCAGTGACATCTCTGAGTGCTATTTAGCAACATAAGCCCCGCCCATTCAGTTATCAGCTAATCAGGAAACGATCCACTCACATGGCTAGTAGGCGTGGCCTAGTTTGTTTATAGCTTTTAGGGATTATTAGTGGTATACTCACACCCTGTGGTACAGCGGCATTCATCAAATTACAGCATTTATGATTTCCGGAAGTTCACTAATGCAAATCATTAACCAGGAAGGGCTCGCTTCATGAACAATTTCAATTTCTGCGAATGTTAGGTCTACTGTAAGTAAGGATTTATTAACACTTTGATACTTACTTCGGGCATCTCTTTTATATTGCCTTACCCCCATATATCAATGGACTACAATATAACCCACAGTTTCCCAAGTAAACTATCTCTATCAACCTGAACTAGCTTGTCTGCATATTCATGGTGACAAATAAGGTAATGAAAGTGACGTAGTCCACACATTTTCCCGCTATGTTGCCAGATTGTTTTAGGAGATAATAAGAGCCATAATGCCATACTTAGCAATGTTCTTCAGCAGTGGCCAAATGTTAAATATATATACTGTTGTGATCAAAGGAGTGCTCTTGAATTATTTATCATGTTTATTGTTAACTTTTAACATTTTTTCGCCCTTTTTAAAAATATTTTTTAAAAGATTATTTTCATCCAATTTTTAAACTAAAAATCTTTAAATATCTTTTCTGATATTTTGTTGTTGATTTAAAAAAAACCTTCTTACTTTTCGGTAAATATGCATTGAATACCTATTAATTTTACACATACTGAATTTTACTCATGCTGTCTTTGCACTTGTCTGGATAAAATCACTGAAGTCTGTCATCATCACACTTGGATCATAGAATATGAATAATCATAGGCCGTGGGACAGCCTAGTGGCTACACTTACAGAAGACGCAGAAGACCTGGGTTCGATTCCCCGTTAGTGTGTTTTGTTCCGTACATAACAAGTACCGTGATACCCCGAGGTTGCAGGCTACTGACTGGCAGAAAGTAAGATCTATTTATGGTGAAGTATTAGATTTCATGCCACAAATGGATTTCAAAATTATTATGATTAGGTGGTTTACTAACAATCATCATCTAATAACATAGTCGACCGGTGTCTGTGCATTTGAACTGAGCAGATTGTTATCATTACGTAAGAGCTGTTGGCTTCGTGGCCTGGTCTTCCCTATTCTTGCGATACAAAAGAATCATGCTATCACATCTCAGATATCTTGAAACTTCAATTGGAGTTTTTGTGTCCACAGACATGACAGGTACAGACATGCACAGGCATAGACCTCTTCAACTTAGGTATTAGCACGCAAACATCATTCTGTTTTATCCTATAGCTTAAATACACCATCAAAACGATGTATTAACAACATTCGGTTTGTGTTTGTGGCAACAATGCAGTTTACCGGGCGCAGCCCGAGCTCTACCATCCGCTCAATTACCGCGCTATAGTGCCACCGCTGTCTCGTTATACCGTTACCGTGCCTCACGCTCTGGTGACTCTCGCTTCACGATCCAACACCCGTTTTCGGTCTTAGGGAAACTTACACATCTTTACAATCAAACACCCGTTCTCGGTCTTAGGGAAACTTACACATCTTTACGATCAAACACCCGTTCTAGGTCTTAGGGAAACTTACACAACTTTACGATCCAACACCCGTTTTTCGGTCTTAGGGAAACTTACACGTCTTTACGATCCAACACCCGTTTTCGGTCTTAGGGAAACTTACACGTCTTTACGATCCAAAACCCCTTTTCGGTCATTAGGGTCAGTGGGTTTGGGCAAGGGTTAGCCATAAATTCTTACCTTTTCAAGCGTTAATCCAGTTAATCCCATTGGTCGGTCATGTTGACATAAACAATTGCGGGTGTGGTTTCAAGAAAAGATGAATAGGGGGTGTAAGTAGGTCACGGGACTACGCGAGACCTAACGTTATTTAGTACATCCGGTGACAAACAACGTCTCGCGGCAATGGCGACAGCAGTGTCACGTCGGACAGGGCCCGGCGAATCATATTTGGAACACGCAGGTGTAACTTAGAAAAACATGACACTGTCACAGTCATTAAAACACTCGAGATGGGGAACATGAATAGCAAGTGTTGGCTTGTCAAAGCAGTTGCAGTGTTGTCAAGACGTCCTATGGTCGATGTCAAACTGGCCGCTACCCATTCATAAATATTGAGGTAAGTTTTTTGCACACTTCTGATAAGTTTAATTGTCAGTGTTGATAAGGCAATACTGATCGGTTCATGGTTCATCATCACACGTACAATGGTGATGGCGTTGAAAAATGAGCATAAAACATTCGTTCTGAAGGTATTTGCAATATGCTCTCGGTTTGTGCACCATACAATGTTATGGCAAATTTCCATTACATCTATCCTGAGCCTTTTCCAATAATAAATGTTCAGCTTTGATAAGGAACGTCACAGAATTATATGTGTAGGTCCAGCATGTCCAGGGGAGATTACACAAACTATACTCATATTTTAAGAAGACCTATCATGTGCATGTTGGCAATGCAAATTTTGTCAATACTTAATGTTGTGCAAGGAGACTTATGGGGGTGCCTGTGTCGGGTTGAAAAATTATTAAAAATGTTACTTGACCAAGGGCAAGTATGACCAACATTCTCACTTGCCCTATTTTAAAATGTACTAGCCCAAAATCAAGCTAATAAATTTGAACATCCATCAATAAACGTTCTCTTACGATTGCAAGCGTGTATGTTTGGGTCCTTGAAACCAGAGACCATATAATAGATTATTATATGGTCTCTGTTGAAACAAATGGTGCACTTCATGACTTTCGCTGTGTCATCATACGCAACCCAAGGAAACTGGTCTTTCCACCCAGCGATGAATGTTCGTTTTCGTTTACATTCGTCATACTTCTTATTCTTTGCCGATATACAACTTTCGGAATTTCCCTCTGCCTTCGTCCCCACCGCCAAAGAAACTTAAAATAGACCGCTGAGACATGATCGGCCATGTGCGGTACTGGCAATATAAATTGTTATTGCAGATACCCCTCTGGGTGCTAATGAGGCAAAGGGAGACTACTCTGTCCTTTATTAGCTTACTTATTTGAAACAACAGATTTACTTACAGTGATCCCTCGCTATTGCACTCTTCAATATAGCGCTAACTCGGTTATTGTGTGCGGTAACACATGGTTCCCAAAACTTATATACACTTTTAGTAAACTCAAGTCACTGACACGATGTCATTTCCCCATCGCAAAAACATTACCACCTGCACGCAACACAGGAAATACCAATCAACAAATTCCGCAATAAAATCCTATTATTACTATCTGGTTATAAAAAAACACGTTTGTACCTTGACATATGTTTGTAGCATATTTTATTAATTTTATTTTAAATTTTATTCAATACAGTTTAGATCAATTTTGCCGAAATCGTGCGTAAAGGGGTCGATAGATCGCACAACTCGCCGTTATTTACAGCAACCACGGTCAGGTTATCGCTATTGACGACTCGAATGAACTTTAGTTGACAACGAAAAGAAACACCTATTAAATAAATGCCATACTTTCACTCGTTAAAAGTCCCGTTTGTTGTAGTTCGACAAAATTATATTTCATCAAAGCTAGGCCTAACGGAGCATCTAAAGTCGGAAAATGTTTCAACCTCGCGTTACAATTTCCAAGAAATTCCATTTCCAAGAAACATGTGCCATATATGGAAGTGTTACTACGATTTAACAATGAAACAAGCCTGGTTCTCGTTGTTGACCTGCCTGACATCGAAATGTATTAATCCCATTGGTTGACTGGCGTAGCTGTATGCAAATTACATTGTCAGTCTGCAAACAAAATATTAGCCAATCAAATACCGTAACATGATCACATGATTACATTCGCGTGAAACTTGACCCAGTTCATTTTGGGTGCTCTACTTGTCCACGGGCATGCTAGAAAACGTATATTACACGCCCGACATCTAAACCTTACTTGACACGGGCGTCGGGCAATGGTATTTTTCAACCCCTGCTGTGTTAATAAATAAGGATATGTGCCAACATCACGATGATAATGTTATGTGCACTGTAAAATCAGGTTTTATTCACACACAAAAAATATTAATCTAATTTGTAAGTAATGATGATGAAATCCTTGCGTTGTTTGTTTTTAAGATCTCTGAAAAGTGACCTCACTTAAATGTATTCTGTATGATGTGAATAGACTTGATCATTACAACCCCATTTAGCATTTGTTTATCATATTCAGTTGAAGGTACTATGTACATGCTTAATTTATTAATTATATCTTGATGTGGGCATTGTAAGAAATGGTTGGTATTGTAGAAGTATATATTATATGATCTCATAAGTGTTATTTATCTTTTGCAGTTGGGCCATATTTCCATGTTTGAGGGGAGAAAGATTTCCTCATCTGACTCACGAGTAGATGCATATGGATCACCAGAATTACCTTGATGCCAAACATAACTGCACCTCAAGAGCATCTCGGACTATAACATATTTCTTGGAATATTTTGTGGTCAAGCATTGCATTGCCTATGAAAGAACAACTCTTGTTGTGTATACAGGTGTAAACATATTAAAGTTCTATCTGAAGTACTGGTTCTGTAAATGATGTCTGTGACCATCAGAATACACCATATACACTGGACACTTGCTGGAACAGGACCTACTTGTCATCAACATGGTGTTGCAGAACATCTTGGGACTCTCTCATAAAGTCCAGTGTGAATCTAGATACTGACACCAGTAACAGTGCATGCTGGCACATTTATTTGTTCAGGCTTGGCATTTTGGAATATTTGCCATGAATGTTTAATACTCATGACCTTGGAATAAAATTACTGAATAGATCTGAAGCTTATTTATTGTTTTTTGTCTGGGAAAATGCCATACAAAAAAAGGTTTTTTAATATTTCTGGTATCAGCCATGATACTGAATTGGTATTGAATATAATATCATAACAATGCACATGGAATGTGTGATAATAGATTTCCAGTTTATGGGTCAAAAGTTTCCAAAAGAATACAACAGATGCTTACCAATGAAAATTTAACTTAACCAATGGCATAGCAGTTGTTGCTTTGTGAAATGAATTCTTCGTTGAAATATCAACATGTCTTGTTTTTGCATCGCTGTTTTAGGGTCCAGCATACAAATTACACTGATTCATAGAACAATAGCCAATAAACATTGACATTTCTTGACCAGATCTTAAAACAGATTGGTCCAAATGGATAGCGGAAAATGTGTAATGTCAGTTACCTCATTTGTTTGACTTGGATTTTTTGGCAGAATATTTGAAATACACAAATATATGAAAAATAGGTGCAATTGTTTCTATCTCTGCATCAAGTCAATATGGTTGCACTAAATTTGTGTTCGACAGTGTTGATTGAGTGATAAGGTGAATGAATTAATGTTTTGGACTTGTAGCAATTTTTTTACTTGGTTCAATTGAGCCTCACAACCAGAAATATTAATTTAAAAAACCCTACCGTTCATCACATTTAATCTTTTTATCTTGCCCCTGCTATCAATCAAAGTCTGCAGTGTCAAAACAATTATATTGCTGACAAGGTGTAACACTTTTATTTCTTCCCTCAGAATAACATTACACTTCATATATTAGTAAGTATCTTTCTTAATGTAGGACATGTCATTGGTGATCGCCTCCATAATTCAGTGTATTTGTCTTGCATTTTGGCCACTTCTGACTTGAAGTTGCTGTGTGCTGGATGCTGCTTCATCTTTTGGTTGCTGTACAGCAGAAATTCACTCCTGTATGACCAAGAAAAAACCCATTCATGTTCTGCAACAACATAGAGCTAGACATCAAGTACATACACAGTGTAAAATTACCATTGTCCAACACCAGTTCTATTCATCACCGGACTTAACAAATAATGTTTACACAATTTGAAAAATAGGTATATCACTATGAATATTCATATGGAATACTAACAGTATTTACTTGTACTTGTTGCACAAACCTGAAACCACCTGAGACTAAGAGGTCTTTCATTGAAATATGTGAGTAAAATAAAACAATTTGACTTACGTACTTTTATTATAACCATGATAATGCATATTCAAATGTAATTCAAAATTAAGGGGCATGTGTGTTTTACAGGTTAGGGTTTGATATATTTATTTCAAATACTAGATTATAGTAATCAATATAATGTATTGACTTGCCTTCATGGTTATTTGATTAACTGTTGAGTGATTTGTGACACTATTAGTTTTTATGTTTATTTTCCCATACATTCTTTTTTTGGTGCATGTTGATGAGAATAACTTTATTTAATTTAACTTGGATAATTATTTTTGGGATCAATATATTTACAGGCAGGGCTAAGAAAATCTATTTGGCATGCAGTAATGACTGTCATTCATCCAAAGTAGAGGAGATCATTCATTTTCTCTCAACTTTTAATTATTTAAAAAAACCACATTTTTTTAATTATTATCTTTTCTTTTCTTTTCTTTTTGGGGGTCTTTTGAGTCTTTCTTGTTAATTTCTGACATCCGCACTTCCATACAGTCATCCAGTACATGTAGATGAGAGTTAACTTATAGTGCAAACTACCAAAGAGCAAGTAGTAGTACATCTGCATTATTATATCTATTCACATTTAATATACAAACTAATTTATGCACAGGCTTTCTACATTGCATAAAAACCCTCTTGTCTCCTTCATAAAAAAATATTTAAAAATAAGTTTCTTCTCAAAAGTAACAAATTTCTTAATGGAAAATTATTTACTATATTAATATGACCAAATATAGTGCATATTAAATTTTAAGTTCCAAACACATGACTGGGTTATTGAGTACTATTATTAATAACAAAATAAATTAATACAATATACTAAAATAAATTTCACGTTTACAAATATATTCATAGCATAGATTTTCCAAATTTCATCCTCCAAATCTTGCCTAATTTAATGCCTATTCAAACTGTCAAGACACGGCTTCCTTGACACTGCTCATGCTGTCAGATATCAGAATACCGTTGTAAGTTGGGTAAAGTGGCCTACCTATTAGTAGTTACATCTTCATAAATAATATTACATCACAGAAACATGTAACACATCCTCAGTAATCATAAAACACTGTCCGCTGAGACTATAAATACAAGTCTGAACGATAGTACCGCACTGGTTGTAAAAATTATTTTAAAGGTAAAGAAAAGAACACATACCTTTACGAACGGTCCCATGGTTGTCAGATGTCAGTCAGGAACCGATAAACCTAACAGGAATGACAAATAACCGATCATATTATTCTGAAATAAGTAAACTTTTACGACTGTCAACAGCGGTGACAACCAAGCGTGGTAGTTTACTTGGTACCGTCTACAGAGTTAGCTTTTGCGGTCGCGCATTTCGAAAGCAGAACTAGTTCACGAGTATAGGCATGTCACCGGAAATGCTCGCACCGGAAGTAGCGCTTCGCGAGACTTACGGGCCCACTCTCCTACCCAGAGTTCCATGCGGCCGGTAGCCAGCTAGCATAGTACCTCTGCCACAGGCCAGCGCCATGTGACGATTCGTCACATCTTTCACAGCCCATTCAAGATATTGCATATGCTTTTCATCCGTTTCATGTTTGACAAGTCTACACATTTTCATAAACAAATGTCAAAGAATGGTTAACTTTCATTGAGAAAGTATGCAAATACTTAAAAATCTACTTGTTTTTGCGTAGTTATCCTATGTTTGCATTGGTTGTACGGCTCCACGTGCTGTCATCAAAGCCCAACGGAGAGCTAGCGACACGGTCACTTTGATGCATAAATATATATTGTCATACAACTCACTGTCGCAGTTGTAGTAGCATATCTATATAGTTATGCAAAACAATATGTAAAGCGCCCCCAAATACTTGCATTAGTCGGTTCTATACTGATTTCTGAAAAAGCGCGTTTGTTTACAAACAAGAGAAAAGTCCGGTCACGTGATATGCAAATTAGCCTGTGGCAGTGGTGTTATGCTGAGTCACCACTGCGACGGAGTGTGTTACGGGCCCTATTGGAGAGCGGGCAGTGACGTCACACGCATGCGCAATTCATTGTTTACTGAATTACGCATGCATGTCAATGGGGATTCTAATGACCTGTTAAACGAGCACTGATTACATGTGATAGCGCCTGTGGTCCAGTGGTAGATCGTAGGCTAATTAACGCATTAATTAGCTGAGCCGGCGAAGCGCGTTCGAGCCCCCACAGCGCTAATTGGATCTGAAAAAGTGCGCCCGGTAAAGTGCACTACTCCCCTTTATTGTTAATGAGAGATCCCTGCCGCGTCATCAATTCGTGTGTACACAAGCGGGCACTTCAAAATGGCAGGCAGGGATCTCTCATTAACAATAAAGAACGGGGTGTTGTTTAGTTTAGCTGCCTCATTCATTCTATCTACTTCAAGCAATAATCGTATAAAATTATTTACATTACAACACTTATAAAATGTAAATAATACCTCAAATGTTTTATGTCATAATAAAAAAAAAATAATCAAGTCTTTAAGAATGCTCCCTAAGTACGCATATATTTATGATGTGGGCACAAGTAGGAAATGTTCACTTTCAGTTTATCTTGGATTTACCATTGGTAACGTGTTTCGTTTATGTTGTCATCTTTGGTTAAGAGGAATTTTGCGATACTTTCATTTGGAACTATTTGGGGTTTGTATATTTTCTCTCAATTATTATTCTAGATTGCATGACATCTCAAAAATACGTTACTGTCTTCTACTGGAAGGGGAACCTGGCCTAGACTGAATCTGTTTCTGGGTATGAGTATATGACACCCCACAACGGTACAACACGTTAAGCGGCATTCACACGGTACTAAAACTAGGCTAGTTGGTACAAGTTGCCCAACTTTTATGCAATTACATGTTCGTAGTTGTACGAACTGAAGTTGTATACGGGAGCAGGCTAAAACGTCATCTCAGCCAAATTGGTGTCACCGATTTCTCGGGCGAAAACGGCACCTCTATTTTTAATAAGAACGCTTTATCTTGTTTATGTAGAAGTATATATTTTTTATTTACATGATTTATTATGTTATGTTGTAGTGTATATGTTTTCACTGGGCGGGGACATGGTCTGTTATCAAGAAATATTCTTGTGATGATGGCTGAAAGGAGAGAAATATGTGAAATATCTATTAAATTACTGTTTATTTCCTACTTACTAAAGTAAATATTAAATATATAGTATACCTGTAGTCCAATTTCTTGACAAATCCATGAGACTCAGTTTAAGCTTGACATTGAGTTAATTTGAGTAAGGGTGATCAAAGCATGTGATGTTTTCACAATAAGTTTAGTTGCGCCTCCCAATCAATTGGAGTAGAGGCTAGTTTCTAATGTAAACTTGTATTAAGGTTATTAACATTTTATCATTTTTTGTGTTTGCAAGTGACCATGTGAGTTTAATTTCATTTATTTTACTTCAAAGCATAAAACGTTCACAAAAAGTTTAGTTTCGCCTTCCAGTCAGAGTCGGTGAGTAAATTGGGAGTAGAGGCCAGTTTCTAATGTAAATGTGTTTTAACATTTCACAATTATTTGTGTTTGCAAGTTAGTGAGTTTTATTTCATGCATTTCAGTACAAAGGTTAAAAAAAGAATAGGTGCCGTTTTCGCAGGGAATTAGTAGCTGTTTTCGCTTTAGGGGAGGTGATGTTTTTTGCTCGGTGACGTTTTGCTGAGGTGCTGTTTTAGCTATAACCCATTGAATACTACTTGGCATTCACATGGCGGCGAGTTGCATTCAACTTGGATCTCTCGAGATCTATGACCAAAAACTCGTGATTCACTACATTACCGCTGGAATCCTCTTTACTGAGTTAATTTTCAGACCCACAGTTTCGAAAAAGCGCATAGTACTCGACCAGCCTGTGACTTTGCAATTTTACAGAGTTGTATATAATTGAATTTTCAACCCCATAGTGAAAAATTAAGAACTGGTTTGAAAAGCAAAAGTGCTAAATGTTGTCTGAAGTTTCTGTTTTGCTAACCAAAAAACCTGTAAATATGCAGTCACATTTGATCGTACATAGATAAACATGATAAAGTACAGTGCGACAAAATGTTTTATTTGACAGCTTTATGTAAACTGTGAGTGAACAAAATACTGTGTACCTTTCATTCCTCACTTTAGCTCTAATCTTCAACCGTTCTCCATGGAACACATTGAAAGTTGGCAGTATGTATCCACATTGGATATTGCACATTTTTGGTCTTTTTGTATGTTAAAAGTAACACCGCTTGGTGGTTATATTTGATTGTTTGTTGCATATCAATCTCTCATACAGTGAAGATACTGAATATGCTGAAGGAAGCGCCCCGCAAATTTACGATTAACCCCCATTCACTCCCTTTCCATCATGTCCATAGACCCAAGAGCAATACACAGTCTTGTTGCAAAATGTCGTCGGCAGTATGTATACTGGCTAGCGACCAGTTATCGCGAGGACCAATTATCGCTACCTCCCCGTTATTGCGCGCACATGTTACTTTTGCTCGTTTACATTAGAAGAGAGAAATATTTATCCGAAAATTATGAACAAAACAGACTCTTGTAAGGAAATATTTAAAAACCCACCATAGTCACCCTGCTCAAATATAACTTTAGAAAAGACACGTGAGGGGTGTCATGTGACCACTTCCCACGAAAATATAAATCAAACAACAAGATGATGCACTTTCAGCTCTGTCATAGCTTGCTATCTGTCCGTCATTTCTTCCCCAAAATATAATTCTGAAACCTATTTGAGCTATATTTCCAAATATGCATAACTTGGATATGTTGCTAAATACATATAGTACATAGTGTTAAGAATAATCATGTGTAGATCGAATTTGGGGAATATTGGTTTTTGTCAGTTTGCATTTGTTGTTAAGACGATGACGATAACTGGTACAGTAAGTGGATGGGAAAGTTCTGTTTAGACTGTTTTGATTCCCTGTCGTAGCGTTATAACAGAAATCAACGGGATCTTATTCAGACAGACAGAAATAAGAGCATTTGCTCATAGTTCCACAAAAATTGAAGTTATTGGTACAGTCAACTTTGTACACGGAATATGTCAGAAACAGCATGAAAAAATGGCGATAACTTGTCAGTGAACAGTATGGATTTATGATATAGGAAATGACCCGTGACATCTCTGCTGTGTTTCAGCGACAGCAAAAACGTGTTCAACCAACTGTAACTCAGAAACCAGTGGTCCGATTTTGTCCAAAGATTGTATGGGTATGTAGACAACGACTGAAGAGATAATTTGGAAATTGCAGACCAGTTGATCTCAGAACTAAGGGGAAACAAATAAAACGTTCTTCATGTAAAGCAACATCTCATATTCCTCAGTATTGCTCATATTTTCAGGAGTTCCTCATAGAACACAGTCACATTTTGCACATTTTCTTAATGTGTTCTTTGTTGCATGTTAAAAGTAAGGCAACCTGGCGGTTATTTTTTATTTCTTTTTATGTCTTAAACTGTCATGCAGTCAAGATCCTGAAAGAATCGGCCCCCAAATATATGAATAAGCCCATTCACTGCCTTTCCATAAATGCTAGAGCTATGAATAGTGTTATTTGGTATACCCTCTGCAATAGGTGTATGGTTTTCTAAAACTAGAAGGTGACCTTTGTGTCCAGGTTTCAGGTGAACTTTGGGGTGTTTTCCTGCTATGGACGAACAAGTTCAGTTCAGACGGAGTGAGAGAGACAGGATATGCTTATTGCTAGTAGAAGACGTCTGCAGAAATGGATTATAACAGTTTCTACCGACAGTTTAAATGGGGATCATGGCAGGTCAGGTTTGTTTGTTTGGTGATTAATGCTGCACTCGGCAATATTCCAGCTATATGACGGTGGTCTGGAAAAAATTGAGTCTGGTCCTGACAATCCAGTGATTGACATCATAAGTGTCGATCCACGCAATCGGGATGTGATGACATGCATCAACCAAGTCACTGAGCCAGTCCACCTGATCCTGTTAGTCGCCTCTTACGACAAGCATAGTCACATTTTATGGCAAGCATGGGTTGCTGAAGACCTATTCAAACCCGCATCTTCACGGGTAGACAGGTCAGGTACATGTATCAATAGGTAATGTATTGCTATGTGTAATGTGCAAATGTGTTACTATTGAGAGTAAAACAATCGCAATTTTTCAGTCACAAATCCAGGTAAAATCTGTGTGGATCGATGCTCATGATATTAATCACTGGATTGTCTGTGACTCGATTATTTAAAGACTGCTGTCATATAGCTGGAATATTGCTGAGTTGGGCGTTAAACAACAAACCAACCAACCAATGGGAAGGCAGTGAATGGTGTATTTTATGCATTTTATTGACAGTTGTTTGGACAAGCTTCAATAAAAAATGGAAATTCCTCCCACTAACTGACTTTACATCGACAGATGATCTCGTGTAAAATAAAACAATAACCAGGGCAGTTTTTGTATTTATTTTTGAAAGTCCATTATTGTAAACGTATGTGTTTCTTGGTTCAAGACAGAGTGACAATTAAATCCATACTGCATATGACTGTAGTTTTATGAACTGAGATACAAACAGGTGACTTTCAGATTTAAGGCTTTAATGCAATAAGAAAGTATTTTCAGAAATCGGAAGGTTGATAATTCAAATACAAATAGCTTTTGTTGCAAAACGAGCTACAACCTTGGCACATGCATGTTGATAATAAGAATTTGTTTTCCGAAACCGCACAAAAACAGAAGGTACTAATAAATTTGTTATGAACTGAGCTAGAACTATGGGACTTAGTGAGATTAATGGAGCCTGATATTGCTGCCCGCAGCCATATTTTGTTAATTTTGTTGTTGAGATGCTTTCACAAGAAACAGTTGTTCATTCAGATATGTAATAATAATAATAGTGATATTAATAAGCTCTAGTCTTTGTTTTCAAACTGATATTTCCCTTGTCTGCTATTGATTAAGAGTTGTCCGTTTTCGCCGGTAAAATTGGTTGGTCCAGATGCATGGGTAAAATGTCTCAGTTGCAGAGTGGAACATGAGCTCTGGGTTTCAAGGATGTTAGTGACACTGTCAATAGGATTCTGTACCAGTGGAGTTATCAGTGGTTAAAGACGATTTGATTCTGTAGCCTTGTGGTTCAAGCGTTCACTCATAACGCTGATTACTTGGGTTCGATTCCCCAGATGGGTATAATGTGTGAAGCCCATTTCTTGTGTTGCTGTCGTGTTATTGCTGGAATATTGCTAAAAACAGTGGAAGACTTCACTCACTCACTCACTCACCCACTCTCTCTCACTTACCCACTCTCACTCACCCACTCTCACTCACTCACCCACCCACTCTCACTCACTCACTCACCCACCCACTCTCACTCACTCACCCACCCACCCACCCACTCTCTCTCACTCGCTCACCCAATCTCACTCACTCGCTCACTCACTCACTCTCGCTAACTCACTCACTCACTCACTCACTATTGACAAGTGACTGTTATCGATAAATTTTTAGTTTCATTGGTGAAACTAAGTTTCTACCACTCAGTCTCTAAAAATAGTCCACATCGCCCAAGTAAACCCACTTGTATGTACAAATCAAGGTCTTTTTTCCTCTCTTGAATGGACATGCTACTGACTCAGGCCCAGGTAGAGCTGTTTATCATGTTTACTTGCTATGTTTACAGTGTACATCAGTAATTGAAATTTGTTTGCAGGAATGGCCGCGACTAAGCATGCTCCGGTCTCAATGCTGGAACGGTACAAGGCTGCCATGGTCCTCGCAGGCGTCGGGGATGCCCTTGGGTACAAGAATGGAGAATGGGAGTTCTGTCACAGTGGAAAACTCATTCTAAAAGACCTGAAAAAGATGGGTGGATTAGAGAAGATCAAAGTGAACAGTTAGTATTGTCTCAGAGAAAAGCCCTTACTTCAAATTCTTAAATTGTGAATCTCAAACGTGACTCATGAATCTTGTTGGTTGTACATGAAAAAGACACCTAAAATAACTGGCACTTTGCTGTGTATTTAATGTTCACCGTGTATCTATTAATGTTCAACGCATACACTTGAGCAGATACAACTCATGAATATTAATTAGACCGTTCACTTCGTTAACAGATCGTTATTATCATTATTATAACAGAAATAAACGTATGTTTTCCATGTAATTCTAAAATGATGTTATTTGTTATTAATTGTCCGGTGAATTAAACTATTTAAATTTAAACAATTCATAATTCATCATATTACGAATACGTAACAACTTGTAATGTGTGTGAAAAGTTGTACTAAAATACGCTATTTGAAGGGGGCGTGGCATAAATGCAAATGTCCTATTGGGATTTTAAATTTTCCGGACCCCTGATCTATACTATATGATGTGATTCCAGAACATGACTGGATGGTGAGCGATGACACAGTCATGCACCTGGCTACTGGCGAAGGTATATTGGTTTGGTTTTTCATTTGCAATATTTTAATGTATGTAAACTTATCTTACATTATCAATGCCAAGTAAAACAATTGGCAATCTTATCAAAATAAGATCTTAGTTCTCGCTGTCCCTAAACAAAGATCTGGGGACATCCCATTACGGGTCACGTCAGAACAACTTTAATCCTACCAATCAAAGCGTCGCCATATGTTAGACATTCTGGAATGTTCAGTTTTCAAAATTTTAATCGAGAACTGTGTCAACATATTTTTCGAGCATTGTCAAAATGGAAGTTGCCAGATTGAAACGAGTACAGTAAAGCTAGAGAAAGATGGTTTCTAATTGGCTGACTTATTGTTAGTCATTTCAGTGGTTGGTCAAAGTTTGCGAAAGGTTGTTCTGACGTGATCTGTAATGGGATGTCCTCAGATTTTTGTTTAGCAGCTGCGAGAACTTAGATCTGATTTTAATGAGATTGAACCGTTGTGGATGGAATTATTTTCGTTTTCAATCAGAATGACTTTTTGTCCTTTTAATGTAACAAATGCTTTAATGTGCCAGGCTCGGATTTGCCATTGTTTTCTTGAATATCTATCGCCTTAGAGTTGTTTTGCATGCTCTGGGTATGAAAAAGAAATGAAGTGTGTTTCTGTCTTCCCGACCAACTAATGTGGAAGCCCGGACCGTAAACTCATTTCTGTTTATCCCCCGCCCCAACGAAGTTGGCGGGGGATATAGAAATGGGTTCCATGTGCGTCCCGAAATCATTTCCTGAGCATAACTCAGAAACCGTTAAATATTTCTCTACGAAACTTTGCATGTCTATCAGACTCATGCTGAACTGGTGCCTTTTGCTGTTTAGGAATTTTATAAATTTTTATTTTTTACGTTTCCATGGCAACAAGTTGGACTTAGGTTCTATAAGCAGTGATAGGGGGGGGTGCTGTTCGTTTCCGGAGCGTAACTCAAAAACCGTTAAATAATTTCTTACAAAACTTTGCATGTTTACCAGACACATACTGAACTGGTACCTTTTGCTATTTAGGAGTTTTATAAATGTTTATTTTTTTACGTTTACATGGCAATAAGTTTGACTTAGGTTCTACAGGGGTGGTGTTCATTTCCAGAGCGTAACTAAAAAAAACGTTAAATACTTTCCAACAAAAACTTTGCATGTTTACCAGACACATACTGGACGGGCGCCTCTTGCTATTTAGGAATTTTAGAAATTTTTATTTTTCACGTTTCCAATGCAATAGGTTGGACTTAGGTTCTACAGGGGTGGTGTTCGTTTCCAGAGTGTAACTCAAAAAACGTTAAATACTTTCTTACAAAAATTGCATGTCTACCAGGCACATACTGAACTGGTGCCTTTTGATATATAGCACGTTTAGAAATTGTTTTTGTTAATGTGTCCATGATGACAAGTTGGATTTAAGTTTTAATATAGGATTGGTTTAGTTAAGGAGTATAACAAATAAACTGTTAAATATTTCCTTGCCAAACATTGCATACAAGCGCATACTGAACTAGTGCTATTTGATATTAAGGAGTTTTAGAAATGTTTATTTTAGAATTTCCATTGCAACTATTTTGACATGGGCTAAGAGAAATGTTGTGTCAGTTACCTGGTTTGGGACCATAACGTGTTAAAATGGGCGGGGGATATAGATGACTTTGTCAACTATACGCTTGTTTTTCTTGAGTTGCACCATAGTTTTTGTCACTGTCCCAGTATTGTCCAAAGATAAATGTATGATATTTATGAGAGGTGTTGCATCTACAAGCTCAATCTTTGGAGAAAAGGTAAATATAATAAGAAAAGGTTGGTGAAAATGTTCTTCTTTTTAACATGTACTGAACACAAAACACGCCCAGCTTGATTCATAGTAGGTTTTCATGTATATGGTATGTTTATTGTGTTTTCTGAGGACAATAATATTCTATTACAGCTCTTGTGTCTGAAGCGGGTGGTGTAAGCCTGGTGGAGACTTATCATGAGATGGCACAACAGTACAAAGTATGCATGAGAGATATGTCTGGTAGGGCTCCAGGTGAGATTGATGCTCAGTTTTATTTGCTTTGTATTGGTAGATAAAACAGTGAGTTCAGTAAACTCTTACTCTCAAATACTAAGAACTGTATGACTAACAAACCACAGCAATTTGACATGACCCACAATATTTTCTAAATGGCCCACATAACTGAAGACAGGTGGGCCATGGGGCCACTTTTTATAAAGGCAAGGATCAACACTCTCCCCTTGTATAGTGACCCGTCACTGTGATGTTGTGTATTGCAGGGCCTACCACTCTCTGTACTACCTATTACTGTATATAAGAGAGATACGCGATAGATTGAAAGAACAATGAAGAAAAAAGTGTTGTTTATTTCACGATAAAACATCGTTCTATCATGACGTTATTTTTTAGAGGTAAGTGTATTGAGTTGTTACTCATGGATGTAGCCATCTTCCTAAGGCTAGTGAGTTAACTGATTATAAAAGTCCAGTTTCCACCCTTGTCAAACTAGTTTAAAGTCAGTTAACTCTCTTGCCTCGGGAAGATGGGAAGTAGCTAGACAGTGCAGATGAACACAATGGCCAACAATCACACCCAAAAGTGGGAGAGATATGACAATCGGTATTGGGGGAAAAGGTGCAGACAATCAACAGGAAAATTGTGAGAATACCTGACTTAACCCTTCTGTACATAAAATAGTGTTGTGTTTTTGCCAAGGGCAGATTGTAGTCGAGGAGTCATCATTATTTAAATACAGGTTAATGTTTTTAAAGCTTGTGCAATTTATTGACATCCATAAAAAGGCTGTACTAAATGATATCTCATATAAGAAATATACGACTCGTGGTCGTTGTTTATCGTACAATAAAATACTTCAGGGATAATTCTAGGGTGGAGCCTTGTGCCTTTAGCCCCTAAATTTGAAAAAAGGCCCACATTTTCAAATACAATGGGGCATTTTAACATTCTGCTGTTTGGGCAAGTGTGGGTCTACCTCTGGAATATATGAAATTTTCACACAAAGGTCCCATGTCAGATAATTCCTAGAGTGAACCCTGTTATTGTAAGATAAACAACTCCCACTTGTTTATGTTTCAAGTAAACCATTAACATGGTGACCTAAAATATCAAGTGGGCATATCCTGCATTAATCAGTATTTACTGATGAAGCTGAGGAATAGTGGCCTTGTTACAAGTGATGTTTTGGTTGTTTTTTTGCTATGGACATTGCAGATAGTCAGTACTGCTTGTGATAAGGTTCTGTTTGATTGCAGGAGCAACTTGCATGACAATGGTGCATAGTCTGAAACCAAATTTAGATGATGGATACAAGATTCCTTTCAATAGCAGGTAAGCAAGGTGAATGGAGAGCTCCCATTGGTTTTCTTAACCCTCATGGTGCCTGGCCGTCAGTCATCTATACCCTCAGTGCTCCACCGTGATGACATCACCGTTTCAAAAATGTGTACACTGTATAAATGTGTTACAACTTTCTTATTTATTCACACAGTGTGTCTTTTTTGTACTACATTCAAGTTGAGTTGATTGCCTTTACTACACTGTCTACATTCTTCAAATCTAAACAAGATAGGCACTGCCTAGGCATATGCATTGCTCATTTAATAGCCTACCTTTTGCTGTTTTAATATTTTTCAAAACTATATGTTGTTATGTTCCCATGGAAACAATTTCAGCTAAGTCTCAAAGATCTCCAGGCCTCGTTTCTGAGCCATAACTTGCAAACTTATGAATATTTTTGTATGAAACTGTGCATGTGCAATGACCACATGCTCCACAATTTCCTTTTCAATTTCTTGTGTTTCCATGGAAACAATTTGGACTTAGTCTCACACAACTCACATTTGTTTCCTTCTAAAACTCTCATACAACTAACATTTGTTTCCTTCCAAAACTCTACAGCTAATAAATATTCCTGCAGCAGACCATTATCTTTCCAGGTTATAATTTGCTATTATTGTTTTTTGGAGTTGCAAACACACTAACAGTAACAGCTTGAACTGATCTATCAAAAAAGGGGGAGGGGAGACATCTGTTTTAAAAAACACAATTCTACTGCTAACTTTGATTCTTTTCTACCTCACTCAAAACATGGAAGCACCTTAACATGCAAAGTGAAGTAAAGTAGGCTCCCTTGTTTGAAATCGAGATGTCTAATAATTCATATCAAGTACAATTTTTTACTTTTCCTGCATTACTACTTAATGCATCTACTGCTTACCTTTGACAGAGACAGTGCCTAGCCATGGTCCTTGATGAAGAAAAAAGGTTGTTTTCACTTTCAGTTTACTTTTCTAAGGACACATCGCGGCTGTCATGTGACCATCCTTCGGGACATCACATCTGGTCACATTCGGATAATTTAGCATTGGTGACAAGCAATAATGTGACCAGATGTTGATGTTGTAGAAATGTTGATGTCGATGTGGATGTTGTAGAGATGCCTATGATGATGTTGTTGATGTTGTAGAGGTGGCGGGTGTGGTGCGTCCATGAGGGCCATGTGTATCGGTCTCAGGTACCCCAGGTAAGCACTCCTTCATGAATTGTCATGGTCTTTTATGCTCGACCATCATTTCAAGACTTGATCGACTGAGCTTGTTTCTTTATCTTATGCTGGACCATCATTTCACATCAACCCAAGGATGGGAGTTCAAAATTTTGTGAGTTGGGCTCAGGTAATAAAAAAAAAGAAAATGGAGGGAGGGGGGGAATTAAACCAGGGCCTTCAGGGTTACAAGTGAAGATTTTACCCACTTGGCTACCCCACATACACATGAACGTTTTACAAATAAGATGAGGATGAATTTAAAAATCAGGGTGGCCTCTTGAAAATGTGTACATCTGTACAGATGAAAGTGATCCACAATTATTCAAGAGTAAATCCAAGTGAGATAATCCCAGTGTATGGCCTCTTCAAATTATAGATCATGGTACTCTGTGACTTGGTTGATGCATGTCATCGTATCCCATTTGTGTGGATCGATGCTCATGATGTCAATCACTGGATTGTCTGGTCCCGACTAGATTATTTACAGACCACCGTCATATAGCTGGACTATTGCTGAGTGTGGCGTTAAACAATGAACGACCGAACAGATCATGGTAAATATGTATAGGTTAAAACACGCCTACGGGGTTTGGGTTGAAAATGTAAAACCCCAAGCGAGGAAAAAGTGAGCTCAAGGTTTTACATTTTCAACCAAAACGGAGGAGGCGTGTTTTATCTAACTTGTCAACCGTCTAAGTCCAAGAAATACCAGAAAAAATAAGAAAACATTGACATACCTTATAGCAAAACAATACAGTGTATAGCGGTATAAAAGGAATTTGCTCAAAACGTGCTAGAGAAAAGCCAAGTGCAGCATGGACTAGCTGGAGTCATGACATGATATATTTAACAACTGCTCATCACCTGCCTTGGTATTCCAGTGGGAAAACAGTGGGTTACAAAACTTAACACGATATGTAAGGTTGCAGGTTCGAATCACGTCATGGAATTTTCATGTTAAAAAGTGGCACAGATAAATTGAAAATGGCACACCTGAAAAACAGGTGTCATTTTCAATTTAGGTGTACCTCTGAAAAACGGGTCCAGTGTCCTTGGACACACCTGAGCCCTGTTACCATCTTAAGGATCAGGAGAAATAGTATTCAGTTGGCACAAGATAGTTATTGTTCTAGAGCTGCCGACCTGAAAGACCTGATTGCTGTCAGCATTGAGAGTGGCAGAATGACACACCATCATCCCACAGGCTACCTCGGAGCTCTGGCTTCAGCACTCTTTACAGCTTACAGTATCCAAGGTAACATCTTCATCTATTTCATTCTAAGTTGAAGTATAGCCAAGCATGTTAATAGTACACAACCAGTTAAATTTGTAGTTTACTAAAATAAGGTGTTGATAGCGGACTTAGAAATATATCATGATCCACATAACCTTAGCCATTATGTCAGACAGGATAGCAGATATGGTTTATACAGTAAATCATGAAATTAATTGATATCGAGTCACATTTTTTTCTAGGGGTCAGCAGACGCATTAATTTGGAGACACATTAATTTCCAGATTTACAGTATCTACCTGACCATTTTTCTATCACCAGGTGTTATCACTGAACTGTATGACATAGCTTGTAGCACGGGTTGCGAGCGGTACCTTTGATCTTACCCGTGCTGTATCATGGTAGTAAGAGCACGGTTTGTTTAAGATTATTACCATTGGCTGATGCCAAGATCAGCAAGCCCCGCCTACTGGCTTGAGAAATTTCAAACTTACAACAATGTTTCTTTAGTGTTGTACACAGTGTTCAAGAGTAATAACGTAAATAAACAACAAAAAACAATAGAAATGTTTATAATTTTATTAAAAGATTACAATGTAACTGTCAAACATAAAAACAACTGGACACAGAATGCATTTTGCTAAATTCGGAAAAATAATAGTTGAAATTTCTAATGTGCCTTTGAAAATTCCAAAGTTTACACTTGATTTAACAATTAGATTAAAAGTTAAAAACGGTTCGAAGGCAGAAAGCATGTGTCATATTTAAATTTTACACAAACTCGCGCAATTTTGGAATGACTGTCATAACCCGTGCTACAAGTCACTTACAACACACCCACCTACTCGTTGTTTGGGCAGTAAGAGCACGGATTGGCTTGACAGACAAAAAGGATCACCTCGGGGCTCCCCCCCTTGGTCCTTTTGTCTGTCAATCAAATGCCAAGCCAAACCGTGCTCTTACTGCCCAAACAACTCGTCTTGGTGTGTTGTAACTATAACTTAAATTATTATCTCTGATCACCTATCGTAACTCACGTACTGTAACATAGACATAAGATAGTCATAGTGCTAAGATAGCTTTGTGCCATTGGCCCTGAACTGTAGGTCCTGTCTGTAAGTATATTTGGGGTGAGAAGGTAGCATAAACACCATCATCATACCTCCTTGTCAGAATGATGAGATCTGATTGGTCCACGTGATCTTGATAAAATACTGTGTAACTCGCCTTGGAGGGGAATACATTTCTCAGTGGGGAATAAATCTCTTATGCCCCGCCATGAGCAAGTCAGGCTGCTTGTGGTTTCTGAGAAGCAGAATAAATCCTTTATTCCCCGCTTCAAAGCAAAACTTTTTGAGGTGCCTCTACTGTATGATAGACACAATCTTATCATAACTGTTGAACTTTCATCAAAGTATCAGTTACATCCAAAATATAATATAAAACTATAGATATATAAATTCTTTCTGGAAGCTTCATGCTGTTACTACCATTAGATTCAGCTGTTAGTTTCTCTGGAAGTTCGACTTAGCCACACAATGTTAAGAATGATATTAACATTTTGAATTTCTAAGGTCTACAGATAATAAACTCTGCATGAACCATGAAGGCTGTTTACTGTTACCTTCAGGCAAGCCGCCGGTAGAGTGGGGACAGGGACTACTGGACGTTCTACCTCAAGCCTTGCAGTATATCAAGGACAGCAACGACTCCGCAAATGAGAATGAAAAGGCCTGGTAATGTAGACGCAACTAGCCTTTCCCCTTCTTTAACAGATTTGGTTCCCATGTTTGACTGCATAATTCTAGCACACCAGCTAAAGGAAACACGCATACATGCACACACGCACGCGCGCACAGGCACACTCAACACAAACGCATGCACACACAAACAAACTCGGCACACACAAATGCCTGCACACACACAGACAAATGGAGACTGACTCCGAGCCGACCAGTCCTTGTTTTTGCCCCTTAATGCCGAGCGCCAGACAGGGTAACAACAATTACCATCTTTTAACGTCTTTTGGTATGACGCGGCCGGGGATCGAGCATAAATTCTAGCACACCAATTTAAAGAAACATGCATACATGCACACACACACATGCACACAGACACACTCAAACACAAACATATGCACACACACACACACAAATGCGTGCACACACAAACACACACAAACGCACACGCACACACACACACACACTAATGCATGCACACACAAACACCTGCACACACAAACACACACACACAAACACATACATACATACTGCAGAGACACATACAGACACACACACACATACAGACACACATACAGACACACACACACAAACGGGCGGGAAAACTATAACACATTCAATTTCTATCAAGTTTTTTTTCATTCTCTTCCCAAGGAAAACCTAAGGCAACAAAAAATCTTGTAACTTCATCAAGTTAGACCAACAACAAAAATGGGACACTTATGACTGCGGTGGATGAGTGGATGTGACGCTTACATAAGCTAGTGGCTGTACATCAATAGGAGTAGTCACAGGCCTGGATGAGAATGTAAGAGAAACTAATATCAATGATACTCTGATCTGTTTCAGGCCATACTTCAAGGAACATTGGGAGGATTATGTAGAGTCGCGGAAACTAAAGTCTGGCGAACCAGAGTTTCCCAGCAACTATGATGATCCGGATGAGAGAGACAACTTCTATAAAAGCATCAGCTTTGGTGGATGGGGAGGAGCTAGTGGCCATGACTCCACAATCATTGCGTGAGTGCACACAGAGGCAGCACAGTGGTGGACAATGTGAAACACAACGAGCCCCTCTCTTGTAGACTGGTTGCTGGATGTGTGTGAACTGCGTCACCTTCACGATGTATAGAGACAGGTTATCTATTCTGATGAAACTATTTTTGACCAACAGTCATGTTGCATTTTCCATGTGTTTATCAGCCAGTGTCTTTGGCAGATAAATACATAGCTTATTTGGAATTTGAGTTTTCGATTTTTTTTAAAAATCCAGAAAAATATTTCCATCATAATGAGCAGGGTCATGAAAATCGAAGTACTGTCTTAAAGTATGAACTCGAGTGATTCATTTCACCATGCACTGAAATCTTGCTAGTCTCGACTCAGTTTCAGTAACCTGGGTGCTACTGAGTATGTTTAAAGTGACATTGCTACGCACCCATGATTCAGTAATCATCCACCATCTAGAGTAGCAGGGGAACAGGTGGCCCTGTCATCTAGGGCGCCACAATTCACTGTGCAGAGTTGCCGCCCTTGGGAACGCCAGAAACATATGATTGTGCGTTTGAAATTCCGGTTCAACACAATTATGTTTCTAGGTTTGTCAGCCCCATACCATGCTCGTGGGTTTCACCAAAGTGGTAAAAGTCTGAGACTTGCATCACTTCTGGGTTTCCTCCTACATTAAGGTGACATGCTGTGATGTAACTGGAATACTGTTCAAAAGTGGCGATAAACCCAACTCACTCCCTCACTTACTTTTACACTATTAAAACTGGTTCAAGAGACCAAAGATTAACTGTAAGTTTTAATCTTTTAGTGATTGTACATGCCTTCTTGTCATATTTCATGGAATACATTCAAAGCGTCGTTAAATCAAACTCACTCACTCTTAACAAGGTTTCACTGTGTTTGTAAACAGAGCCATTTTGTAAACTTCAGCTATGATGCCATCCTTGGCGCCGGTCGAGACTGGAAACAACTGTGCATGAGGTTGGTATAGGGTGGCTTCTCATTGGTCAGAATTAGAAATAAGAAACAAATACTCACAGTTAAGGCTTGAATGTTTTTGTGGAACCTTCAGTTGAGTATCATGTTGTATGACCAGTAATACCTAGTTGCATGATAGAGTTCAATCTGTAGCAGCAGAAAATCCAACTTCGCATCCAAGTTTATTGCACCTATATTGCGTGCCTGCGCGCGTGCGTGCTTGTGCGCGTGCGTACTAGCCCAGACTGATGCTGATTTATAGTGCTAGTCCACTGGGATACAATGCAATAGTTTAACATGAATACCCCACCCAGACACAGTATTCTGACTCTGAGCCAGCCAGTCCTTTTTTGAGCCCAGTAATGCCAAGCGCCAGGCAGGGTAAAATTACCAGTACCCTCCTAATTTGTCAGTCCCAACTTTCACTAATTAAAAAAACTCGAACCAAAGCAAAATGTTATTTCCTTTCACTAAAAATAGACAAGGGGAAACCCTGAAGGTAACAGACAAGCTGACCTCATTTGAAAAATATACTTATATGAATATCGCCGATGTTTTGTTCAACAACAAAGATTTATAAGGTACTCTATTTGCTGGCCCACAGGAACTGGCAGTCATATGAATTACTGGTCTAAGCCTAATTTTACTGGTAAAAAACTGGTATTTACTGGTGAATGGGAACACTGCAGTTACTTGTACAATCTTGCAATATTTACATGCTACCAGACCCATGAAGATCCGGGGTACAATAGGTCTTCAGCAACCCATGCTTGTCGTAAGAGGGGACTAATGGGCTCAGGTGGTCAGGCGCAGTGACTTGGTTGATGCATTTCATCGTATCACAATGGCGTGGATTGATGCTCATGATGTCAATCACTGGATTGTCTGGTCCAGACTGGATTATTTAAAGACCGCTGTCGTATAGCTGGAATATTGCTGTGTGCTGCGTTATACAAAAATCAAACCAACAAAACATGCTACCATGAATGACTGTGGTGCTGCTGCTTGTAGTGTAACACTCACTCACTCCTCTTTATCTAGGGGCATGTTCCATGGCGGGGACAGCGACAGTACAGGAACTATAGCCGCATGCTGCTACGGCGCCATGTACGGATTGGAAGGTGTGCCAGAGGGTAACTACAAAGTAAGTAGTAACCATGGTAACTACATTTGCTTTTGATTGCATTTAGTTGCACATTGTATGCTCTACCTCTACCCATATTTCATTTAACTGTTTTGAAACTTGTAGAAAAATTTCTAAGTGTGTAATTCTGCTTGTGACGTCTTAACATGGCAACAAAGTATAATGTTAAATGTTCCTGTGGTTATGACCACCTTCGTGGTTTAGTGATGAGTGTCCGCCCGGAGAGCGAAAGGTTGATCCCCAGCCGCGTCATACCTCAAGACTTTAAAAGATGGTACTTTTTGTTACCCTGCCTGGCACTTGGCATTCAGGGGCTTAAACAAGGACTGGTCGACTCGGCATCAGTATACTGTGTCTGAGTGGGGTATTCCTGTTAAACTGCGGCAGAGTATTTCAGTGGGCAAGCGCTATACAAACGGCATCAGTCTGGACTAGTACAAGCAGCTCTCGCCCCACACACACACTTGCATGCATGTCGCTATACATGTATAAGTGCAATAATCTTGGACACGACATTATAAAACCCATTTCTCCTCACAACCTGTGGTTGTAGTTAAAATGTTTTCGACATGTGTCCGAAATGTTCAGTTTTGTATTTTCTTTTTGTTGAGGATCATTCAAGTCAGATTGTTCAGTGAGATGTTACTCTGCTTGTTAAGCATGTATGACAAGGTGGTTAAAGATTATAAGGATCTTCAAAGCAAACATATATTTCCAGAAACTTGAGTACAAGGATCGTCTGGAGAAACTTGCAGAGAAGTTGTATAATCTGGCCAAACCAAATGAGGTTAGTCAGAACAACCCCGTGGCTGTGACAGAATCGTCCGAGGTTGATCCTAAACAGATCCAGAAAGATTCAAAGAATGAAGACAAGGAAGAACCCATGGAGATTGAGGGTGAACCCAATAACGCGGAGGAAGAAGAGGAGAAAGGTCATGGTTCCCTGTCTGAGCAGGGCAAAACAGAAGCTGGTGATCACGCTCTGCCAAAACAGGAGATGACACATAAGTGTCAAGATGGTGACAAAGTAAGAAATAATGTTCCAGAAACGGATGATGACATGGAAAAAGATGATGACAGAGAAAGAAATGCTGGCCCCACAAAAGATGGTGAATCAGGCGTAAAAGCAGGTGAAACTGATGATGACAGTAAACCAACAAATACCGATGAGGTCAAAGACCATCTAGATGGCAGTCTGCCAGGTGAACAGGCCGAGATGGACATGCAAGGTCAGGATGCAGAGAAGTTGTATGATCTGGCCCAAACAAATGAGGTTAGTCAGAACAACCCCGTGGGGATGGCTGTGAGAGAATTGTCAGAGGTTGATCCTAAACAGGCAGACATGGACACGCAAGGTCAGGATGAGCCGTCTGTCAAGGGAACACCTGTGAAAGAGACTAGTGTTTAAAGAATGTTGCAGATCAGATCATCAGCCATTTATTTCTTACTTATTTTCAGAAATAATGACCTGAAGTCTTTCAGTGTAGATTATAATATAGTGCTTTATGTGATAATTGAAAGAATAATGTGAAAAATATTATTAACTTGTAAACATGTTATTATTGTAAGTGGTAAACATGTTTTATGTAATAATCCAACAGTGTGCGTTGTTAGACAAAGAAAACAGGGTTGTAGAGAAGTCTCAAAATTTAATGTTTAAAAGTTCTGTTATTTGTATTTGTCAGTTTGCATTTTAACAGCCTCCTTATGTTATGGTTTCAGTGGCACGATAGGACAGTCCTGTGTTCTGCCACGCAGTATCCGAGTTTTGTTCCCTATAATCATGATAATACTGTGACCATGCCACTTGGAAACTGCTTACATGTGATACCTCCTGATCTGTGTGGGAGGCCCCGATTAACGACTCTTCACAGTCACCCGCTGGGGGGCCCGTTTGACCTCGGATGGGCCTTTGTCTAGCATCAACTGGTGATTAAATCCATATGGTGAACAATCTAACAGTGTGAAATGTAAACTGTAAAGAAAACTCGGATAGTCGTAACAGCTAAGTGTCAGAAGGGTTGAACTTGAAATGAATAATCACCCAAGTACTTATCACTTCCTGTTCTCGGCACGTTTATTCCTGCATAATTTTATATAAACTCAGATACATATGACCGGCCCAGTTAAACAGGACTTTATTCATTATCAGATTTATCAGAAACTATGCTAAAATCTCACTATACCTTGAAGTTATGCCATTAAATTCTTGGGAATGAAAACAAAATATGACCGGCAATCTAATTTGCATACAGCAGTATTAGTCAACCAATGAGATTAATAGACATCTTGGTCAGAAATGTCAACAACAACAACGACAACGACAACATAAGTCGTAGTTAAAAATGTAATAGCACTTCCAAATATGGTACACATTTCTTAAAAATTGAATGATGCAAACTTTTCCAGGAAATTTATGAAATGAAGTAGTCAAACTGTTAACAATCGACCACAGACTGAAAAAAATATTTTAATGAAATTAGGGGCAATGATGTTGCATCAGAATAAACACACTTGATATTTCTTTGGCATAGTTTAACCACAGGATAAACACAGTTGATATTTCTTTGGCATAGTTTAAGCACAGGATAAACACACTTGATATTTCTTTGGCATAGTTTAACCACAGGATAAACACGCTTGATATTTCTCTGGCATAGTTTAACCACAGGATAAACACACTTGATATTTCTTTGGCATAGTTTAACCACAGGATAAACACGCTTGATATTTCTTTGGCATAGTTTAACCACAGGATAAACACACTTGATATTTCTTTGGCATAGTTTAACCAGAGGCTATATTGGTATATGGTCTCTGTTTTAACCAAAATCATGCCAAGACTGCGTCAACCCTGATGATCAGTTGGATTGAACACATTGTCAAATGGTCAAATGATCAATTGTGATTTTAAATCTAAAAACTTAAATAATAAAATCTCATGCTACATCTAGACTCCGTAATTATTTTGTTCTTTTTAGAAAAAAAATAAAAATTAAATATTGAGAAAAATTAAATGATTATTCTCTCAAATTGTTTGTTCCATAAATGAAGCCTCAGAAAGCATATTTATAAAGTATTGATAAGGAAAACTTGCCTTTGTGTATTGAGATTGTATGACTGTTTAACATTTGGATTTAATGGTTGCTATTTTAAATTTTCCCTGATAGATGCAAATATCTTCTGAAACTAAAGGCTTAATGTTCCCGACACCCTCTGACGATTTATCACATGTATGAAACCGCAAGACTCCACTCTGCATCTGCGTTCTCAACTCCCTGAGAAGTATTAAGCCCAAGCTGCTGGTGCGGTGCTATAACATAAGACTGTGTAAATCAGCTGCTAGAGGTTGTCCAAGTGTCTTTGTTTTCGATGGATTGTATCCTGAAAGATGCATTGTGTGCATCATGAGCACTGCCAAGAGGTTTATAGGAATGACATTCTTATTTAAACGTAGGTATTTTTATCATTTCAGCAGCAAATCTAATAATATAGAATGACAATATGAAACAATTGTGTTGCACTTCTTTAGTTATTTATGTATAATTTTTTGTAGCATGTTTATGATGACTTTTATATGAAATTATATTTGTGCCATATATGTTTATGGTATGTATGAAGACCATGTAAAGATTAAGCGACTGTGAGCATGCATGAGCTCTGTGTAATATGTGTTTCTGACTAATCATGAAATCATTAAACAGTTTTCATCTTTACCCCTGTAGATATGATATTTTTCATCAATGTGATTTTTAACCCCTGCTAAAACAAAGAAAGATGTCCCGTCCTTTGTTGTATTTTCGTTTCCGGAGCATTGCACATAAACCAATATTTCTTAATGAAGCCCTCTTGTGATTCTGGGTTTAAACAGGTATTCAGAAACATCTTTGTCAGCACCATACCCGTGCTTGTGGGTTTCACCGAAGTGATAAACGTCTGAGACCTGCAGCACTTGGGGCTTTCCTCCCACCTTAAGCTGACACACTGTGGCATAACTGGAATACTGTTAAAAGCAGTGTTAAACCCAACTCACTCACTCACTCACTCACTAACTCACTGAGGTTTATAGGAATGTATGATGGACATAAATCAAGGTTTTAACTTCAAGTAAAATGTGCAGGACAGTGAAAAGTGAACAGTGAACATTGAGCAGTGAACCGCGAACACCGAACTGAGGGATGAGGTATTATATGAAACCACTTCCTTAACCAGGGGACAGGGGTGTGTCAGAAACCAAAGATCGTGGATTGGAGGGGGCACGGGTGGCCCAGTAGTCTAAAGCGCCGCGATTTGCTGTGCAGAGTTGCGTCCCTTAGGCAATCCAGAAACCTATGATTGTGGGTTCGAATCCCGGTTTGCCCCGATTATGTTTCTAGGTTTGTCAGCACCATACCCGTGCTCTTGGGTTTCACCAAAGCGAAGTGGTAAATGTCTGAGACCTGCAACACTTGAGGCTTTTCTCCCACATTAAGCTGACATGCCGTGATATACTGGAATACTGTTTAAAGCAGCGTTACAAACAACTCACTACCTCATCCTGTAATTTCTGATAGTTATAGTGTATGTCATCCGCATACATAATAAAATATTTGTTATTGCAACGTTTGTAGCAGGATGTTCCTGAAGTCTTATCCCGACTCAACTTCACATGGCAAGGGCTTTAACTGACTATAAAAGTCGTTTCCACTGGACTTACAGTTAGTTAACGCCCTCTACTACACATCTCTAGACATAGTGGATATGAAATTACTTCAGGTAAGCATGAATGTGTTATTGATTGCCAAGTATTTTAAAAAAAATGATAAAATCCACATTTACATCACAGATTTTCAGTACTTTGAACAGGAATATGCAAGTGCTGCTTGAACGCCCGAATTTAACTGTTAGACGCGGAAGAATAAGAGACATAATATTTGCTTGAAGTAGTTCTCGAGTTCATATGCCAATGGAAACCATCGAGAGGGGCACGTCTTGTCCCGGAATGACGAGTTTGTCACGAATAAGTCAAGAATGCCGTGACGTATGTCGCAGTACCGTGTGCAGAGTTGCCATCATATGAGTGTATTCCCTTTGTTTTAGTAAACCTAGACATGAAGACACTCACTTTTGACATATCAGTGTTTTTTCTGTTTATCTTTTGATGACCAGGAACGATCCGTTGATTTACAAAAAAGTAAATCAACTGATCATTCATCTCTTGCTGGGCTGCCACGTGCATATTACAGAACACACATTTCACCTCACTTCAAACCTGAATTTAGATTGAATAATTACCACAGACACAATAAATGCCTTTGTCAGGTATTCTGAGTGGTGCTACCACTAATTATACCTGTAATAAATTCATTAACTGAGCATCAAGTGAATGACGACAAATACACAAGTGCAGGGCTATAACAGAAAACGTGGATGACAACAAGGGAGTATTAATCATATTATCAACCCAATCCGAAATCCGAAAATGCTTTCACTGCATGGATACTTTTTATTATTATTAAACTATAACAATCATGAGTATTTCCAAATGACGACATCCGATGAGCTCCACCATTCATTTTGTCTTTAGGCTGAAAAAATTAATTAACATGCACCCTTTGTCGAAAACTTTATAGATCACGGTTAACCAATCAGTGTTAAAAAATGAGTAAAACAAATATTGCCTCCAAGTTTATTTAGCTGTCCTTGCAGACGGTAGCCCAGTCTCTTGTCACGCTCAGTTGCGTTGTGTATCATTCGGGTACTCACGGGGAAATAAAACAATAACAAAGGCAACAACCAGTCCCGGGGAATTGCTTTAGATCAGTGCCCCTTTAAGACTCTTTATCTGCCCTGGGTTTGTCATGACGTCACATAACGTTGGTGGCGAGGCTATCCTGATATCACAGCAAACAAAACAATATGAAATCATAAAAGTCACAAATCAGGTGAAGTTAAGTTAAGTTGGATGACAGTGTTTGGCAGCTTGGCTCCTGCGAGTTTCTATAGCTTCCGTCCTCCCCCACACTGAAGCACATGTAACACGTGCGGTGTCTTCTTTGCCAAGTGACTTTGTTCAAAATGTGCCTATGTTCACTCTGCAGTGAATGGGTACCCAGTAGGATGAGATGGCTGTTAACCTTCTAGCTTGCAATTGGGTTGTATATTCCGCAGGGAGCTGAGAGTGATTATTGAGTGCACACTTATCCATTGACCGGGGGTAGGTTTGTCAGCACCATACCCGCGTTCGTGGGCACCACTTCAACATCAAGCTGACACGCCGTGATGCAGTTTATGTTCAAAGCGGCAGTAAACCCAACACACTCACTCACGATTGCCAGCTGTAACACCCACACAGTTCTTTTCAACAGCTCAATATTTCTAAACTGTATCTTCTCTAAATATACTGGTTATAATTCGGCAGTCGAGTGCATGAAAATATAGGCCTATCAGCTTACATCATCGTAAGTTAAACGTACCTTATATATATTTCACGGTACACGGGAGTTATCCCCCTTGCAAATATGACTCAAACATGATGCTCCATATATATATAGATCGGTTAACACAGTGAGTGCGGATTCCGTGAGTTCGGACTGATACCGTTAGAAAGAATAATCATATAAGGACATTACGACGTACCACTAATTCGTCATTCGTTAATCTGGACGATTTCACACGGGGCGGTACCAGAGGCGGAATCGGGATTTTGACAAGTGGGTGGGCGCGATGCACTCTACCATGTTACATGTTACAAGAACACGATAGTAGGACTGGTTTGGGCTAGATGTCTGAAAATAGGGTACGATATTATTCACCAGTATGCAGTATCCTGACTTTCTTCTGCCTACTTCAGATAAGTAGCCACATATTCAGCATAGTTCTATAATCGTTTGTCACCCAGGTGAACAAAGGCATTATAACATCACTTTTACCTTATGGAGTAGTTATAGAACTCTTTAAAGGGGAGGTCGGGTAGCCTAGTGGTTGAAACGTTCGCTCGTGAGACCGAAGTCCCGGGTTCGATTCCCGACATGGGTACAATGTGTGAAGCCCATTTCTGGTGTCCCCTGCCGTGATATTGCTGGAATATTGCTAAAAGTGGCGTAAAACCAAACTCATTCATTCACAAGAACTCTTTAATTTAAGGGGCACGGGTGGCACAGTCATCTTAGGTGCCGCAATTCGCAGTGGAGAGTTAAGTCCCGTGGGCACGCCAGAAACCTATTATCGTGAGCTCGAACCCCGGATCGCCCCGATTATGTTTCTAGGTCTGTCAGCACCATACCCGTGCCCGTGGGTATCACCAAAGTGGTAAACGTCCGAGACCTGCATCTAAATATGTATAGTATTACCATATTTCATCAAAAGTGATGGGCGGAGGTAAACAAACATACATAAGATATAAATGTTTACATCAGTGAGTGAGTGAATGTGTTTTCGTCAGACAGGAACTTTCCGTGTTATGATCGGCATCTTCATAATATACACGCAATGCTATGCAGGCGTGTGAAATATATGTATCCAGACGCCTTGCTTCGGAAACGAATCTTAAATAAATACATCTGAAGAAAGATCAAGCTGACCTGTGAGAGTGCAACAGTAGGGGTATATTTTTTATCACATCGGGCAATAAATTTCCACAGCGGCAGGGGAAATTGAGATTAGAAAACATTTTATTAAAAAACGACAAAGATTTTCTTGCAAAAAGGAGTGACCTCCCCTGCGATTGTGCAACGTCACAAAACAGTACTTGAAGAGGACGAATAAATGAATTTTGTTCTCGCATCGTTCAATTGGATCTTTCTACTTTCATTCAGTGACATACAAACTTGCATTGACTCACCACGACAATACACGAAAACGTATATATTAAGAATATTGCAATTCCAATTGTTGCCGCAGCTTTATCCTTTAATAGAGATATATTCTGTTGCATTGAGCCTACAACGTTATATTGAAAATACGAATTTTAGCATATCCTCACTAATGAACAGTATACAACGCATCTCAAAGAGTATTCTCAAATAGATGAAAGCAAAAGGTATGTCCCACTCCCCTTTTATTATGTCGTATATTAATCCTATTTCAGTAAACTTATAAATCCAAATACACAAAATTGGTTCACGATGGCGACCAAGATAATCTTTCTTTTTTACATATTGTATTTGCTTTGTTTCCTGTGACACCAGAGCGACTTAATCTTTTTTCTGTGATACAATACAAACTATATATACCAAATACTCGTATAATATATATTAAGCTCAAGATTAGATTTAGAACACACCATCTGGTCCAACAATTGTTCGATATCGGCCTGGTAAATAATGCAGTGTTATCACTATCAGTTAGCCAAGTTATCATTACTGCTGAAAGTAACTACCAATGTTTCACAGACATGAAATGAATCAAAATGATTAAAGATGCCTCTCTTTAAAAAGACGTTTACTCATTCTTGTAAATAACGTGTTTTTTATTTAAAATAGTTCCAAGTTAGCCAATTTCAAGATGCTATGAACTGTTTATTTTTCTGCCATGGACTGCTTAACTTGTTTGCTGTGACATCCACCTTACGAGGCTGTGACGCCAAGACAATTGAAGGGGGGATAACTCCACCTGGTATCATGGCGATACATCTTGTAATTTGAGCAGAATTGCGCATTCGTTTGACATTTGATCACAAGAAAAAAATATGGTATGCATAAGCAGTGATTCAGATATATGCCACCGTTTATCAATGTCACGCGCCTATATAGTTCGAATATGTCCGTGTATAAAGTTATATTGTTATTTTCAAAATTGATATATTTGGTGATGCTATGGGTGTGTGAAGCGGCCCTAATGAAAACTGTCTATCATGATCGATCTGCAATACAAGCTTAATACTACGATCTGAAACGAAGTTTTATGCACAAGGGCGTTTATTTTATGAATTGTGTGAAAATGTAAACTCATGGGTCCATGGCCACTGTAACACTTCCAATCACATATGACACAGAAACTTAACGGTTTCCTTGAAGACCTGCTTGCCTGAAGGTTGCGTTGTATATACTTTTGCTCTGTTGGAAATGTATTTGCTCAAGGTCCACCCCACATCCAAACTATACTCCTCACAAAAAGTTAAGTAACAAATCTATTATGTGTCAGTCCATGTTCATACATTCCAATACCTAGAACTGACTAAAGCAATACAAAGAAAGAGCACAAACACACATTGTCCTCAAAGGGAACTGAAAAGCGTTTATGCCTAACAGGTTGACAAATGATAAAAAACAGTATCATGAAAACAGTCGTGCAAAATGTGCTGCACTGAAAGATGAAAATCTTCAAATTTGAGTTTATGTCATTTTGAAACAATGATCCAATGTTCAGTAACGTGTATGTCCACCATTGGCTTGAATGCAAGCTTCTACACGTCTTGGTATTGACCAGATAAGCTTATCAAGTGTCTGTTGTGGAATGTTCTGCCATTCTCTCCTTAAGGCCTGTTCAAGTTGATCAATGTTCAATGGGATTAAGATCCGGAGACCTTGCAGGCCAGTCCATATGCGTGATGTTGTTGGTCTGAAGAAGATCAGTGACAACTCTTGCTCGATGTGGACGAGCATTATCATCCATAAAGATGAAGTTAGGACCTGCTTGTTGTGCCAGGGGAATGATCACACGTGTGACAATCTCGTCCCTGTACCGTACTCCAGTCATGGTACCACGTCTGATGACCACAAGATCAGTTCTGTGTCCAACCCTGATGCCAGCCCAGATCATCAAACTTCCATCTCCGTACTGGTCGTGTTCAGCAATTGTACAGTTGGCGTATCGTTCATTACGGTTTCTCCACACACGTGCCCTACCATCGTTGAAGTCAAGGCAGAATCTTGACTCGTCTGTGGAGAGAACGTTACGTCAGCGATTGACCCTCCAGTTACGGCGTTGATTGGCCCAAGCAAGTCTCTGTTGTCGATGGTGTGCAGGCAGTGGGATATGTCGTACTGGTCGTCTTGACCTCAGATCCTGAGCGTCTGTCTCTTACTGTCTGTGTTGAAACTCTGTTTCCTGCAACTCTCTGAAGGTCATTCTGGAGAGATCTGGCCGTAGTAAACCTGTTTCTCCGGGCTAGGGTGGCTAAATACTGGTCCTCACGAGGAGTTGTCACCCTTGGACGACCTGTTATCGCTCTTGAGATGACACTGCGGTGAACATTAAAATGATTGGCAGCAGTTTGGGTGAGACCCCCCTGTACCATTCCAACAATCTGAGCAACCTCAGTTGGCGTTAAGTGACGCCTAGCCATGTCTAAAGTGTTAATGTCGACAAATTGCCCTTGCTGGCAGTTTTTAAGCAATCAGGGTGCATGGGTGAAGTGTGTAAATCAGGCATGACGTGCATTTTGCATGCGTGTTTTGAGGATGGTTGTGTTCAGGCGATGTTATCAGTGTTATCAGGAAAATCTACATGGAAAAGGCTTTTAGTCGAGTATTCGTAGGTAATTCTCCTGCCTGAATTTGTTCTCAATGGATGGCATTCAACACTGATGAGAATGTTGCACGGAAAATAATACTTGTTGCTTAACTTTTTGTGAGGAGTATAATACTGGCGCATATTTGCTGGAAATCTTGATGAGAGTAATTCTTTAAGCGTGTATCATTTGTCTCAGCAATGGGCTAAGGGGAACAACTCTGTCATTCTTCCAGGTTCAAGCAACTAAGCGTCACCTCATGACCAAATGCTTTTACCTCATTGGCTGATGCAGCTTTGTCAGCCATGTTCTTACGAATGCAAATTTACTGACCTAAATTCCTTCGTTGTTTTCGGGTTTGTATAACAATTTATGGTCGAAATAGGGTCGCAATATAAGTAATAATGTACACAAGGTAACCAAGATTTGAAAAATTACTATATTTGTAAACACTGGTAAATGGTTAGATTGAGTTATTTGTATATTTCATGTTCGCGCTACCAGCACGGTATGTCGGTGTTGTCAGACGACATGGTAGAGAAGGTTGTTCTTGGTAAAGACTCCAGTTTTAGAACTCCATATATGCATATATGAGGATATTCGTTGCCTAACCTGTATATACTTTCTGTTAGGCAATGTATTCTAAGTTAGTGTTGGAGATAAACAGTATTTTGTCCAAACACCGCTGTTAGTGGGTTACTGAGATCACGTAACCTTCCACCATTTCACGTACACACTTTGGGCGTAGTATACTTAATCATATAATGGGTAGGTTTCTCGGCAGGATAAAGCCAACGGATAAAAACGATATCCGTTGGGGTCATATGCGGATAGAAATGCAAATATCAAAGGTCAAGTAGGACTACTTTCACTGTTTATAAACAATCATGGCGTCGCCCTCGTCATTCGGCGATCGAGTCAGAATTAACCATCGGGAATCTGGATAAACTACAGGGATAATTGCTGTCATTATCAAAAGAACAGTCTAATATACTGAAAATCAGTGTCTAACTGTAACGTAGCTAAGGCATTTTATAAGTTTTGGCACCTTTGGAGATATAAATTTCGAAACAGTTTTGCGAGCGCACGAGGCCTAGCCAAGCGGGATCAGTTGCCATATCTGTGCTTGTAGACCTCTGCGGCTTGAAACCTACTCAACAAATTAAAATAGTTGGATTTGGCCGAAATATGTTTGAATTGTTACCTTGTTTCGTTTTGTCGCTGTGTGTACATCTGACTACACTTCTTAACGTTATGACAGGACAGACCGACTGTCAACAACGTCTGACCGTGGCCGTGACGTCTCATAGACTAGGGTTAGCGTAGCTTCCCTTTGACAAAGGGCAGTTACTCTAGTGGACAGACCGATGGATTGCCGCGAAATGCAATTAAAAACAATTGTTGTTTTGCGTATATGTTGCTTCGCCACTGCATAAGAAATAGATTTCAGTTGGAACTATATTGGCTACTGACACATCAGTCTGACGTAATAAATATTAATGCGCGCATTCCAGGAAAACTCGCAATGTTTCGGTAATGTTTGTAAGAGAGGGAAAGCGATTTTGAAGCACAGACTTAAAGAATGAGATTATGTGATAAAGAGGTTATCACGCTTGTGTCTTTGGGGATGGTAAATATCCTGTATTAGGAATAAACATCAGTATTTAGCTCGCCAAGGCTCGCTAAATACAATGTTTATTCCTAATGCAGGATATTTACCATCCCCAAACACACTCGCGTGATAACCTCTATATATCTAGTAGGCATTGGAGCTTATAGAATTAAAATATAAACTTCCTCCCTGGTTGTTGTACACATGTTGTTAGGTACCCCCTCTATATCTTTAGGTATATCAATTTAACTTTCCATAGTCGTCGTAATGGAATCTGTCCCAGGGATATGGGAGGCAACTCTGATTGTCTTGTTTAAATAGTGATTTGCAGGGCGCTTCAATTGTACTGTAATTAGGGGTGACTATTGGTCTGATAATCACTTTTGGGATAACTATTGATATTGAAAGAAACTATTGCGATAACTATTGTTATTGCAAGCACGTATTGTGATAAAATATCGATAGTTTTCAGTGTATCATTTTAGATGGATTTTAGAGTTGAATTAAACCTTGGAACTGAAATTTCCTTTGAATGTGATAACCATAACAACAACAAAAAAGTAAAGTTTGAGATATGACTGATTTGTTTTGTCTTTACCCTAACAATTTAAGAAACTTCCACATTACCATGCCTGTGTGAATTAGCACCACTTATGATCAAAAGAAAAACAAATTTGACCAGCACTGCATGTATTTTATTGATATGGCGTCATTTATCAGCCGAATCTTTAGAGGTGTGCGTGGACCCTTCAACCTCTTCAGTCTCCCATGATCTTTTCTTGCATAATGAATTGAAACATGTGTATTTCCTTTTCGTTTGTACTGTTTGATAATAGTTATTGTAAGAGTCGAATACATACAATGTTTTCATTTCACCTTCAGGACGTAAAGTGATTGTAATCGTCATTTGATCGACTACGTCACGTCACACGATCGTCAAAGAAAGAAATGTTCACAGCAGAGTCGTCAGACTGGGACGATCTAATTGACTTGTGGGACCATGTCCTCAACAGTAACCTTGACCCGAAAATGGCAATTAAAACATACATCCAGGATGGAAGCAATCCTACAGTGACAAATGATGATGATGATGATGATGATGCTGATGACCCCTGGACCAGATGCAGCGTAATTTCAATTCCCTCATCCACATCTTTGTCAAGTGACATTGTGTTTGACATTCACTTGGTGAAGCGAAGTCGGAAATCGAAAAAGATGCCATTGATAACCCAGTGATCAGAGGTGTGCGGAACTTCTTCCGACGGTCAAGCCGCCCATGAACTTTGCTTTGTATTTGTCTGTACAAAAAATACGTTATTGTTGTTTTATAACCTTACTGATGGTTTACGGTTGTATAAAATTTTGAACTGTTTTTCGTGTTTTGTTGTCATTTTATTTACATAAAGGTCTTAGTCAGCAAAACGAAGTGGAAACCAGATATGGAAGAGGAATATGTGACAATTAGCCCGAAGATTATCATAAATAAAGGAAATCGTAAACTGCCGTAGCATATTTTCGGAAATATCGTTTTGTTTGTTTTATGTTTAACGCTGCACTCAGCAGTATTCCAGCTAAATGACGGCGGTTTTTAAATATTCGAGTCTGGACCAGACAATTCAGTGATTGACACCATGAGCATTGAGCATCGTTGGGATACGATGACATGCATCAACCAAGTCAGCGAGCCTGACCACCCGATTACGTTAGTCGCCTCTTGGGACAAGCATAGTCGCTTTTTACAGCATGAGTGGAAAATATCGTAGCACAAAGTCATCGTAAGAATGTCGTTAATCTAACATAGCTCGGAGGTTGATTTTCTCATCTTCCAAGATGACGGTGTTTTTTTAAACAAATAATTATTTTCAGTTTGTTAATTATGCGATTGGTCCTTCGAAAACAGAAGAACACAACAAAGATTTCACATCAGAATTGTTATCACTCGCGATAGCGATCCACGGAACTATGGAACCGATAGCCTAAAATCTAATGATCAGTGTCAACTCTGAAATAAGTGTGAAACCACATACCTAAGTAAGTCCTTTCGATAATTTGGGAAGTATGAAAACAGAAGGTGTCGGCAGGCTAAATGAATGACCGTGACCTTTATGATAACTTAGCGGCAGCTAATCTTAGCTCATACTCTAGTTGGGAGTGGTCTCCCTTTGTATATATGCCGTCGCCCTCCGAGTACGTTGCTCAACGTAACAGATAATTCCAATAGTTCCACCGTTATATCTTCTGAATCACACACTGTTCAAAAAGTGTTTAGATCCTAAACACCAACACAAACACGCTCCATGTGTTTAAACCCTAAACGTTTTTAGATAGAACACTCCAAATTCGTTTAGGATTTTTTTTACATCAAACTCATCTTGTATGTGTTATAATTCTAAACACATTATTTACAGTGCGTTTGTGTCACCGCTTTTGTCTATGTGTTTTTTTGTATTTAAAAAAAAGGTTATCTACAGAAGTGCAAAACCGTAAGCGTTTCTCATCACTGTCTCTACACCTGAATCTAAATTCGTGTGGGCGAGCGGTTTTAATAATTGGATTTTAAATGTATAAATTTAATCATTTAACAAGAGGCCCATAGGACCTGTATAGCTCACCTTGATATTTACGCAATCATGACAAAATAAACATTTGTATTGTACATGTATATAATACTGCAAATATTTCGTAATTTTGACTCTGTCAGCATTTAAGGTGGTGAGGTGAGGTGAAATGGGGTTTAACGTCGCATCCAAGATTATTGCACTTATATAGCGACTGCTTGTACGTATGTGTGTTTGTGTGGCTGCTTGTACTAGTCCGGACTGATGCCGATTTATAGTGCTAGCTCACTGAGATATCGTGCCGCATTTTAATATGAATACCAGACTCAGACACAGTATACTGACTCCTAGCCGACCAGTCCTTGTTTTAGCCCCTTAATGCCGAGCGCCAGACAGACAAGTACCACCTTTTAACGTCTTTTGGTATGACGCGGCCGGGGATCGAACCCCGGACCTTCCGCTCTCCGGGCGGACGCTCTACCATTAGACCACGGAGGTGGTGTCAGCAATGAAGAGGGGTGGGTGGCAAATCTGACAGCATGGACGTGTATTTCTCTTGATACAAATGTAGCATAAAGATCTTAACCGTGTCCATGTTATGATCCAGGATAAATCATATTAAAGGTATTATTCTCTTCACAACAAACACATGTATACAATGTATCTATTTATTATAGGGTAGGGATAATATCGGTTTGCATGTTTTACTCCTTTGAGAGTGCTGGACAGATGAACAGAAGGGCCGGTCCTGGTAGCATGTGTGCATTCCTCTCATTATGCTCTCAATTGTACATATGGATATACGGTGGGGATCTTAACTGTGTCCAAGTTATAAACTCTTTTTAGACCCGCGCGCCCTTAGTCCCTCCATTTCTCCAATTTGAATCCCCACCATAACTATCACTTAGTTCCAGAGAGGAAGTCGTTTAAAGCAATGAGGAAGTCGTTTAAAGCAATAGAGCCAAATTACCCCTATTTCGCCCCGCCCCTCAGCCCCACCATCTGTACAATTTTGAATCCTCACCACCGGAGAATGCTTCCAACTAAATATGGTTGATATCTATCTCTTAGTACCATAGAAGAAGTCGCTTAAAGCAATATAATCAAATGATCTGATTGGTTCAAAAGTATTGTCGAATGAGCATAACATCACTGAATTTTTTTCTCATCAGCGTGTATGTATACATTAATGAATGGAACTATTTTTGAAATCATCAACATGAAGGAACGGATGAAAGTTTTCCCTGACTTCCACATCCGAGATTTCGATGAAACATTGAGTGACTTGGACGACGAGACATTTTCTGAGATAATTCAAGAATTTGAAGGTAAATGAAAGGAGAACTTAAGGTAAGAATACCTTTTATTATTTCAGTGCGTGCTTAGATGGGGAAAAGGAAACAATACGGACAACCTTAGAAAAAACGACAAACACTTCCTAGCTAAAAGGAGTGACCTCCCCTGGGATTGTGTGACGTCACAAAGCGCGCTTGAGGAGAATGAATAAATGAATTTTTTTTTCTCAAATGGTTCAATTGGATCTTTCTGCTTTCATTCATTGGCATACAAACTTGCATTGACTCAACACGACAAAATCTGTAAACGTATATATTAAGAATATTGCAATTCCAGTTGTTGCCAACGCTTTATCCATTAAGGTATATACATCTTCGGTTTCATTGAGCCTACAACGTTACATTAAAAATACCCTTTTTCTAAATCTAGTTTATCCTCGAATCAAAATCATAATTCGTAATATCCCTCACAGATGAACAGTGTACAAAGTATCTCAACGATTACACTTAACTAATATATTATGAATAATACATGTATATTAGTTCCCATTTATAACCATTTTAGCCACTTGAATTACGAGAAAAACGAAATAAAAGAAAAAAGAAAAAAAAGAAGTGCTTTCGTAAACTAGCGCTTGCTATAAAATCGCCGCCGCAGACTATATTTAGTAAACAAATATCCAAAACTCTCCACACTGCTTGGCGTATTCAATGGCATTTCATGTAGAGATGATAGAGTACTGAGAGGAGCTTATGCACACTTGATGACCCCTGACGTCACAGGGCATTGTTTTCCCGATGTGACTGGCAACAAAATACTACAAATTACGTCAAAGGGTATTGTCACGTGTTTGAAATGTTTGAGGTACTGTATTCTAAAGGTAGGCCCTAATCGATTCTAGGCTATCAGCGACGTTTCAAAATTATCATTACTGATTTGATACCCGACATCACTAATATGCTATTTTTCTACATTAATTTTTCGAGTAAATATCCGATATTTAGAATTTTCTTCTCCATGTTTTATGCACAAAGGCCTTTATTTTCTGAATTATGTGAAAATGTAACTTCAATATACTCATGGTTTCATGTCCACGGCAACACTCCCAACCGCATATGTCATAGGAACTAAAATGGTTTTCTGTGAGACATGCTTACCTGAAGTTTGGAATCAACAACGATTTACCATCGTCAAAAGTATATTCATTTCGGCTGAGTAGTAAACATTCACGGAAATAACCGAGAGAGTTGACCATTCCGACATGAGACAATGGACCTAGCAACAATTTCTAGGTGTCTCCTCGAACGTCCGCGTCGCTTGCATAAAGGCGGCTGCATTCAGGCGTAAAGTCATTGTCATCGTCACATGATCGTCAAAGAAAGAAATGTTCTCAGCAGAGTGGTCAGAGTGGGACGAGCTAATTGACTTATGGGACCATGTCCTCAGCAGTAACCTTGACCCGAAAATGGCAATTAAAACATACATCCAGGATGGAAGCAATCCTACAGTAACAAATGATGATGATGATGATGATGGGAGCAATCCTACAGTGACTGATGATGATGATGATGATGATGATGACCCCTGGACCAGATTGAGCGTAATTTCAATTCCCTCATCCACATCTTTGTCAAGTGAAATTGTGTTTGACATTCACTGGGTGAAGAGAAGTCGGAAATCGAGAAAGACGCCATTGATAACCCGTGTAATTAGAGGTGTGCGGAACTTTTTCCGACGGTCAAGCCGCCCATGAACTTTGCTTTGTATTTTATTGTCTGTACAAAAAATACGTTATTGTTGTTTTATAACTTTAATGATGGTTTACGGCTGTATAAAATTTTGAACTGTTTTTCGTGTTTTGTTGTCATTTTATTTACATAAAGTCTTAGTCAGCAAAACGTAGGGGGAACCAGATATGGCAAAGGAATATATGACACAATAAGCCCGAAGATTTTCATAAATAAAGAAAATCGTAAACAGACGTAGCCTGTTTTCGGAAATATCGTTTTGTTTGTTTTATGTTTAACGCCGCACTCAGCAGTATTCCAGCTAAGTGACGGTGGTCTTTAGATATTCGAGTCTGGACCAGACAATCCAGTGATTGACACTATGAGCATCGTTGGGATACGATGACATGCATCAACCAAGTCCGCGAGCCTGAGCACCCGATCACGTTAGTCGCCTTTTACAGCATAGGTGGAACATATCGTAGCACAAAGTCATCGTAAGAATGTCGTTAATCTAACATAGCTCGGAGGTTGATTTTCTCATCTTCCAAGATAACGGTATTTTTTAAAACAAGTAATTATTTTCAGTTTGTTAATTATGCGATTGGCCCTTCGAAAACAGAAGAACACAACAAAGATTTCACATCAGAATTGTTATCACTCGCGATAGCGATCCACGTAACTATGGAACCGATAGCCTAAAATCTAATGATCAGTGTCAACTCAAATAAGTGGGAAACCACATACCTAAGTAAGTCCTTTCGATAATTTGGGAAGTATGAAAACAGAAG